GCTGATAGGTTGTTGAATTTAAAATAGCCCAAAACTCTGACTTTCTATTCTCTTTTGGTTGTTGATCAATCAAAAAATGGTAAAATGATAAAAGATCAGATTCCTGAAGGCAGAATGCCACTTTATCAGTGTATCTGAGCCTCCACGTGTGCGACAGATGATTGGAGATTTTAGGTCATGAACAAGCTTTTCTAGACTTGGTGCATTTTTCTGTTTCAGTTGAAACTATGTCTTACTTTGACCATGTACAAAGTGTTATTGTTCATGTTTCATGTGATTTTTTTTAGTTGCAGTGCATTGAGTTGAAACTGTAGAATAGGCGAGTGCTGGTAAAGTGGGACGCCAGATGTTTAAAAAGAAGAAAGACAGGCTGTATACTCTCATGAAGAAGGGATGTGGGTCTGAATTTACTACAAAGACCCCATCCACGGCCTCAGTTTTCTGTTTTACTATATTTAGACTGCATGTGCTATCACACCCAACCTCTGCCGTTGAGATGAATATCAGTCATACTACAGCAGAGGAATGTTGGTTTGCATCTTATCTGATGCCCAAAGGCACAATGATATTTTACTCGATAGAGGCTTTAGGCATCATGGAAGGTTGTGTGAGGCTACAGCGGTGAGTGCTGGATTTGTTCTTCATCGCAGAACCACTAAAACGTTGTTTTGCCAGACATTGTTGGGCTGTTTTATGATATCGAAAAAAGGAAGTTCCGTTTTTATCATTGTTTGGAGGCCCTGAAGAGAAGAAACAGTACTGTGTGTATGAGTGCTCCATAAGACTGAGGTGAGGTTTATTTCTCATCTTTGTGGAGGAAGTCTGTTGAGGGTTCACATGCTGGTTTGACTGCAGGGCAGCAGGCTCTTGGCATAGCTGGATGGCACAACAGGGGGGTCACAGAACAGCAACAGACCTTGCAGAGACGGCCTCAAGTTGGCTATGGATGAAAAAAAGGATTTTGGTGGATCATGCATCCCTGATGCACACATTTCTTGGGTTTTAATATCCATAGATGTAGACATTGGTATTCAATCTATGTGGCTATTCATTTCAGTTGTTGATCCCCAATAGATAAGATGGTTTTCCATGGATTGGTGAATGTCTTCATAGCTGTGCATTGATGTCTTTAGGGATGGCAGTACTGGAGAGTAAGTTAGCCTGAATATCTGTTGGCTTTACAGCAGGTCTGACATTTTGGTCTAGAATTAAATATTGCAACAATATGTGATATGAAGAACTGGTACCTGGTTCTTGGTACCCATTTCAAACACAAGAGGGTTCTTCTTTGACTACTTTAGTGAGCCATCACATTGACTTTGATTGTTAGACATTATGACATTTCTTACATGGTTAGCAGATGCAGATCTTGCAGTTGAGAAATCCTCTAGTGTTGCTCAGAAAGACAATACCTGGGTGTTCCTTTTAGGTATATTTTCCCAACAGTTTGACATATTTACACGTTCTATTTTTGTAAAATTGCCATCCATCTTTGAGAAGCCTTTCTCAGAAACAGAGTAAGAAGCCACCTACAAATCAAACTGTTACCGTCAAAAGCCAGTCCATGACCAAGTATGTGGATTTCCAGGACACTGAGCACTAAAAACATGTATGGCTATTAATAGTTTGTCTGTTCTGTTCCTCTGTTTAAACATAGCAGCAAGATGGCGGCTTTAAGGGAAGGGGACTCACTCCCTCTGTAGATATAAAAGGCTCGTTCTTAGCTAACAGCACCAAGACACCCCTTATGTTCTGGTAATTATACATTAACTGAAACATACTTATGAATATCTTATTCCATTTATACAGAGCCTGCTCTGCCAAAAACCACTGAATATATCATTAAAAAAAAAAACTTAATCTGCTCTCTCACATTTAGAAATCACAAGACTACTCTCCGCCATAACCAGGGAGTGCCAAAGAAAGGCCTGACAGCAGTCTCTAATGAACGCCGGGTCAATAGGAGGTTTCCGAAGAGGGCAGTGGTTCAAACTGACCCAAAGACAGATGGTTAGCTGCCAGATGTCAGGGAGGAGTTGATAATATCATTTAGGAAGTGGAGCCGATCATAGTGACGGTCTGGGAGGGGAAGACAGCAGTGTTTCCGAGGGGGCAGAAGTTAATTCTACTTATGGGAAGTTTTTGAGGAATTCATTTAGTATGAGTCGTTGGAGACATTAAGCTCATGTTATGAGGGTCAACGAGGGGACGAGGGAAAAGATGAGCCTCGACTCGCGTCAATTTTTGTATGAAGTGAAATTAGAGGAAAAGGAGTGGTGCTGAAATGAGAGGATACAAATGAGCTTTTTAGAGGACTAGTAATGTTAAACTTGCAGCTGGTAGAATCAGAGTGAGAAATGACGAGATGCTTAAAGTCGTCCAAGTGGCCAGGCGTACGAAATCGTCTCTCAGCTGCCCCGAGGGCTTGTCCGTTTAATTCAGCAGGTGGTTTACGGCGCAGGAGCAGGTGGGAGCAGATCTGCAGGCTTAGAGGAAAAGGGGAGAAGGTCCAAAGAGGATAAGAGGGCAGGTTTAAATGCTGGGGTCAGTGGAGAAAACAAGATGGAGTCATCTTAAGGGGTCAAGAGAGGAGAGCTACGAAGAGGAGGAAGCAGAGAAAGCATACCATATACAGAGCATTAGTGGTGGTGTGAGGAAAACCAGTTCAAAAGAGATCTAATAGAGAGGGAATGAAAAGTGCTTGTCAACAACAGGGAAGAGAGGCTGGAGGCAAGGACCGCCCTCTTTTCTCTTTTCTTTTTTTTCAGGGCAGCAGAACATGTCAGGGATCGTGGATATTTATTGTTTCAAAGCTGTCATCATTGGCCCTAAAAATTCTATTTGTGCCCGTGGTTGTTTGTGAAATGTCCTCAGCCTTTTCTTCTTATTAGATATTGGATGTTTCAATGCTGATGAAAAATCTGATTTTGGCGTGGTTCCAGCTTAAATCTCACTTTTACGGACAAAGCTCTTTTGACGTTTCCAAAACCGAGAAAGGAAGATCAGAAGTTTTAAATAATGAATGTGGAAGAAGAGGAGAGAGAGAACATCAATACTTGTCCCTGATTTACTCATATTTAACGCTTAAAGGACTCTGATGAATCCTGGCTTATTGATGTTAAATTTAGACATGTTGCGTCATGCAGTCTGATAAAAAGAAACATGATATTTCCAACTTGTTCAATATCCCTTTTCCTCTAATCTCCAAACAAAATCCGCAATCATTTCAATTTACTTTCTTTTTACCTCAAACATTATAAAACATGTTTGATTTTTTTGTTTTTTATGCCAAGCGTTGTGTTAAATTATGGGAAATAGAGTTGCCACGATACCAGAATTTCATACTTCAATACAACCAAAGTTGAAATGACATCAAATGATATCATTGCACCTGAGCTTTACATTCGCCGCTAACAACCATTTCCAGACACTTAAAATACTCCCATTCAGCCCACATGTTGAAGCTCCTCGTTCGCATGCAGAGGCTGTCATTATGTGTGCATGACTGATGTGTCACCTTATTAGCAGTGCGTACTGGCAGAAATGGTAACATCTGCTGATACAGATAATTAACTTTTTAAGCTGTGATGTACGGGAGCCTATAACAGTCACTTGAGGAAAAAAAACTTGTGCTCTGTTTCGCCAAATTAATAAGATAATTATCTCAAAATTCAGAGAAACTGGGAGGAAATTTTTTTAATTATAAAACAAATGATCCTGTTGATTCATAAAAACAAAGTAGAATTATTTTCTACAGTGCAAGCAGTAGACATTTGTCATACCGTTATGGTGCTGATATTATTGCGCATCCCTAATTACCTCCACCAAGGAGGTCATGTTTTCAGTAGCGTTGGTTTGTTTGTTTGTCTGTTAGCAACTTTACGGAGAAAGTAACAGACGGATTGACCTAAAATTTTCACCAGATGTGCGTCTCAGCCCCAGGAGAAATCCCATTAAATTTTGGTGGTGATTCAGAAAAAATTCTGGATACTGTGATCCAGAACACATTAAAATAAGGGTGTCGTTGGAATTTTCAATGCTGAAAGATAACCAATGGGCGGCACAGTGGTGTAGATAGGCGGTACAGTGGTGTAGTGGTTAGCACTGTCGCCTCACAACCAGAAGGTCCTGGGTTTGAATCCGGGTCAGGGCTTTTCTTGTTTTAGGAACATTATGAACAGTGAACATACCAGTTTAAACACAAATAGACATTATTAAAAGACACATAACAGTAAAAGTTTTGGTGTGAATCACAATATAAGGGGGGACATGAGCTGCTTGGCGGAGGTCTGCGCTCTCAGAGTGTTTTAGTTTCTCTGCTGTGTCCGTGTAGGTGAACACGGCAGAAGGGAAATGACCTTCTTCTGTCTTTGAAATATCAGCTATCTCACTCACTGTGGATTTTTGCTGTGGAAAATACAAACAAAGATTGTTTTTTTTCCACATTTGACACTGAAGCAGCTGCAGTAATTACAGACATGAAGAGTAATGATTAAGAAATAAGAGATGTTGTCGCTGATGGCTAAGGCATCAGTATTGATTGAAGTCGGTTTCATCCTTGGCTAAAAACTCCTCACAGATATTTTTATTTCATTTGGTTACGCTTTTGGCTTTCTGTGCCCACTCTAGGTTTTTTTTAACCCCTTCAGGAGAGGCAATATTAACCGTACTGTATAATTCAGTGTTTTCCTCTTGATCAAATACTTGATACCACTGTTTTTGTGAAATTCTTCACTTAGAGTTACTTCACTGCCATGTTAATTTTGTCCCATAAAATTCCCAGTATAGAAATTCATCATAAACCCCTTGGCTTCCCCTTGTGACAAAACTGTCTCGAACAAACCCCCTGGCCTCGAGGCTCACCATTTCCATTTGAAACGGTCAATGTCTGATTTCTTGAGCATGTTTTTACCTCCTTTGAGCAACTTTTCCCTCTAACTTAGTCATTTTTATGGATGGCACCAACGTCTACCACATGACAGTCACAAGGCATGACTTCAGCAGAACTCTCCCTTCTCATTTTATTTATGTTCAGTCCTCAAACACATTCCCACTGTTGATTAAATCAGTCCATAAAAGAATAAGTTCCTTATGACTGGGAGACATTTTTTTTTCTCAGTGATGTCATTTCTGCCAAGAAATGGAATAAATAAAATGAAAAGAAATCACTTTAATAACAACCAGCCACATAGTACTGTAATGTTTTATGCATTGTCCCCAGTCTGACTCAGTGAAGGCCTTACAGCATGAAAAATATTCAAACCACATGAGCAGAACAGAAAGATAGCAGCAAAGCCTGCTGTGGAAACATCATCCTGTTCAAGTTTCATCACAACACTTTTGGATTTTGTCTTTCATGTCAGGTGCTCTTAGAAAACCATTTTTCAGTTGTCATGCATTAAAAACGTCACCTCATAAAAATGTGAATGAAAAGGCAGAAAGTTTCAACTGAAAAGTGTTATTCGGGGGGTTAGTTCGTCTACAGACATGCTGGGCCAACTGGTGTTTGGTGAGGTGGAATTTGTACATCAGGCAGGCCAAGTTCATTCATTCATTCATTCACTTGCATACTTTATGAACAAATTATTCTCGCCCCAGTGGCTTCATTGTACGATGAGGACAAACACTTTCATGTCATGATTTTGGGCACCGAGGATGGAAGCAGGGGTTTTAGACTGAGAGGACTCATCCTCTCATTAACTTGTAATCGATGCAGCATGAGGAACATTGAAAGCACTTTTGACACAACCACCACCCAAAAACACATTTACTACACCATGAAAATTTGCATAAGTTGTTTTATTCATAGTTATTGTCCTTTTTATATCTCTTTTTAATTGTTTTGTCTTTTGTTGAGGTGGACATCCCGTAATGTAAGCCTGAAGCCCTTAGCTGAGTTGTTTGCACATCACCCTCTGAACTGAAAAGAAAGGGTAGGAGGAGGAGTGGAGTGGGTTTTTTTCCTCCTTCTCTCTCTCTCTCGCTCTCTCTCACTCTCTCTCTCCTTATCTCACTTACAGCAGCCCAACTCAACCTTTATTTTCTTTTGTTTGAACAAAGAGTGTACCTTACAGTATATTTACACATCATACTGACTGGCTGTTCGACAATTTCCACGTAGATAATGCAAGGAAGATTGAACTTTCAACATTTGCTTCTTTGTTTTCATATTTTTTATTCTACAGTCTTGTTCTCCTTTGATCCACTTTCTCCTCTCATGCTTACTTTGTAGTGAGATTTTCCTCATCTTCATTGTAATCATTATCATCATCATCATCATTTCCATCATCATCATCATAACATCATAATCATCATTATTATATCGATATAACTCTTTTCAATAGATTCCTCTCTGACAACTGTACAGTCGTACACAGTGTTTGACTTTTATATATATTTTTGGGAATATATTATTAAAACCTAAGAAAAGAGGAACATAATCTCAAAGAAAATATATTAGTATCCCAAAGTAACAAAATCATGCATTTTTTAATGTATTTGTCCATAAAAACAAAACAAAAAAGTAACATAACAGATGGGATTTGGTTTTATTTACAAATTGATCTTGGCACTGTTTTTGTCGTCTCTTGCTGGAAACTGGAATGATCTTAAAGAATACTTTTTAACTTTATGGAGCACAACACTCTCCCGGTATTATAAGTCAGTGACCTGCAAATAAATGCAGATTTAAGAGACATATTCTATTTTTCAAAGCACATAAAACGTAAAATAAAGGAAGGGGGGAAGAAAAAAAAACAACATTGGATCTGACCGAGGGGGAAAAAAAACAGAAACGGTGTGTAGAAAACATATTCACTTCAGCTTTACACTGTGGCAGTTTCCTCTTTTTAGGCAGAAACCCTGTGACATCATGTCGACTGACGTTTTTTTTTCCTCTGAATTACAGGCTCTCTCCTTGTTTTAACAGGTGCACTCACTTGATTACCATTGTTAGGGTGAAAATCCAAAAAGAGAACATTGATTCTGTCAAAATTCTTTTCGTAAAGCAGCATTAATTGACTCTGGCAAATCAAATAAAGTAGACAAACGTAACAGAAAACCACCAGTACAGACCTACGCCCTCAGTTTGGCAGGCAGGCAGGTAGGGGTAGCTGTCTACTATTCCAGTGTTGCCTTGTCAAACAAGTGCTTGACCGTTGATCCGAGGATCTAGTATGTGAGCAAACATAAGGATGAATGTGTCTGTGTGTGTGTGTCTGTGTCTGTGTGTGTGTATGTGTGTGTGTTTGGGTGTCTCTGCATACTCATATTCAGTGCAAACACATTGGGTGAATCTCCCATGTTGACCACAGCCCCTCAGCTCTGTTGTTTCTATCGAAACACTTAAATCTACAGTATCGTCCATCCCTGTCCATTCCTTTACCTCTCATTCTCTGCAGTTCTCTCTTGCACCTTTTCAAAGAGAAAGACCACCAGGCAGACTGACATGCCTTTTTGTTTATCCAGCCTGATGGCGGGATGACTGGCGCTTTACCCACCCTCCCCTCCCCCAAACCCCCGTCCACCCAGCCTCAGGTCCTAGCACAGTCCAATGTACTTGAGATTGTTCTGGATGATCACGTCCGTGACAGCATCGAACACAAACTGGATGTTGCTGGTGTCGGTGGCACAGGTGAAGTGCGAATAGATCTCCTTGGTCTCCTTGTTGCGATTGAGGTCCTCGAACTGCCGCTGCACGTAGACAGCCGCCTCCTCATAGGTGTTCTGACCTTTGTAGTCAGGGAAGCACACTGTCAGAGGAATGCGCTTGATCTTCTCCGCCAGCAGGTCCTTCTTGTTGAGGAATAGGATGAGTGATGTGTTGGTGAACCAGTTGTTGTTGCAGATAGAGTCGAAAAGGCGCAAGCTCTCGGCCATACGGCTCTGCGGGAATGTGGAAAAAAAGAACAAATATATAACAGATCATCGAACCACAAGGAAAATATAGTTTTCTTTGAAGCAACAAAAACAACTCATATCAGCCCAAACAATCAGACTTCTTACAGAGGGAGGATCATGTGACTTGGAAAAACCCAGAGGAGAAAATTATACCATGTAAGGTTATTGCAAGATTGAAGAATGAAAACCAAGACAACATAAGAGCAATTTCACATCTGAAATCATCTAGCACAGGTCAGAGATCTCCTCTTGACTAGCCAAAGGTACGCCTCCTCTGTTATGGCAACAGAGGCTTGAGCCTCAGACAGATGAAGACCTGAGTTTGAACTCTCACGTATAACTCTGAAACAACTGATTACTTCTTTTACCACTGCTCTCTTCCTCCATGTCCAAAACTGTGAAACGGCCGGATGTGTCAGCCTTGATTCACCTCATCGTAAAAAAACACCCAACTCCCCTCAATGTGTAAGTGTATGAGAATTGGAGCCTCTGACGTGAAGACAGTCGAGTCTTTGTCTACTGTTTACAGTGAGGACAGACCGCTCTGACTCTCACATCAAAGACTCAGCCACTGAGACATATTCATACACTAAACTGGCTGTTTTTTTATGAACAAAGTCCTCTGCAGCTTTCAGCTTCCCAAAAAGTTACAAACCAGATCCTCCATATGTTCTTGGGTTCACACACAAATTAGGTGTTTCTTTGTTTTTCTGCTGTAGGTACTCGGAGAGCACAGTCCCTGCCAAAGTCAGCAATACAAATAAAAAAAAAATGCAAATACTCCAAGCAGAATTACTACTTTTTGGTATATTTGGATATATTTTTATACCTGTGGAATCAAATTAAAACACTGAAATAACATAATTAAAGGTCCGTGTTAAGCTTGTACCTCCAGGACGGTAACAAACGAGGCAAAAAACTGCATCTTTTAGGGAGGACAGATGCATAAATGTGACTAAAGCAGCAGTTTTTTATGGTCAGTAAATTGAAATAATTCAGACTTAATTTCAGCTCAAGTCCAAACCTGCCTCTGCCCTACTTCCTACCTCCACATTGAACTCTCTTTCATAAAAGCAGGACAGGAACAACCGTGAAAAACACCACTAAAAACATAACTAGCTTTGGGGAGCCAGTCAGCGATTTATTACACAGCTTTATAATGGGGATTAATAATGCACTATGTCCAGCTGATAAATGAGGAAAGGCAAAGCACATTGATTTGTACTTCATGAGCGCTTAACAAATGAACCGTATGAGGTTAAATTAATCATGTGTTACTAAAAAAAAACAACTAAAATGTGAGGGTGATCAAGAAGCACAGAAGAAAACCAGAGCGTTAACTCTCTGACATTATTACAGTTTAAAAATTATGTAGCCCGGTTCGCTCTTTCAGCCAGTTTCTCACACACTACACTACAACGATTCGTAAAAATCAACTATTCAAATGTTTGCACCAACTTTAAATGGACTCCCGTGTAACTGAGAGAAAGTTGAACTCAGCTGGCTTTAGTAGAGAAGAGACGGTTTGTGTGCATCTGTTTGTGTCTGTGTCCAGGAATGCAGTACAGATTGCACCCTTGTGACACTGAATGTATAAGAAAAAAAGACGGAAAAATAAAGTTGATTTGTTCACGGCTGCTGCTGGCATGTGGCTGCTAGCCAGCAGCTTGTGACTGGGAGGCTGTTGGAATGAAGACTGCTGTTTAAAAGGTTACAGAAACAACATGATGCTTTGAGCAAATCACAAGATCTGCTCAGCATGAAGAAAGATATTGAGGGGAATAGCAAAGGTTTTGATAATTGTAGTGCAGCTTTAAAGGAAACTCTCATCGTTTACTGGTTAAAGTACAATTTTGTTGTAAAGTAACGACAAGGCTTCGGTTATGTAAAACTAGCTCGCTGTGAGCAAAGGAGTGAGCAAAGTTGCTTAATGTTATCAAAAAGTACGGATAGGCAAATTAAGTTAATTACAGATGCTTAGGTTAAATTTGGGGGCATTTTTTGGACAGGAAAGCTGAAGAGGGACAGGAAATATTTGGAGCAGAGAGGGGGTAGACATGAATTGAACCTAAGACTGTTAAAACGAGGACATTTGCCTCTTCAGAGTTAGGTTCAGGGCTACTTGTCTTTAATAATAGTGCTTAACAGTTCCTGTGGTCCACTGTTGTCTGTGTTTCCATCATGGCCTGCAGTCCCGGGTGAACTGTACAAATCAGGTCAATGAAATTCAGGGACAGTATTTGGAAATTAAGTTGTTTTCTTATAAGAATAACCCTTGAAGTGGTAAAACACCCACAACCACCTCAAGATAGGAAAAAAAATGTACATGGACTCAAAATCAAAATCCATGTATAAGTCTTGTTTTACTGATCAGAGAACATTAGGTTAAGGACTCTTTTTAATAAAACCAGCTCTATCAAAGGTTTATTTCTATCAGAGTAAACCTCAGATCTCCTTAAAAACATGACTATAACCCAAAAAAAAAAACATTTAAAAGTGGTACCACCAGACTGCTCCACCTCATTCAACCTCATTGTCATTGCTTGCGTCTGTGAGTGCCATCTTTGTATTGTAATGCAACTGAGTATTATATGCTGGTATATTGGTGGCACCAGTGTTCAGGATGCTGATTTTAAAATGGCATAAAGTGCACCTGAATTTTACAGAACTTTTCTGTAGTGCACAGGGGATGTGGAATAATTCTATTTTGTTACAGCCAAGAAAAGCAAACTTCCAAGTTATTTCCTTCCTTATCCTTCACCTAAACTACTTAAAATCTATAATAAAAGAAATAGCAACCTTGGCAGTCACAGAATTACGATGGAGTATTAGAGCCACATTAAGGGAAAAAAAATTAAGACTTTGAGATTAGGGTCATTAATATACAAGAATAGAGTCATTACTTAAGAGAATAAAGTTGTAATAAAATCATTACTTATGAGAATTAAGTCAGAATAAAGTCCTTATATTCTAATCTGTTGTTTAAGATGACGGTTGTTTAAATGAGAGCTATAAAGCATTTTGTAAAAATGTTCTTTATTATAGGTTTCTCAAACAAGGAGATACTTAATCTTTTGGTACATCAGCACCACATTATCATAAGTATCAAAATGATTTTAGTATGACTTTATTTTCATAAGTGATTACTTTATACGACTTTATTCTCGTTAGTAATGACTTTATTCTCGTACATTAACTACTTTAATCTCGAAGTCTATATATATATATATATATATATATATATATATATATATATATATATGGTTTTTTTTTATGTGGCCCTAATACTCAGTACGTCATACAGAATAAAACCACACCTAATGGAAAAAAAGTTTTCCTGAAACTTTGGTTCTGTTGAACCACAAGAAGTGCAAAATAGCTGCTGGGTACTGTGGAAGAAATCCCAAAATATCCCTTTGCCTTAGTGAAAAATGAGCGTATTAGTTATTTAACTAAATTACCCCACCACAGCAAGTGGTATAAAAGGACCATCTGCTTATTACGAATTGCATAAGAAGGTGTCAGGATTAAAGCTGCTCTTTCTTCTCCCGTGAGTTGGCCTCAGTGCCCCTGTTGTCTCACATGTTGCTACCCATTAAGTCGGAAACATAAGCCCCTCTCTCTGTTAAGTCAATGTCCTCAGGGACTTCGCGTTGTACATAAAACAAAGTCATGCTATGCTGTTTGACCTTCCCCCCCTCCTCTGTCTAGGGTGTCAAAATAAGAGTTCAGCAGCTAGGAGAGGATGGCAGGACACAGCCAGCTGGGTCCAGGGAGTCTACACCTGCCCACTGCAACGACATAGAGTAAGAGTTCCTTTGTGTCGGGCAGGGAGAGAGGAAGGGCAACATCCAGGGGCAGTAATCACCCACCGTTTCACAGATACACTCACAGCTTTACCCCTCACTTCCTCCCGTTGGAGTCGTCCAGAGGAGAGGGTCTTAATTATGCTGAAGTATTAATGAGGAAGTTCAACCCAGAGCCATTGCTTTGTCTCCCATAAAAACAAATCACTTAAGTGTGCAGCCACCCTTTTGTAATTCATTAAGGTCCATTTTAAATGTCACTGCCTGACAAGAGGGGCTGCTCTGCTCTTCCCAGATGATTTTTCCTGTCATCATGTTTTGTCTGCTCTACCTGAAAATGGTATTTTTTTTTCAGCCAGCTCCCCCCCCCCCCCCCCCTCTCTCACGTAATTACCTACGTCTGTGTTTCTGTTGGCAGCAACTGTGCCGGGTTCGCCTTCAATAAAACAAACAAACAAACACATTAAAATTGTGCATAATTGTGCTACACTCTCAGCTGTGCAAGCTTATCAGAGTCACAACAGTTTCTATGTTTGAGATGATAAAGCTCAGATTTTAAGGTTCTCATGCTGTGGGGTTGAGAACAAGAATAAAGTATTTGTTTTTTCATCCAATCAGCCCAATGAGAGCATTGTATAATGTAACACTTTAAAGGCTATGTGTAGCACTAAATTGTCTGACTATAGGTCATCATTTTAATTACAAAACAAAGTCAATCTGAAAGTATTCATAATAATTCAATAACACAACAGATTCATGAAATTGTATATACAAAAAAACTTACAGGGATGGCCATGACGAGGTTTTTGTTCTGTGTCCTTGAACAATCTCATTTAATTTCCTGGAAATCTTCTTCTTTCTTTTTTAAAAACAACATTATATCATATGAAGAAATTCAATTACATGATAATGATGCCTTTGATAACCCCTAAGGCGGCGACTAAGATGCGGCTGAGTGTGCAAGAATACTCCTGAACACATTTGGGGCACGGCTCTGACACGTGTCTCTCTGTTTCTGAAGACTCAAAACCATCTTGTTACATTCATCATTTTGTGTTCGTTTGCTGCTGCTGAAAAGGAAAAAGTGCAAAAGACAAACTTTAACATGAACATTGAACACAAAGTAGCTGATTATACAGGTGTCGTTCGTTCATGTGATGTAATTATTTGCTGCGTAAGAGATGATACGAAGGAGAGGAACAGGGCAGCTACTGCAGTCACCGTCTTCCTTTATGTTTGGCTTAAACAAGCACTAACCTCACATCTTGGCTTTTCATTTCCACCTCACACACACGCAAGATTCACTGCAGTTGCTCGACCTCAGCCGTTGCATATAAACCTGCGCTATTACACATTCATAATGACGCACCCACAAACACTGTGCACTGGCACACAATGCATGCGTGCACATATACACCACATGTATTCTCTCCAGCCCTGCTGTTTGTTGTACGGCTCCCCCCCCTCCCCTTCCTCCGTCCTTCTCATCCTCTCTTCCCTAGTCACAGCTCACTGTCAACAGCACAGGATTAGGAGCATTTGACTGGCCTGTTGCTAAGCAACAGTAACCACAGCAACCGATTCATTATGAAGACAGGGATGGGACAGGGAAAATGCATCAGGGAATGGGTTGATGGGTAAATGTTGTACTGTAATTATTCTGGTGTATTTTCTGTCTTGTGCGAGCTGGCGCGTGAAACTGAACTGTGCTGATCTGCTGTGATCAAGTTTTTTTTTTCCTGCTGGAAGGCTGAGATCCTTGTGTTGATCCCAGTTATTACAGATGCAACACCTTATCCTCTAATGAGGTCCTAAACGCAGCAGAAACTGTTTAAAACGGGTTTTCTGTAGATACATTTACTAAAAAGTGATTAATAACTCAGATTTCCTGAATGCAGTTGTGTGATGAACTGAACTTTTGAACAGTCACCATAAATTCAGCCGTCCACTTCCATCATCGTTCCTGCCGTGTCCATTTCCACAGAAAAACCCGTTATTTAGCTTCTTACAAATATGCTACACAAACTATAGAGCTGCTTCAATTCACAATGTTTTCTGCGTTTGCATCTGAAACTATAAAAGATACAAGAGGCAGCTGCACATGAACTAAAACTGATGAGTCATGTCAGGTTCAGAGAGTTGAATCAGACTTTGTTGAGAAAAATGGTTGTTAGAGCTCATGGAGTTTTACTTTACATCTTTGAGCTGACGGCTCTTTTACAAATCTCAGTGTGCTTATTGAGTCAGCTGGGACAGTGTGCTGACATGGAGGTGATCAGGTTTACAAAGCCAGGGTCAGTGTCATGTGAAAAGTAAATATTACTGTTGCTGCAGGGGAATCACCGTAACGTATTAGACTTAAAGCCCTCCCTTGTCATATAAGAGTTATAAAGTTGAAACATGTTGTGGATATAAAAGCTAAGGAGCCTAAAATTAATCTCAGTCTGCAAAAAAACTTTCGGCGGATGTTGTTAACATATTTAGGATCAATGTTGCTAAAGTGGTGCCTCATCAGTGCTTCCTAACCTTAAAAAAGAGCCCTTTCATGCCAAACGTCTGTGGAATTTAAGCTTATTTCTTGGGACTAGGACTTCTACCACATATGTGAAAGGATATCCGTTATAATGCAGAAGCTAAGGTTTGGGTCGGGTTTATAATCTAAACAGTGTGTGAAATCTGCAATGTGGTGAAAACTGATCAGAAACGCTTGAAATACAATCAGTCTGCCTGATTTTGCACAAGTCAACTGTGAAGAGTAAAATGCTTCTTTTTATGGGAACACTTTTGTGTTCATTCATTATCTGCTTGTGCTTATCTTGTATGACAGCGAGTCACGAATGCTTTTTCTCTGCACCAGTCAGGGTCATCACCATGTCCCAATAATTCACCAAAACATTGTACTAACCTTCACTCTAAAGAGTACCTTAATTATAACCAATGCTTAACCAGACCCAACAGGAACCAAAATTTCATTTCCATTCACTCATACTCCATTAGCTGGGGCGTAATATAAAGTATGTAACTAGATATGCACAGAGTGCAGATGTGTCTCTGCACATATTGCATATTTTGTCTTTCTCAGATTGCAGATGTATTGAACGTCAAGAGACCAGACTGTGCATTAGGTAACAGCTGCTCAGCAGCATTGTATCAGCTGACAGTGGTTATGAAAACGAGCAGCTCCAAGATGCTGGGATTTACTTTGGAGCTTTTCTTCTGTAGACGCTGGTAAAGCTAGATCTCAGACTATATTGATGAGGGCGTGGCCTGATATCTTAAATAGCCTCCACCACCACTTTGAGTTTTGTATTCTCGTAGGGCCTCTCCATTGTCATTGTCAAGGGTTGTTAATGTAACCCTATAAGTACTCAGCTGAAATACTTCGTCTGAGCCAGCAGCACTGTTAAGGTTTAGTTGCATCAGACTAAACACTCACATCAAAGTAGAACATATTGTAGGTCATTCCTGCTCAAAGTTTTCATCCTCATGAACCTTCAAGAAGCTCAGTCAAATGGAGATTATATGCTGCGTTCGAGTTACCTTGAAAGTCAGATGTCGGAGCTGAAAATGACATCACACCAAAGTTCCCAGCATCTCAGTTACCAAGTCAGAGAAAAGTAAGAAACAAGATGGCTACATCTACGAAAGTTATTTTAGCACTTGCCTTATATTCAGTCAAGTAACTTTCAGCCATCTTGTTTCGGCCTCCTATTTTGCTTTTTTCTGACTTGGTAACTGAAATGCCGGTAACTCGGGTGTGACGTCATTTTACTGGATCAGCAATAGCTCTTCATCTTTATTTCAAAGAAATATAGCAACGTAACGTAGCACATGTTATGATAGTGCGCTAAAACGTGTGTAATATCCTCAATGCCGACTAAGTTTAACCTTTTTAGCCTTTGTTCTTGCTGCTTATTGATTGACATAATTTTGGCACACTCTGTCGCCGATATTATCCGTACATGTTTGAGTAGTGTTTTTAAACAACCAAGAGACTGTCCATCTTGTGGATGACAGTCTTGCTTGCTCTTTTAAGTCAAAGTGGCATTACTGTTGATCTCAGTTTCTTTAATGACCAGTAAAAACCCAATCTTGGTGCTAAAATCTCTAGGGATTCATCAGTATGGGAATTTTTTATGTAGTTGCTGGTTTGGTTGATGTACTATGATTGTGGTGTTGAATATAAACTCAAAACATTACCTGAAGAAAAGAATAATAAGGTAATACCTTTTGAAAAATGTTGGACTGTCAGCCCCCACATTGATTCAAATAAAACTCCCTCAATGATGTGCAACAGAGAAATATTTGTAATGTAACATCAGAAACCACGTTCCCAGGTTTTTGAGCAGTTGTCTGTACACAAATGAACAAGAGCTTAACTTTGGTTCTTTCAAATAATCACATGATTTCTAGGCAGTGGCGAATAAATCTGTTACATCAGAGTAGCCACAAATGAATGCATTGATAATCATTGAATCATTGAAATCCACTTAGGAAAGGTTTGATCATCTCTAGATCCATTCACATGTGTAGGCTTAGCCCATCTATCACTAACTGATTAAAATCAGTGTTGCAGTAAAGACTGAGTCGATCACCGACATGCAGCAACATAAGATCAGAGAGGAAATATCTCAAATACTTAAAAGAATACCTCAATGGAAAATGTACAAGATGTTTGTTTGAGACTCATGTCTGGTGAGTCTCTGTGCAAATGTCGGGTTAATGGGAACTCAGACAGGGTTTCACTTAATCAGATAAAGCAGCCTGTCATACTTTAGCTATGAAAAATCGTTTCCAGTCATTTATCTGTAAATATTAGCTTTGTGAGTAAATACACATAAAAGTTGTACAGATAGTCAGTGTTTTCACTAAAAACCAAGGCTGAAGATATCAGAATTAACAGAAATCTTATTCATTACAGGCTCTGCGGGAGGATGGCTGCTCTAATTTCAGGATGTGTTCCTTTTTTCTTCCTCCCTTTTCTTTGAATAATAAAAGTTGTTTATTTTCAGCACCTGCTAACTCCCATTGCTACATGGTGCCTTCACAATCAGCTAATTCTCACAGGTACAGCCTCACACTTCATTCTGTGAACTCAATTAACACCATCCTGCATTCTTCTCCTCAGACTTATTTTTAACCTAATTGATTTCATGTTCCAACCTGGCAAAGTGCAAACTCTCTTTTTTTAAGGGAAACCCCTGAGTTATCAGGCCAACCCGGTTACAGGAATAACAGTTTTCTCTCCGCTGAAACAGTTTCTGTGGAGACTATGTGAAGATGAGGAGGCTGACATAACCCCATTTGTAAAAAAACGCAATAATTCCAGGAATGAAACAGGAAAAAGTTGACCCCTCATAGTTTGTCTAGACTAAAAAGAAAATTACTATCTATTGTTGACCTTCCATTATCAGAATGACGGTTAAACAACCAGTAACAACTCATCCATTATGAAACACTCAGATAACAAGATGGGGATGCTATTGAGAGCGAATCGTTGAAATTCCACAACCATGAAGAGGGTATTACAAACACCGGCCGCTCTCTTCATTCAGACAGATTGAAAATAGCACTGCTACCACATTAAGGCAGGCTAAACGCATTTCATGCCATATTTAACACAAACTCGTGCCTCGAGCCAAAAAACTTGGGATAAAGACCACAAATGTGAATTTGGCTTTCAAAATTATTTATAACATGAACTAACACTGATTAAACTGGAAAGCATTTTAACTATGCAGTAACGATATTTTAAGAAAGGAAAAACGATATAAGACACATACAGTAGTCCTGAATACCTTGAAGTAATGTGATGTGAGAACATCCTAGAAATCTACATCAATGAGTCAACAAAATAGATCAGCTGAAATATGTAAAGAAAGAGAGGCTTGAGGAGTAGTTGGTATTTATGTTTCTATGTTTTACATCTGTACCATGGAGCTCTTCAGATCAAGAAAATAATGCTCTTCACATCACGCTCTTATGGAGGCTTTTGGACCAACATGAGCCAAATACATATAATTTAAAACAATAAAGCATGATATACTTTTTATAGTGAAATAACACGCTAGAATGAAACAGCCGTACACAGAATCTAAAATAGATGCAGTTGGAATTTTCGAAATATTCAAACTCTTATTTGTGGATAGATGGGTTAATATAACGCAAATCTGGACACACCTTAAAAAAAAATTTAGGCAGCTATTTACCTTTAAAAATTACAAAGTATGTTTGTAAAACAGAAACTGTGCTGCTGGTTTTCCTGTGACTGCAGCGTGGTTACTATAATGAAGACGGGGATGAACGGAGAGGAAATGACACAGCTGAACAGGCCCGTGTTTGCTGCTCTGAACTGTGAAACCATTTAATACAAATATTAATTGTATAATCTACTTGAGAGCAATCACATTTTCCCTTTTCGCCAGATGAAAAACAACTGATGTGCTAAATCGAAAAGTAAAATAAAATATGCCTCAATTTACTCATTGAGGCATACACAGTCCAGATAACAAAGATTACTGGTATCTAAAAGCATTATACTAAATCAGATTGGTCCGTCTCATATAAGAGATATATTCCCTACTTAATAAGCATATCCATGATGGAAAACAACAGCTGCATCCTTCTTCATGAATGGGTTGACATTTTGATTAGAGAAAAAAATGACCAGCGCCTTCTGCCTCCTGAGACTGCTTATGTAAAGTTAGTGATTAGTTTGGATTTATCCGAGCATGTACGTGCACTTATTTTTTGAGAGTGAATTGTAGCCCAACAAAAAAGATTCTTACCGTCTGGTTGTCCTCGTAGAGTTTAAGGTCATAGCCACTTAGCTCGACACAGAAAATGATTGCAGTCACGCCCTCGAAGCAGTGGATCCACTTCTTTCTCTCTGAACGCTGTCCGCCCACATCCACCATCTTAAAGGTGAGCTCCTTGAAGGTGAACTTGTTCTCCACAATGCCAGTGGTCATATCTCGGGATCGAAGAATGTCCTCTACTGTGGGGATGTACTCAGCTGCAGAGATGCGGTCTAGGTCATTCAGATAGTAGGCAGTGTTGTCCTCTAAATGGTACTCATTGGATCGTTGAAAGCACTCCTGGACCCCTGAGTCGGCCCAGAGACGTTTCATGACCCCCAACAGCTCCGGAGTTATCTCCCCCTTGCTCTCAGCTGGGCCTGTGAGGGCAAAGAGCTGCACAGCGTCATAGGCGCGATCAGGATTGTGAAAGTCGATTTTGAGGGTGGTGAGGGCCCGGATGATGCGGGTGAGCGAGTCGATGGCATTGTACAGGATAAGGGGCTTGTACTCCTTGCATGCCTCCAGGTTGAAGCCTCCACTGTGGATGATCTTCATCTGCTTGACAATGGTGCTCTTGCCTGAGTTGCTGGTACCCAGCAGCAAGAGCTTGATCTCACGCCGCTGTCTCTGACTCTCTGAGCGCAAGTGGCGGTCGATCCGCCGCGAGCGCCGAGCCGCTTCCTTCTCCTCCGAGCTCTGACGGCATCCCATGGTCCTCCACCACGTGGTTAGCACAAAGGAACTCGTGCTGCTGCTTGATGGGAAAGCAAATTACGATGAAGTAGTGAAGGGAAGTAGATGTTGGGGGTTGGCGAGGGCGCTCTGTACAGGTGGGAACTCACTTGGATGTGGCAGACTAAACTTGACAACAGACTGATGTTAGAGGAGACAGGAGAGCCACCACAGAAAGTCGTGACTCAGGAGGATTTCATCTTTTGTGTAGAGGGGACAGCAGTCTGTAACTCCAGTGTGGGCAGAACCCAGACTTGTGGGACGCCCACACAGTGCCTGGCACTGAGGTTCAACTGCCTGCTGAAGCCAAGGGAGCTGGGGTTCATAGCAGGGGCTCCCCCTGAGGAACAATCTGGAGCAGTTCTGGAAATCGTCAGTGTTTGTCAGTAGAGAAAGTGTTTAGGCTTGATGTGTATGAATACCAAAACTCCCTCATTCTCCTCCCACATGGCTCTTGTGGTGTGTTGCCCTTGTGCTGCTTCTGCAACTCTCCCACCTCAATTAAGTGTTTGGTTTGCCTGACCTTGGCAAAATCTTTTCTCTTTCTTCTCTGTTGCGATATCTCCCCAACAACTGAAGGCCTCTTGATCTGGCAATGCAAAAGAAAATAGATATTACCACATGGATACATGACATGTTGCAACATATTACAGCGCTGTCTTCACTTATATTTTTCTTCTATCTCTTTAATTTACAATAAGTCTGAAGTTCTTTAAAATACTTCTTATCTCTTGGATAATACAACAAGAAAATGTGCCCCATCCTGTTGTTGGTTTATTGGGGTAGAACTTGGCTTGTGATGTAATTGGCCTATCACGGAGCAGGAGAAAGCAGCAAGCCAGATTTCTCGCATGGAAAATGACCATCTTGTCTAAAACTTACTGATCAATTTAGATATTATTTAATCCAATCCAAAGATGTGTAAAGATGATTATGTGTGGTTGTGTTTTATTCACTTGGAAATACTGGAGCCTGTGCTCTTAATGTGACCTAGATCTAGCCAGAGGATAAAAGTTTGACCACAAATGTCCATTTTCGATTCTTGTATTGATTAAAATAACAAGATTTAATATGCCAATTAGAGAGATTTACAGTTGCTAGTTGGTGTGTTTCTTTATCTCCTGCTACTTTCCCCTGCTTTTAGTCTCTACATTGAGCAAAGCTGATTAGCATCTTGAGAAACGAGAAGAAACAAATCTGTATGAGCAGACCGTCTAAAACGTGACTTTGAGAGAAAATGAGGAAATGTAATTAGAAATAAATCATAAGATGGATTTATTTGTGGTCACTTAAAGAATTAGATCACAGTCACATGCATGCTAACCAGCACATTTAGCATTCAACCATTGCCATGACACCGCCTCTTCAGATTTCTGCTCCCAACAGTCACACGCCCCTAATCTTTCTGTCTGCAGTCCTGCGTTACCATAGACTCTGAGCCAAAGTAGATCTCAGCTCACCGCATCTACCCATTCAGCACTGCCGCACACAGACACACACTCGGTATATATACACACAATCAAGGTCAAACATATGCATAAAGACAGACACAGAAAAAATATCCATCAGCAGAATAAGCTATATTAGTGTGATTCCTTGTAACCGCAGCATCTTCTGCTATGAAGAGTGAATCAGAAATCCTCTGTGTATCCTTCTTCTTGCCCTGCCTTTCCCTGAAAGCTCCTCAGCAAAAAAGACATCAGGTGAAATGCTTATTTTTTTTCACAGTGGAAAAAAACAGGCTAAAACCAGCAGGTGCTTTTCGTGCTTTCATGCTGCTGTAAAGCCCCTTCTCCTTGCCCAAACATCTGTGCTGTTATCCTTAGGAGTCTAAACTGCGATTTGAAAAAGAAAAAATAAATGATTTCTGGGAACACTTGGCTTCCTTTTAGCCTTGCTCTGAGATAGTGGCTGCTCAACAGGGAGTGGTTTAAACTTTATTGAAAATATACCACATTCCCATAAGTGTAGGAGAATGTCTTCAAATGAAATTCTGTTGTCGTGGATTTAAAGTAAAAACACATCTGTTGCAGTAAATGCCTTTTGGATTCTGCGAGAGACAGATTCACATTGAAACAGGCTGCATTCTGTTGGCTGAGTAACAAATGTGAAATCATACTGTGGCCTAGTTTTGTTGGCGAAACTTTACTCTGCAGACCTGTCACATAGACAGAGAGAAAGCATTTCTCAGAGCTGAGTGAGTGAAGTCCAGTCTTCAAATGACTGAGGGGACAAACAGAGCAGAACAAAGCCATAACAAAGCATCACAACACAAACAGAGTGGGGAGCATTGTTTCCTGGCTCCAGGCACCTGACTACCCTCTTGAAATGGCATAGCCAGCCAAACCGGTTAATGCACATCACTGATTTTGAGGGCCTATGCAACATATTAAAGCTGCGTGTGTAGTCTTTTCAATTTGCTTATTCACAAATATGCAGCTCTTGCATTTCTACATGTTTTGAAGTCTTCACGCTCGCATTAAATGCTCGGAAAGTGGTGTGTCAGCGGAGTAAAACCAATGCATATCGTAATCACATTAAAAAGGTATTAATTTTGTTCTCCGTGCTATTTCACTGAATATATGAAAGCTGCTGTTGCCTACCTACACCCAAATAATGAAAACATAAGCAGGATGAAATGCCAGGAACACAGAAAAATCCCGACAGTAAATAAGCTGAAATTAATTAAGATTACGAGTCAAGCTTGGAAATATGCTTACTTTGAGTGCAAATTATGTAGCTCACTTTGAAGAGAAAATAGCTGTGAAAGAGACAACGGCAAACAAAATACTCCCCGGGAGGCAGGTTTTCATGAGAGGCCTTCAGGGTTATTGTTTTTACCAAATAAGAATACATTCCCAGCCTTACCTCCTCTGATAACTCATATCTATCCTTGTTTATGTCCAATCATGCTCTCGAAAAGACGAGTATTACAAGGACACGTGCGGTATCCCACAGTCAGCTCAAGTACAAAGAAGAGGTGTGTCGCTTTAAGAGTAAGCGAGTGGAGGTAGAGCCACGGGGGCCCACAGAGAGAGGCCAGCATCTCCATGTATCATGAGGGCTGAGGTAACGTGATAGCCAAGATGACACCGAGTCTGGTCACTCTCCTTGCCTTCCCTTCTCATCTCTTAGTGCACTCGGCCCATTAGCTCTCTCCTCATCACTCTCCCTGGTGCTTACCTCCTATTATTAATTCACCATGCTGCAAATAATTACAATCACACTCTGTATTAGGAGGGGAGTTCATGTAGTCACAGTCTTTCTGTTGTATTACAGTCTCTTCCTTCCCGCTGTGGCAGTTGGATCCACAGAAATATAATTTGATCAATCACATTAAATTGAGTGGTGACTTTAATCTGTCTGAGGCTCAGCACTACAGCCCAGAAACAATCTATGTCTAAGGAAAAGATATGTTTAAACTCTGTAACAATCCAGACAGTCTGAATATGATGAAAAGCGTCGCAATCCTACATGATGAACCAACATAACAGAGTGCTGAAATACTGCATATGTATTCTGCATTTGTTGACATTTACCAACGTAAAAGATGAGGAAAACCGGTTCAGGCAGTCAATGTCCGAGTGGCCTGAGGATATAATTTCAACAACCGCTAGAAACAGGACTTATTAACATCAACTTAAACAAATATATCTCCATCTGTTTGCAGGTTCAGTGAGCACATCGTGATGCTGCAGCCAGGCCCGTTTAGCATGTATTAAACATTCAGTCGAAGATGCACATAAAAGTATTACGGTATGGGTACCAACCAAATCACATGATTGGAGAGGATACTGATTGAAAGGGATGAATAATTGAGTAATCGAGTACTGTTTACTATCATGACTTGAGTATTGTTCTTGGCTAAAGTAATGCAACATAATAAGCTTACAGGTAGGTTTTCCATTTGTAGAAGGAGAGGGTTAAAGGACATGCTGCACCATGTTAGCCGTGACCAAGAAAAGTGATATGTGTGAGTATTTTAAAAATACGGATGAAAATACATCTGGGAGACAACACAGCATTTGCTAGCCATGTTAGCAGGCGCTGGTGTGATGATACCAAAGTGGCTTGCTAATCATGAAAATGGTGACTCTATCAATGCTCTCCTTGAGTTTTATGGAAGGTTAAGGCTTCCGTGAGCTGATGGCGTTGGTTGAGACGGAGTATTAGCCACCATCAGGGCAAACGTTGAGGTACATACGAGGAAAGTACAGCGGAGTTTAGGGCTGTTTTGCTCAGCTGACAAAGTGGCTGTCAACACAGACTCATGCTCAGGTCTCACCATGGAGTCGTACATTACTACCACTCGTCGCCTCATTCCCAACAGGGATTTGAAGACCGCTGTCATTCAGACACACAGTACTGATGAACTGCATGCAGCAGAAATCTGAGCCAACAAGTATAAAATATATAAATTATATATAAATATATTTAAAAAATGGAGACTATTGGAAATGCCCATTCCCAGGTCGGGAGGAAGTTGTTATAAAGCACAATAACATGGTGGAGCAAAGGGTCTTTATGTGGCTTTTTTTTAACTGCCACCAAAGCAACATTCAACAGACCCTTACTGTCTGGCAGAATGATAAGAGTAAAAATGCAGATAAAAGTTCCAAAATAGCTGGTATCTTGTGCCAGCATGCTGTCTCATCCTTTCAGTTGGTGTCTTAAACACAATAATTTGAAACGGGCTCACCCACAACTAAAACATGTTCTCATAAAAATACAAGTAAATGAGTCAAGAAATTCCCAGTGAATTGGTTCTACTCATAATGCTCAAGATGACTCTGCCTGATTGGATTTGTGCTGTAGCGTTTCCAGTCCGGCCTTGGTAGTTTTTAGTTAAGGTAAAAGATCTGAGTGCTTCCTTAACCGCTGTTTAACTGGATCACGTTGCAGCTATTTAACAGAGCTACACGAGCGTGTTAATTCCATTATGTGTCAGTGTGAAATCAATCTCGCTTTGCTGCTTGAAAACACGTGATAAAATTTAATTCAATTAAACAGCATATGAGTGCAGGTAATGCTCTGGCGCAGTGGCATAATGCGTTATAATGAGGGTGATTGACAAATGTAGGACAGCTCTGTGTGCGCTTAGGTGTGTCAGGAACACAATGCAGAAAATGTATTATTCTTATGAATGGACAGCCAAAGTGTGTGATGTTATAAGAAAAGGTGAAAGGCACAGGTGCGCTTTCAGACACCTTGTAATGGTTTATGAATGAGGCGTGCAGGTGTGTTTTTGTGCTGTGGTCAGCAGGCTTTCATTTCAAGTGAGATTGCAAGGGCTGTTTTAGTGAGGATAAACGTGCTGAGAAGAGCGCTGCACTTTAATTTATGTCCGATTTAACTGTCGTCTCAAACAGGGAACAAGAAAACTATGTTTTCCATTCATGAATCTCTCAGCAAGTACCCATTTACATTGTTGGTGCCTATTTACATCAACAGTCACCAAAACCGAAAAAAAAATCATTCATCACAGCCAAGGAGGCCAAGGACTTTTTGCAAAGCATCTTCGGGACTGGCGCCTATGTTTGCAAAGTGACTGCAAAATAACGCTGCTCTTGTATTCAGTATTCTTATTATGATTACACAGACAAGGCACATGTAGGGCCGTTTTAACCTTGACGATTCAGAACAGTACTGTGCTATGGAAATCTGACTCTTCGATGACTGTACTGTACGGTAATTCATATCCATGTATCCTTAGGGGTTAGCAGGCCTGAACCTTGTGTCACCCTCATTCATGCATCCTCACAGCTGGCCTCGAACTGCGTAGTAAACATATTTTCATGGTGTTAAAAAAAATTGCCCACAGTAATCTTTGTCTTTGCCCCTATCTCAAATTTCCTACGGATATTAGTATACCATTAGGAAGCTTCAGAGTCCCTCCAGCAAATTGCTGTGATATAAAGTATGTGTCAGAGAAAATAAATAGCTCACATGCCTCACTCACATGCTACAGCTGCACAGTGCTCGTGCTGTGGTAGCCGTTTGGTTACGTCTTCCTTCTGACTAGCTTTCCTCTTTCTTCCTGGTCAAAACTCGTAAGATTTGCAGCTGTCTCTAATGTCTAGCTACCTTCTGCTACAATGATTAAACTACTGTAAGCGGTTAGAGTCAGAAGTGATGTGTGCATGTAGTTAAGTACACTAGGAAAGGATGTTCCCCTTTGCTGGTTGGCACAAGACAGAAGGCTGGTGCTGCTTTCATGCAGAAATTTTAGTGCAACAGGGCTAATTTCAGCCTACTTACATTTGTTTACATTTTGCTCTTGTATTGTATTGTATTTTATTTTTGTCTTGGAAACGGACCTGGGTACTAATTTTGTACCACAGCCCTTAGGTCTGCTAACCGAGTCGTCTTAGACGTGCCTCGTTCTTTTTTAAAATCCAGAGGGGAGCGAGCGTTTGCGGTTGCAGCTCCCACTTTGTGGAATGCACGACCCCTCAGTGTGCGTACTGCAAATAGTCCCTCTACTTTTAAAACCCAACTAAAGACACACTTGTTCACCTTAGCTTTTGGCGCAGCATGATGACGCAGTATTGGTTATATATTCGTTTTTGTTTACATTTATATGTTACATGTCTTTTGTTGTTGCTGTTTGCTGTGTATGACTTGCTTTTATTGCTACTGCTTCGTTATTGTAAAGCACTTTGGTAGGCCACTGGCTGTTTAAATGTGCTATACAAATAAACTTGACATTGACACAGATTGTCAAATTTGTGGGGTATGACAAATAAAGTTCCTTGAATCCTTGGTGGTGCTAGCTCTGCTAATATCAGCCGTACTAGATAACCATTAACTGTCGTAGAAGCTGTGCTGTTATTGATGAGTGTGATTTGACATATGCATTAAATGTGAGCATTTCTATAACAAAATAAGATAACCAACAGCCATGTTTTCCTCAACTGCTAGATTTTTAAGGAGGGGAAATCGACCACCAGGTGATGGTTGAGTTAGATAGGCAAAGAGGAGATACATGAAAAGCTTAATTCGCAAATGAAGGCATACATAACAGAAAATCTGGTAAACGGATGTCAGGGCAGGCTAATCCTCTTACAAATATGATTGTTGGCATTTTTTCCACACAGGCTGGGATTTTAAATGCTCCAGAGAAGAGCAGTCTGACAACTTTGAGGAGAACATCATCCCTGTGGCCCTTTATTATGGTGACAATAAATAAACCAATCAAAAAGGTACTGAGGTGTTTTTGACCCTGTAGGTGGAGATCAGGGTGACATTGACGAGTTTGTTTGCATCTTTGTTGATGTTACAAGCTGTGCAAAAAACCAGCACGTCTCACCTGCTCCGGAAGGTTCAGTTAAAATTCCATGGACGTTAGCATTTCTTTGGAGGGTATGACAAACTTGAAGTCTATCAGTGAACGTGTTGACAGTCAAAACATTCACTATCGGAGTATCATCTACAACTGTAAAAACAGTCAACAAAGAGTAGCCCTTCACCTGAAAGAGCATGTCAGTACGCTGTCTCCCTCAACGTACAGTATGAGGAGCAAATATTCATCATTGAATTTAGTATGTGTGGTTGTTCTTTGACAAGAAGATCGTAGTCCTGAAGCTGGGATAATTTTTAAATATCAAGCCAGAACAAACATGCTTTTGCAAGATACTGCCTTTGGGATCAAGCGCTGTTATTGTCAATTTTCCCATGACATCAGTTTAAAAATTTGCACAGATATTTTAAAAGTAAGAGGTAGTATGAGATTTTTACAGCTTGATAGAAAATGCAGGGAAACTTTAATGTAATTAGAAAAATTAAAGCTTGAATATATCTATCTATCTATGCACATGACAGGCTGTTAATTTAAAGAAAGAGGGGGTCTTAATTTATAAGATAGATAGATAGGTAGATAGATAGATAGATAGATAGGTAGGTAGGTAAAATCAGTCAAACTGGAGCTACTTGAAAACAGCTCGAGGAGAATTTCCATGAATTTCTTCATCCAGCTGCATCTATGGCACAGTTTAAAAATTCTGGTAAAATAGGGGGAGGGGGTATTTCTGATCTTGAGCTGTGAAAATCCATTTTCCACTTTGAACTGGGTAGCCATGAAAATCACAAAAAAAGGGGGGTGTTGTTCCCGGATTCATCAGTATAATCAGTAATCTTTAACCACATTTACTGCACTGCTGCATACTCAGGATGGAAAACTGAAAAACTGCATTTCAAACTGATTGGTTCGAGAAAAACAGAAGGAGGGTTTGTTCTATTTTTTTTTAAAGAGACAGACACTGAGATTGACTCAAAGCTACGGATGACGTTACAATCATATTATTCTTAGTATTGAATTGCGTGAGGGGTAAAGCTGTATACACAAGGAAGAAATCCCACCCAATACAAGGGATCAGGTTTATAGAGGAAATTGTGACATACCAAAGGCAAGAAGGCAGCTGTAAAATATAGGCGTGTGATCAGCAGCATAGTGCTCCAGCTGTATCTACTCCAGCTATAATGTTGTGGAATCTGGGACAAAACGCAGACGGTCAATTTTATGCTATAGCAGCAGAATGACGGATCAATGTCACCCCAGTCCTGCTGCAAACACAGATCCTGTAGATAACAACTGATCGTCTGAGTGATGCCTTTGAAAAATTTACAGAGTCCCTTTGCTAACATCGACTGAAATGCATGTGTTTCTGTGAAGATCTCTGTAGAATTAAATAAATAGTTCTCCAACCGAGGAGGCCTGCGTCTGTGTGATGAGTCATCCTACGTCAGAATCATATGAGATATAGGTCGCAGCGAGCAGTGTCATCCTCAGCACCATCTGACAGTTTGCTCTGCCTCATGCAAGATTTACCATTTTATCCTAAAAGAGATACACCAGGATGAGCCTTCATCTTTCTGCAAAATCCAATCCATTTACCAACTTTGAGTTCTGTCTTCGTGTATGAGAAGAAGTCTTAGGCAAGCAGCAGACCTTTTCACTCATGTACAACAAGGACGCCCAGTCACTCGCATGTGTGGATTGAAGACACGTCAGCATGGGCTGTCAAGAGTCTCAAACTAAGCCTGTTAGCAAACATGTCTAGGATTACTTCAGAAGAAGACTCCTGGGGAGAGTTTACAGAACGTCTCTAATGTCTCATAGCACCTTCAGAATCTACAGGATTATACGCAGGATTCCTGCCACAATTAAATTTATACAGCTATCATAGCCAGGAGATTTTCTCATGCTCCGAGCAGAGCTGTTGAACTAAAAATGTCCATGATCAGTTCTGTGCATTCAGGGATGTTTTTTTAACCTAGAATGGCCTTTACTTTTCAACCAATCAGTCCAATGAGAGTATTCCTTGAACTATAACTCCATTTCGTCATACATGCTATTTCAGTTCACTTAACAAAAAGGAAAGCCTAGGTTTTATTCTTAAAGAAACATTTTTTACATTTTTTACCAGGATGTTGACGGTCCAGGGTGAGTTAAAAAAATTAAGGAAAAGGTTAATGGTGACCAAAGCAGAGCCAAAAAAGCATACATTTTTAATCTGTATTTAATATGAGGCTTGTAACTTGTCTCATCATGAATGCTCGCGTCTTTTCATTTGTGTGTAGACCACAATCACAAAAACTGAACCCTTAGTAACTTCTTGCAGCATGCAGCTAGGATAGTAGCTTGTTTTCCTCAAGAGAAAAAAAATATGTTTGACACCTAATTTTATTGTAAAAAACATGCATGAAAGTGTCTCATTTGCTTTTTTTTTTTACCAGCAATGTAAACTGGCCAGGCTGGAAGTGCATCAAAAAGCAGCACAAGCTAAGGCTTCATCCCTTTTTAGGATGTGTCAGTCTGGTCTTTCTGCTCGTTCATTTTGAAAGTACGGTGGAACATCGTCTCTCACTTTGGAAAAAAAGACAAGTCTCAGATGTACATCACTTTGAACGAAAGTGTCTCGACTAAATAAAGCTGCAGCAGTCTGATCCAGCTTGTGTTCAGACACATTTCCATCCAGTCTAATCTGAGTTTTGGCCTCTTTTTAACTGGGCTGGGCAGTTTTGTTGAGTGTGCGTTATGTTTTAATTGCCAAGATGGCTGAAGCTGATGTGGTGCATCATATTAATCAAACAAACTGGACTGCGGTTTATGTGTAATACTAATAGTAAGTTTTGTCTAATAAATTATGTCCCGCTTAAAGGGATATTCCATCATAAAATTAATTTAGGGTCAAACACACTGTAACACCAAGTTAGACACCCCCTCGAGAGACGAATGTTGCCGACCGCTTGCTTCTCTAGTTATACCAACTTTAGTAACGACCACAGGATAGCAATACACAGCGGTCTGAGGAGCCATAAACAAACCTCAACCAAAACGCCACTCTATAGCCACAAATAATGCTCAGAACAGCACCTAACTTCATCAACAGTACATATAGAGTCCCGGCCACAGCACTAGCCACCAAACATATTTTAACTTTGCCTAATTTCTTTAGCAAAGAGACTAAACACAACTCACCTACTCTCTTCCAGCAGCCGCTTGTTTGGAGCGAGACCTCGCCGGGGGGGCTCAGCTCAAGGAAGAATATTTATGATCATTTCTTTATTATTTCCTTGAAGTAATAATCACCATATAAATCCTTTTGCACTGCAGACACGGTAGTTCTTCTGCCTTAGTGTCTCGGTCTGATAGCATTTCCACGAAGAAATGATCATAAATGTTTTCCCTTGAGCTGCGTCACCCCACAGCAGTCCATTATGGACTGGCCTGAGGTCAGAAATTAGACAAAGCTAAAAAGATGTTTGTTGGCTAGTACTGTGGCTGGGACTCTATATGTACTGTTGATGAAGTTAGGTGCTGTTCTGAACATTATTTGTGGCTATAAAGTGACGTTTTGGTCGAGGTTTTTTTATGGCTCTTCAGACCGCTGTGTACTGCTATCCTGCGGTCATTATTAAAGTTGGTAAAAATAGAGAAGCAAGCAGTCAGCAACATTCATCTCTCAAGGGGGTGTCTAACTCGGTGTTACGGTGTGTAACACTAAATTAATTTTTCGCCGGAATATCCCTTTAAATATTACAGTATGTTGCTCAAGAAAGCTTTTGGACTCATCTACCTAGCATAGCAGCTTATGATTATGTCATACTATTAGCTCTAATTGGTTAGGCATCCAAGGTATTTTGCTTTTAATGCTGATAAGGCTCATTGGTTTTAATTGTTTCCGGAATTATTAGCAACAACTAATTGGTTTGATAATACAAGAGGCTCCAGATAAACAAGCAGACCGAGTTGTGGTTCATTGCCCTTATCAAAAACTGCTATATGAAGTCTTATTTTCGTTTGATATGCTTGATTTAGCTCTCACAATCATTTGCTCAACGTTTCATGTTATCTATTCCTGACATGCTGTCCCAAATGTGGAGAGAGATGCCTGTACGCTGTTCACATGTGAGGACACTACTCATTCATTATGGAAAACAATGATGGGCAGTGTTCTCCTTTCTGTCCCCCCCCCCCCCCCCAAAACAGTAGGGCTGTTTAGAGGGTCGGGATGGGGTGAGGGGGGTGAGGACTCTGTATGCTTGATGCTTTTTTGTGATACTGCTCTGTTCAACACTCCCGATCTCGATGCCTGTGTTCCCCCTTCTCCGATCCAGCGGGTCACACTGTGTCACAAGGCCAGTCAGCGATGACAATGGCATGTTTGTGCGCTGGCTGCGCTGTTGCGAGGCTGTCTGATGTGAAGGGAGAAGATGGTACAAGGTGGACATTAGAGTCTTGTGTGTGTGTGTGTGTGTGTGTGTATGTGTCCGCCGCTGTACACACAACACGAGTACAGGTATGTGCAACCTTTTTATTATCTAAAATACTTCTTTTTTTTTTTTGCAGATGCATCAACATTTTCTGCCATTACAGACAAAGATGATCTCACTGTCTATTCAACTGACTGAAATGATTCATGTAGGTACTATAGACAATGTTGGCCACTTTCAAACTGTCACTCTGACCTGATTCAATTGTGTCATGACACAGGAGATAAATGCTGTCTGCAACAGAAGGAAATTGTGGCTAACAGACACTTTCAGGCGTCTACAAACCACAGGCATTATCTGCAGTTGGTGATTTGAGAACTGCAACAGGAAAGGGAAAAATATCTCACATTGCAGTGAAAGTAACTATAAAACAGCCATAAAATCACTCAGACAGCACTATAAAATGAAAGCGAAGAGACAGCAATAAGTGGAATAGACGCCAAAAGAAGCATTTAAGAGAAATGCACGTCACGTTTCTGTGAATTCGAAGAGACTTTAAGATTTAACACCAGTTTATGAAATCATACGGTGACAGTCAAGCCCATACTCTCAATTATATATATATATATATATCTCTCTTCATATATATTATATATTATATATTATATCTCTCTTCATCATCGAAATTTTAGATTCTAAAGCCAAAAGCAACAGAGTCGTGAAAATGTATGTCGTGAATAAGTGGGAAGAGATATGAATAGAAGTTACACGTTCAAACTGGGAAGTGTAATTTTACAGCTTCAAATGTAAATGTTTGTAATCATTACCGTAAACTTTACACTAAAGCAGCGATTAGACTGTAAAATGTAAAAACAGCAACACCTTTTTTTATTTCACTTTAGTGTATTTCCTTTAAAGAAATAGGCCTGCGGGCTCTAATCAGTACGTAATAACTCCCGAGCTGTTAACCGTGTGAGCTTTTTTTCCTAGAAGACGGTATCAATATCACTCAACTCAGTATGTGCAGACACAAAAGCAGACACACACTCCTTTCATTTTTATCAGACTAATCCCTCATCAGTGAGTAGTAGGCCTTACACTCCCTCACCCCCTCCTCCCGTCCACCTCCTTGTTGTCATATGACTTCTGTTATGTGTGTGCGATGGAACACAAAGTTGCTCTGTTAGTCCCCCTCTGCTCTGCCCTCTCAGATTTGAGTGCTGGTAAGTAAGGCCCTCTAGCTCGCCAGCTTCGGGGAAACAGACAGGCCCCTGTATGCGACTACCAGCGTGGATTAGAAAGGAGGCCAAAGAGAAAGAGAGGGATGAATTGAGCTGATGTTATTTTATGTAGCACCAACTTAATCCTTTCTCATTCACACTGCCCCGCCCTGAGATTTTCGATTCAACTTTCAGCTTCCCTCGCTGATGCTCTGCTGTTAGGTAATTTATTAGTCCCCTCTCTCTCTCCCGCTCTCTCTGCTTCAATACCTGTCTGAAAGAAGATGTGTCTTACAGCGATGACACTTTGTCCCAGTACCTGGCAAGGATTACAGACCCAAAACAAACACAAGCGCTGAGCCAGCTGAATGGGAGCAATGCCCTGACTGCACATACAACCGCTGAGAGAGAGCTCAACTTGAGGGACACACATTTTCTCTGTGGTTTTAGAGGATATCTCAAAGCTTCTGCGACACCTGAACGGCAGATTGATATGTAAACCCGTAAAAACACGAATAGATTAAGCAGTGTACTGCAACACCCACTCTTGGAGATAAATGACATCTTAGATTAATCATATTATTAAACTGGTTGCTCAGGGAACTATGCTCTGCTCCCTTGGTACTTAACTGTAATAGAGCTGAATATAATTGTACAAATCAACTGTCTGCACACCTACAGGGTTAATTTGTCCCAAAGTACTCCAAACGGTGACATAGGCCTCCTCTGTGCCAGGGCTCCCACCCCAGTGGCCACTGTCACTTTAAAACCCGTCTGTCCCTGCTGTCCCTCGCCATTATGTCACCCAGTGAAGTGGATGGAGCAAGTAACAAAGGAGGTGGAAGGAGGTCAGCTCAGCATAGGTTTTTTTTTTTCACACTGGTGCTCTTGTTTTAATACCCATAAAGGTCACATAAATGGCTCATCTAGCATTTAAACATAAAGAGAACAAAAATACAAACACAGAGAAAAACACAGGCAAAATCAGGGCATTTCAGTTTCTTCGTATATTGTGTCCAAACAGTCTGTAATAAGGGTGCAACGACACTGTTCAGCCTGTTTGTGTGTGAAACTCCAAGTAGACCCATATGTAAGCACGTGATTAACCTTTTCAGTATTCCAATATTCCATGCTGCACCCAATCATCCATCATTTTAAAGCCAAGGTCATCAGTGACCTCTGACATTTTTAAACAGGCTACAGAGGAGAGCTTTACAGCTCTGATGAACGGATGATTTTAAAGTTAATTTAGCTTTCAGGATTTTGTCACAGTGATTGTGACCTTGGTTTTATTTCTGATGGTTACCAGCCATTTGATCTTTGTGAACAGATTCAACATAAACATATGATATGATTTAGATTTTGGGATAAGAAGTGTCCTGGTGTCTGCTGTGTTTGTAGTCTGAGTCGTATTTCAACAGGCTTTGGTGTATGCAAGAAAAACTATCCATTTGAGAGCAAAATCAGGTGAGTGAACATCTCAGCTCCAGCAATCTGATGACGACTGATCTATCTTCAAAACCGGATATCAGCATGTGAGCACAGATCTATATCAAAAACTTCACCTCCAGCAACAAATCTACTCAACACTGTTTTTAAAAAGTCAATCAGCTTTTGAGATTACCCAACTACCAAAAAATCAGAACAAATTATCAGTCCAACCCTTAAAAACAAACATTTTAAAGAGTCAGATAGATCTTTCATTTTTATAAGTCCTCTCCATGATGTTACCATTTCGACAACCTTGTGAGTTGTGGACGAATAGGTTTCTTTTTCAGGTTTTTACCCCTGACGTAAGCCAGAATAAAGACTCTGTGCCTGCTCTTAAACTGAGACCTTCTGGTACTTAAAACTGATGAACGGGCACTATCCAGGGGATGTAATGGACCAAGAAATGACAGTGTTTATGTTGCAGACATGAACGCAGTCTTTGCTGCTAGTCTTTTTTGTGACCACTGACTGGAATTACTGCAAAGTTGGCATCTCTTACCCGGAGGAATATGTTGCCTATTGTTGTCAGACGATGATTGACAACCATTGAGGTTTGAAGACTGTAACCATTTGGAAACTGTGTTAGTTTACATAGTGAAGAGAAAAGAATAAAGACTGAATAAAGTCACCCAAATCACTATGAATTGTGGATGTAAAATACAAATAGGATTTATTATTAGAAAGTTTGAACAGTGAAAACTGAACAGTCATTGTAGTGCATCCGGTTTTCACCCTAGTTGTGATGCTGATGGCCACAGTTGTCTCTCTGGCCGACATGTTTGAGATGAATCATGGAGAGACTTTCTGATAATTTAGTCGTATCTTAATTCACAAACTCTTAAAAATGTAATCACACTAAGTACATCCATGACAATGATTCTTAAAAAATCCTTAAAGATTCTAACAGTATCAATACAAGTGATTAACATTTGCTCTGTTTGAAATGAAAGAAGGTTCTGCGACGTGTGCTGCAAAAACTACAACTGGATACTGAGTTAGAAGAGCAGTAAAATACAACCATAGAGGCTAATCCCAATCTATCAGCTTGTGATCAAAATTTCTGTCTAGATTTTGGATTTCACAAACAACAAAAATCAGGCAACCCAATGCAAGGTTCAGTGAAAGTATCACACTAATATTCCCCGTCCATCTCTGCATCAGCAGTGTTCACTGGATAAAGGCATGGAGAAATTCATCCTCCATCTTTGCCTTGATTCACAGATGTCTGAGGGCCTCGACGTGAGCTGCTGCTTGTGGATCTATCACACACACACACACACGCGCACACACACATCTAGCATTGTTCTTGTGTCACATGCTCAGTAAAGATGTGAAATTATCACAGTCTCCCTGCTCTTTCATCCAATCTGTTATAAATCTTCTCATTTCTTCTTTTTCTCTCTCTGGCCTCTTTGCTGCATCAACCTCCGCCCCTCTGCCCCATCTGCCTTCCTACTGTTAAACCCCCCCCTACAGCCCCTCGACCCCTCCCTGCACTTGCTCTCTCTCTCTCACACACATACACTACACATAAATACACATGCTCTCCTGATGCTACACAACCAACCCCAACCCCCATTGAAAAAATACAGTAACTGTGTTGAAAGGATTGAGATCGCTGAGACACAAGTGTCACAAATCATCTTGGGCTGCCTGCAGACTAACAGACACTCTCTGCACTGCCTCTTCCATCGATAAGATTTGCTTTTAACAGCGCGCAGAAACAAATGAAATCCCAGCTTGTGATTACTATTAATGAATGCTGGTGAGAACAGCAGACAGCAGGCTTCTCTGGCAAATCCTACAATACTCCTGTGCCACTGTCAAGCCACAATTTGCCCGCTTATCCCAGTGCCCGCAGAGTCCAGCTCCACGGGAATTGCACACCTCCCACTGCAAATTTACATCCAGGATCTAGTAAAGCCAGCTGTGAGTTCTGAACACCTGATTGTGTGTGATGGTGCGTTTACTCTCCTGTTTCCCTGTCTTTCCATTTCACAGCTTTATGGCCTGGGCAGAGCACGGGAGAGACATGCGCGCAAATACGCAGACACACACATCTTCATCGCATCCTTCACTCGTCCTACATACAGTAATTACATGAACTAAACACCGCGCTCTGATAAAAGCAGTCTTTAAAGATCGAGGATGCTCTTGGGAGATGATGAGTCCAATTGCAAGCAATATGATAGCAGCGTCTGCTGGCACACAGCTAGCAGGGTGGAGGAGGGGACTGGACAGCCTGTGTGCCATCTCTGAACATCACCTTCCCCATTTCTAACAGGAAAACACACTCTCTCCCTCCTCACAATGGCTGCAGTGAAACAGCATCTTGCTCCTCCTCTGTGCCCAAAGCAGGCCAGTTGCAGTCACCACTAAAAAAAAAAAAAGAAGCCTGTTTTGAGAGTCTTACCGTGTTCACAAGGCAGCATCCATTTACAAAGGATACTGCAGACAAGCCCTTGCAAGGAGAGAAAGGAGCTGTGTGCAATCCACCTTTAGTCCAGCTGCTTCATCTTCATATCTTCCTCATTTTTGGGGGGGTAAACACAGAAAAAACAAGCACGTCTCTCCCCTCTTTCTCTTTTTCTTATGAACGTCTGTGTTCTATATCCTCTCTTCTTTGCTCCAAGGCAGTTGAGACACTGCAGCGATGGGGGTGGAGGGCGTGTATATATGTGTGCGTGTGTGTGCGAGTGTGTCAGAGACAGAGAGGCAGAGAGAGGGAGTGCAGGACAGAAATGGAGGGAGGAGTCAGCAGGGATAGACAGAGAGAGAGAGAGAGAGAGAGAGAGAGAAGGGGAAAATAGTCAGGATTAAATCATGAGTATCAGAGAGAGAGAGAGGGGGAAAAACAAGCTTTGATGGGGTAGCAGCTGCATCTGTGTATCTTTGTTTCATGCTAAAATGTTTGAATGTACATTTGTTGAGAAGGAGTCTGAGAAGGAGTGAGATTATGGGCTGTTCTTTTTAGTTTTATATGCTTGCTGACAGGCCAGCTGCAGGATTGGTTGTGATTTCATTGATGACTAAAAAGACATACAAGATAGGGAGAGAGGGAGGAGGAGGAGGAGGGGACTGGAGAGGAGAAGAAGGGAGGGGAGGAGAGATGACGACAAAGGAATGGGAGGGGGATTGGATGATGGTGTAATGTGCTGTTTCCGTGCCAACTGTTTCTGTGACAGTAGGACCACTTCCTTTATTGCTATTGGCTATAAGGAGGAATTGATAGAAGCTTTGGCAAATGAGGCAGCATGTCATTGGGTGTGAATGGTCGGTTCATTTTTTTGCCTCTTCTTAATCTCCAGGAACATTGTAAAAAAGAAGCATGTTTTCTTCATCTGTGATTACTGAAAACACACATATGAACACTCAGAAACCACAGCAACCGGAGCATGATGTGAATTATCGCTTTGTCATTATGGATGCCGCTCCGGTGTGTAAAAAGACTCCTCCCCTCCTCCCGACATGGACTCATGTACAAAAACACACACTGTCCAGCAGCAAAAATCCCCAGATCAGGTTGCTCAGGGTGTGTGGAGTTTAATGTAATTGCCTGGACACCAACCCTGGTGTCATGAACTGTGAGATAATTAATCGGCTAAAGGCCAGGGAAAGTGCACATCTGGTGGGGGTGAAAACTTTGCCTCCCCCTGACCTTTCATCCAGTCTTTTTAATCCGGTCTGGCAGGCAGGAGGTGTATTGTCCCCATTCTTTCTCCAAGTCACTTTCTTCCTTGCTGTGTCTCTATTCATTTTTATCAACTCAACATATATCATTAATTACCCAGAACAGCCACCGCTTTCTACAGTAGAAAGCACCTTATGATTCCTCTTAAATGAAACCTCGGGTAGTTTGATGATATGACACAAGAAGCTGTGCTGTTGTACTGAACACCAGCACAACTGTGGTTTGAAGTTAACGACGGCTCTGCTAATGTCCTGTTCAGCTACACTGCCCCAAGTGGGATATTGCCTCTTTACAACAGCTCATCAACTTCCATGGTAGTCAACGGTAACATGAAACAACAGATAATTGCATTGGTTTATTTGACTTTTTTTTTGAGGCTCCATTACCTCAACTCTCAGTAACCACACTCCAGCATGACTGGTACTGGACTGTTGCCAAACAATGCAAACATTTCCTGCCCATTTGCTTCTTGGTGTAATGGTTCTCATTTCCGCAGAACAACTCTGTGTTTTGAGCATTTATCTCTCCATTTCCTCGCTGTATCAATGCTTAATGACGGCCATCAGTACACAGTTTCAATGGTCTTTTTGATCCACAATGCAGAACAAGAAAGTGTCTGTCATGACAAGATGACACTTACAGTAGCCTTGGCTCTTAACAAGGTTGGCCCCCCCCCGTGGCTCCGTAGCTGTTGTTGACATTTTTGACCTTCAAATGTCAAAGCTGCGGTGATCTACCTAGCCTCATTACCCAGGATGTGTTTCTCCAGGTTTGTATCGATGAATTTAATAAAGAAAACGGGTTCAGTCTCTGCCCTGAGTGGCGCAGTAGACCCATTAAGCAGATAGAAATGCCAAGAAACAATTATCATCAAATGTTGATGGTGTCAAAAACGAATCCTGGATATGAGAAATTAATTATCAGGGCTTACTGAGACTGCCTCTTTTAACTGCCGGTCATTGTATAACATCCAGTTAATAGCTTAGGTGGCTTGATATGAGACACAACATCCTCTACTATAATTTGGACTCATAGAGATATTTGTCAGTAGAGATTCTTCAAGGTATTGTGATTGTAGTTTTTTTCAAAGAAGAGTTATACAAGGTACTTTTCGATAGTAGGTGTATTAACCTTATGAGATGCTGGTCAGCTCAGTCCCTTATCGAGAAACCGGCATAGGAGCTAGACGATATACTGCTGCAGACACAGACATTTCAACCTGATACTTAAGCTAGTTTTAAGACCTTAAGGCCCAAACACTAAGACACAGGTTTGAGAAAGATGGTGGACAACATTCAATGACCTTCTCAGCAGAACTGATAATGCACTGAAGACTGCTTGTGTCTTTGGCAGTTGCTGGTGTACCGGATTGTAATGATGTACACCCCTTGTTTGAGAGACCCACCCGAGGTCCAGGATGATGATGGTCCTCAAAAATCATGAAGACAGTTTCATTTTTTCTAAAATCTACAACCATCTTCATTGTGCTTAGAGGTCAGGGAGGATGAAATGGAGGGCCATGTTGATATCTACATATCTATTTGCCCTGCATGAGGTCCAGGAAGGGTATGTGTTGTGCTTGAGGTGTGAAAGCACAATGTGGTTAAATACTAGACTAGAACTAGTGTGTAGTCATGGGTCACTGGGTTTTTTTTGGAGGCAAGGATGATAGTGGAGGCTTTGAAGCAGGCCGGCACGTGGCATGTCTCTTTTTTGGTCCTCATTCATAAGAAGAGCTGGAGTTTAAACTTCTTGGGCTGCCTGTTAGTTTTACAAACCATACAGAAACCTATATAGTTTGTCAAATTCTGGATTACACAGTTCCTACAACAAGGTTTAGTTCAGTGGCTGAATCGGCTGTGTTGATGTGTAGGAGGAAGCCGCTGTCAAGGCACCCATGCCCCTTATTTTTAGGCCTTGATGTGAACAAAAAGAAAGTGAAGTTGATTTAAACTTTACTATTGTACAGTTGTGAATACAGAGGTGAGCTTTAGAGACCAAACTGTTGTAGTAACAGACTGCTTTAAACTGTTAAAATGAACATTTCAACCTGAGGCTCGATGGGGATTTATTGGCTTTTAGAGCTGATACCAAAGGAACTGCACTTTCTTTGCTCTCCTGCACCAGCTTTATTTTTCATCTCCAGAGGTCATGGCCTGTTTTTACCTACAGCAAAGCTGTGTGCTTTTTGAATAGCAAAATATCACCACCTGCTGTGGAGGTACACAATAGCTTTCCATACGTTTTAGATTTGAAATCTTGTGCAAAGCATGCCAGTGTTTGAACTTAACAGCCAAACAAATGCCCCACTTTAAGACGCCCTGCTCTCTTAGACCAATTACCAAGGACTGTATGAACAATAGATGGTAAAAATAAAGAGCCAAAGCTGCAAGAGAAATTTGACCCCAATAAGGGCACATCATTTTCTGCTTTCATGGAGTATCTGTTTAATCTCTGTTAAAATGAGGAAAAAGCTGAAGAGTGGCAGAGGTTAACTCGTGGCTCACAAATACTACCTGTTGCCAATTAGCTTGAATAGAGCTCTGTGGCCCAGTCTCTAAACAATACCGCTTATTAAAAGAACCAGAGCTGAGTAAACACACACAGAACAGACACACACCGAAGAGCAGCCAGCTGACATTTAGAAGATATTTGCTGAGCTTGACACAAAGTATACTGGATTAAAAAAAAAACAGTATATCCTACCCCTTAAACTCAGCGGGGCTTCCTCACAAATACATATCAGAGTTTATATTTCATGAACTGCAGTACAATCCTGCTCTGTGGGGGAACTCTGTTGGTGAAAGGAGACTCAGCTGAAGGATTGTCTTTTCATTCACTCCAAAAGCTCCATAGAAAGTTTGGTCTATAAAGTCGTTTTCAGTGTCTTATTTGTTCTACATTTTGAAGTACAGGCATATTTATTCTATTAACCACTTCATTAACTTCATTATCTATTTTTTGTCCCCAAAATGTGCTCTGCCAGTGCCTCCTGACCCCTCTGTCTCCTTCAACATCTTTCCATCCCTTTCACTGGCCATAACACTCCCTATCCCTTTTTTGTCTCTCCCAGATTGTCTCTGTGCCTCTCCCAGCTTCCTGTCTCCCTAATCCTTAATCCTGTGGAAATCGGTCAGGCAGAATGAGCCAGCTTTGATCAGGCTCTCATATCAGGCGTGCTAACAGTGTCAGCACACCCGGATCCCACAGAACCCTGGAGCCCGGGGGGAAAAGCTTCAAACAGGCATTCACCCCCTGACTCTGAGAGGAAGGAGAAAAACTGTGGCGTCCATGTCTCAACTGTCAGTGTTAGACTCAGTGAGATAGGAAAAAAAGAAACTCTGATATCAGACATTTGCATCATGATTTTTGCATCTGTGATAGCACCTTTTCTTTCATGCTTTTCATGCATGAACTGAACTTGCTGTGGGAAAAGACATCAGCAGTGTACAGTGCAGAGATGTGAAAATCACTGTGTGTCACTAGTGTTTCAGTATTACGATTCAAGGCCACAAAAAATACCTACATGAGTGAAAATGTTTACAATCATGTCAGTTCTTTTTAAAACTTTTTCACTCCAAACTTTGTACATAACCTGAGTATAGAAAATTCATATATTCTAAGTGGAAAGAAATAAACTTTTGTTTTATTAGAATGTTGAAGAGTGATGGGTAACACTTTACAATAACCATAACTTATAAATGGTTAAAAAGACATCATTTATAAATAGCATATAGATCATTAATAAATTGTAAATTTTACAATTTTTAAAACCTAACCCTAACTTTACATTTACCATCTAAGTAATGTTAATAGATGGTTTAAAAACCAAATATTAACCATTTACAAAGTGCTACTGACACACATTTTAATCTAGATGTTTTACAACCAATATTTAAACCCTATATAAACCTTTAATAAATAGTCCATTGATAATTAATAAAAAATATGAATCATTGTTTCATTGCTTGTTAATGGTAAAGTAACTCTTAACTTACATTAACAAACTATCTATTTACCATTTATGATTGGTCTATGTGCTGTTTTAAATTATGATTAAAAAATAATAAACTATCTATTTAGCATTTATAAATTATGGTTATCATAAAGTGTTACTGAGTAATGCAAAATATCTGTGACTCTGTGGCACCAACAGATATGGTGTGGAGAGCATTTTTTCTCTCGCAACCACAAGACCTGGAAGTAGGATCTCTCTGCAGACCTATTACATACTGACAGTGTTGTCTGTCTTCACATTTAATCAGTGCAGAAGTGTAATCAAGCACTTCAAATCAGCTAAAGAAATGAAGCATTTAGCAGGGTCAGTCTGTGTGCAGGATAATCAAAATCTCATGTGCGAGCACCTGCTACGAGGAGCTCAGTTCATCATCTGGTTATGATAAACTACTCTCTCTTTTTGTGAAACCAGTGCAGTTATAAATCTGGACTGTAACATGTAAAATTTGTTCCTCAATTTCTGAAAACAAGAGACCCGCATCAAAGTTCCTGGTGAATGATGGCGTTGATTTCTCCTCCACATAATAGTACATCAGACACCTCAAATGAAAATTAGAAAAGTGAAAAAGCTGTTGAAGTTTCTGAGTGCTTTTCTAGTCTGACTTCTTTTTGGTTTGGGCCTCTGTACAGGAAGTCCTCCTTTAAGTCAAGGCTGACACCTAGTGGTTAAGCATATGCATTACACTGTCAGCAGGAAACATTTTGAATTGTTTTTGTAGTGTGTTTTATAGCTCGAGTACACAAATTGTTGAATAACAAATAAATGCATTTAAATAATTAATTAATTTTAACGCTATTATTCATCAGCTGAGAGTCACTTTTAGGATTTGAGTACACGTGTTCCTCAAACTAAGCTGAACATTGTAATGATGGACTCTTTTATAACTGTCTATCAGGGAGGTGTGCAGTATTTGAATTATTTGGATTACCGGTATGCTTACAAAAGGCTTGCAGTGGGTCGATCAATGTGCAGTTTTACAGATTTTGTTATTTTCACCCACTTTATAAGCAGCAGGTAGTATACGTCAAAATGAGCCCTGTGCTGTTTTTAAAACTCTTCAAGCTGATTACTTAATTATAGTGACTTCAATCAGTTCCCCTTAACCCACATAAGTCCTTTCTTTTAATCCAAAAATAAGGTAGCCCTTCATTGTTGGATGTCAGAACAATACAACTGCAAACCTTCCGAATTAAGTCTGATCTATAAACTGTAGTAAAACGTACTTGTATCCTCTTATCCTCACTCACTTTTATGAAGAGCTTTGGTAGAAACAACCAGAACAAATGTTCTCTCTTAGCATCTCTCCTTTTTTGGTGAAGTTGTGACATCTGCTGATGCAAATTAAGACTCTTGAAGTAGGGCAGAGGGAAATGTTTTACTTAGATGTTATTTTCGATAACAGTCATTGTGCACAGTAAAGGACTAACCTACTACTTAGGTTAGTATCAATTTATTTATACTTACAGACACTTAAAAATCTGCTGTTTTATGTCTTATTTTTAAGAAAAATAGTTGCTACCATTGGGCTGTGGTTCTGCTGAGTTGTTCTAGGCCTGCATAGAGGGATGGAAACTAAACTCAGGTAGCATTGTGCCACAAGGTAACAAAGTGCAGGTCAGGATAATGGATGCTGCAGAAGAACCTCATATGCCTTTGAGTGACAAAAGCCTTCAGTTAAAGCTGCCCCTGTATCTAGTGAATAAGTGGTCCTGCTGCTGAGAACAGATTGTACATAATCTGTAAGAAAAGCAGCTCTTTGCAGACTTTGGTAATCCCCTCACTCTTTAGCTTGAGGGAATCCCGTTGACCCCTTTCTAAACCCCTAATGCTGTCTTTATCTGCGGGAAAGACACTGTCTTGTCTGGCACCAGCCAAGCTGTAACAGGAATGGGTGCTATTGTCAGGCTCAAGTAACAATTCCACTGGATTTTTATAAGTGTAGAACTTGGTGCAAATCAGTATTTGTGTTTAAGAGCATGGGATAACAAAATGTCAGTAGTTTTGGGGGGTTTAGATTGAGGCATTTAGTTATTGATCAATGTTTGATTACATGACACTAAACACAACAAAAGTTATTTTGATACTTATCGCTAATGTGGACCATATACCTTGTAATCCAGGGAAATTTATAATCCCTAAAAGTAGCAGAAGGCGAAAATCTCCACCCCAACCAGAATATTATTTTACAGCCTTAATGTTGAGACTAGCATGGTCCAGAAAATATGAAAGGGAGATAAAGAAATAATAAAGAAGACAGCAGATACTTAAACTTGGGGTTATACACTGACCACAGGAAGAACAGCTGTTACTATGGGAATAACCAATGAGGATCCTTTATAAATAGATACATACATATTGATGAAAGGGACATGAATGCATACAGATAGAGTTGGAGATGAGAATAAAGGCGCTTAATGCATAAAGTCTACCTGCAGTAGCAGCCTATAGCAGCACATCTAAGAGCTGGTCTGTAGCATGACCTGTATGATACATAAACAAAGCCTCAGTCACAGAAGCAGAGTTTTGAAGCCTATTAGCTGTGATCACCATTATTGGAAATACTGAGTCTACCTAACTTCCAATCAACCTAACAGGCAATGAGGTGGAGATGAAGCTTCAAGCTGCCTTACTAACAGTCACACTGTGCCTGCCTGTCAAGCCAGCTGTGCCTCTGATTATGCAAAACATATAACTGTAATAGCTCCAAAATCAATGTATGACAGAAAGAGAAAACTGTTTTTAAAGGAGCTGAAGAAGCTGGAGGCGCCATCCATAAAATATCTCCCTTTTTATACTAAAGTATGTATTTCAGCTAACATCTTGCTCAAGTCTGGGTGCACTGTGCACTCACAAATGTCTTGTCAAGAAGGGCTCTGACCTTGTTTTCATATGGGATTCAGCTGTGTTTTTTATTTGTCTGGCTCTTGTAGTATGAACTGACATTTTGACCAACATTTTTCACCCCCATCAGTTCGATAAAGCTCACATTTCTGTGACCTAAAGCCACTCAACACCACCAGTGTGTTTACAAATGGAAGGCCTGTTAATCATAATCTCTCCAGGTTTTGGTCTTTCAAGACACATATTCCCATACTTAGTCCAATTATGAGTCCATCTGATCATCAGATTGTGTGCTAGTTCATAACAAGATTACACAACACTATCCAGATTAAGCAGATATGCTGCATGAACAATAAAAGCACATAAAAAAAATTTACTTTCATTTTCATTTACCACCGGGATCTTGTGTTACATCTCACTGTCGAATGAAATTTCTCTATAACCAACCATGACATAATAATTAAAAAACAAATCAATTCAATGACTCCCCCCTGGCGAGGCGTTTTAAAGACAGAACAGTTCATTTGGAGTAGCTATAAAAATTTCTACAAACAGAATTTCAGTGTGATCAGCCCATTTATGATAAAGTTGTGTGGTGTTAAACCAAAGTTTGATATGACAGTTACAGAGTTTATAGCTGCAATATTTGTGTAACTAAAAACTGTATATCAGCTATTTTATCCAGCAACTTTATCTTGCTGCTTTAATGATGCTTCAGTCAAATTGGTCTTTATCATTTTTAAGCTCATTTTCCTCATGAGGGGGAAACAGGGTGACTAGAATATTGAGAACAAATTGGGTTTGCATGTAAGAAGTCTAAATTTCAGTTGTATCATCATTGATCCAACAGAGTGATGTGTGTTTCTGCTTATCCTAGCCATTCCTGTATCATTCAAAAACAGTTGGCAGGCTAAATAAGAATCCCGCTCTAACCAATGGTGGCACTGCAACAGTTGTGTACCTTTATATACATAATCAAGTAAAACCTGAATGGGCTGTTTTTTAACAAACAGAGGGGGATTTAGCAGTATTGTAGTTGGACTGATCTGCCTGAGGGGGTGCCAGCAAGTTTGGCCTATTTGTTTTAATCAAATGGGCTGATTGGAACACACCAATATGTTTCATTTTTGTTTGTTGTGTCGATGCCCATGTATTTTGTGCAGATTTTTATTTCTCTAAATGATTCAAACTGTTTCTTTGACAGTGGCGCTTTGCCTAATCATCACCAAATGAGCCTTTGCGAATAAATTACTTATTTTGTGTTAAATCTAAATTAGTTAATTTTTGGCTTGTGTATTTCTTTTTAAATTATAATGGAATTTTTGAAACCAGTTTCTCACGTTAAAAAGAAATTGAATCAGACTAATATTAAGTGTCTTTTTTTTTTTTTTTACAATGTCTCGTTCGTGTTTGGAGGCTATTTTGGATAAATTAGAGAAAACATGCCAAATAATTATATTTTACAATATTTACGTAATGCCAAAGATCGTAGTTTGTATGTGTATATTACAGTCTGCATTGCTGCCAGCTGAAGGGAAACCATTGCAAGCGTTCTCAATGCACAAAAGCGTTTCAGTGCACGTCCTACTTGTAAAGCTCTACAGCAGGGCGATTTTGCGCGTTCCCGTGACTCTCGCCATAGAAAACAAAGCTGAACGTCTTCCATAACAGCCAGGGGTGCAGACTTGAGGAATATACGAATTTATCGTGGACACATCGTGCTGAATATGGATTTACAGTGGGTGTAGCATCGTTGGAGACCGAGCCTTCCCGGCTGGGGTGACAGCAGGACATTAGCGAAACCGACGAAAATAACATCAGTGTGTTTTTTTTTCTCGGGGTGCTTTGTCTTGTCCACCTAACGATAGCAAACCATCATTCCCATTTCAATTGTAAGATATTCAGCTAGTGGTTACTAGCTGCTGCCGGGATGGATCATCATGTTGTCACCCAAAACTAACTGCGAGGACGTCGGATTGTGAAGGATAAAGCTGAAAACCGTCACCGAGGTCCTGACGGGTTGTCACCGGGACCTGAATCTGTGTTAGCCACAGCCGCGGAACCCACTGTTTTCGGCGATATGGCGGAGCAAGGCTACTCATCCTGGTGAGTGCGCACAGGCACAGCGCTGCTGCTGCTGCTGCCGATTAGTAGGAGCTACCTTCTGTTAGCTACTGCTACACTGCCAAGCCTGAATGATATAGGTCACTAAAACCAATAGATAACAACCCCGACCGGTTACGACCACACTTAATTCTTCACGTCGACGCTAAAAGGTTCTTCTATTACCGTTTGGAAAGCTAAAATATCACAAATTCATACATTTTCCCCAGCAGTTCTCATATTGCTAAAGCTAACCTGAGCTGGTTGGTTAGCTAGCAGCGGCTAATCAGCTCTGCCAGCTGATGCCTGCTATTGTAGCTGCCCTGCTAACGTCTTGCTAGGCTCGTTTGTTCGGGGGAATTGGTGAATGAATTTATCGTTTATATAAATTGGGCTTGCTTTTAGATACATGTAACCGTGCACATGGAGCAAAACGCTGCATGTCCATGTCAAGCAGATTAGTAGACGTTGGCTGTGCCAGCAAATTAGCACTAGCTGATTAGATGGTTAGCATTCGTCGTCGACCCGATGCTCACAAAAACAAAGGTTCAGCCACAGGGCTGCTAAAACCAGCTAACAGGCACACCGCAGTCATGTCCCTCAAAAGCCAGCTTGGTTAACTTGGCATCGTGACACACAAAGTTTATGTTTCTTTAAGTTCGTGTCAGGATTGTGACATGAAGTTGAATCTTAGTTCTCGGAGGAAAATCAGTATAAGGATGATGGACTGAGTTGATGTGAACAACAAAATGCGCTGTCTCCATGAATGGATATGGACCGATCTGTTGAGGCCTTTAATTCAATATAAGCTGTAAAAATGCCAGTTTGACCCTGGCAACAGAGTATTTGTAGTGATCATTAATGAAACAGCATCCTCTTGTGTAGGAATAGTCTCAATGAGTGCTTTAGAGCAGACTAGACACATTAAAAGGTAATGGGTTTGACTTTATCTCACTTAATAGGATAGTTTTCTTGACTCTGAAAGGCTAATCATCTTTGTCCATTTGTCCAATTGTATAAGAGTTAGGGATCGTGGCAATCATGTTAAAAAACACTTAAAAATAACCCAATAAACCTCAAAAACGTACTGCAGCAGCTCTGTCCACTGCTGTATCTAATTTTCACATCATTTTTTGTTTTATTTGCCCTCTCAGACTCCTCTTTCAGCATTTATGTACCAATTAATGATTGAGTAATGTTGATGTAGAAGAGCTTCAGTTATCAGGAGGCCTGTGAAGGGTTATGCTGGTTTAAAAACAGTTACCTCATCACATGAAGCCGTAAACCAGGGATTTTTTGAATATGAAAACAGATTTTGAAAATCCCCTTTTTGGACGTTTATGTTTGGAGGGGTCAGGCATGGGTGTAGATTTTTAGTGGTTCTTTACAGTGATGCCTTCAGATGACAAACACTTGAACAGCTGTCTATTAAGGCCTAATTCACACTTTACAAACATGCATGTGGAGACACAGTCAGGTCCTAATATTGTCCAGCAATATCGCTATATCCATTTTGCCTAGATCTCTATAGTTAGTTGGTTTGGCTTGGTAATGTAACTGGTCAATAGACAAAGCATGTCTGAGGTCAAGGAGATCAGTGCTGTAGATGGCTGTAATTTATTTTTCAATTGCCTTTGTGAAGAGAGATCTGCTTTCCACGGCTACTTCTTCCCCTTGAGCTCGTCTGATCACACTTTAGTCTGAGTGTGTCTCGTATGCGTTCACACCTGCCATTACAGTGAAGATTTCTGTAAGGCTGATTAATGGTAGAAAAGAAATGAGTGTAGTCTGCTTAAGTTATTGCACTGCAAGCCTGTCATATATGGTCATCTGTAAATGTACAAGAGAGTTACATGAACGGGATTTTATGATTATAGATGCATAGATATTTTCTGTTTTGCATGTTTCTACATTTAGCAGTTGAGTGCCCTTTTTGCAGGTGATGCTAATGGACATGTCTGTGTTGTGGATTCTTTTTCTATTTTTGTTTCAGTAATTATTGAAGTGGTATTATCAATGATATAGCTAGTCATGCAGTTGGAAGACTGGTTAACAGAAAGCACAAGTTCAAATCTACAGAAGGAGTGAAATCATAACAGTTAGGAGGTGAGTCCACTGCTCCAGACAATACCCAGATGTAGGGGGTGTTTTCTTGATCACATTTAGTACCCTGGTAATACTACTACTCTTAGGACTACAGGTTAAGACTGTAGGCGCTCTAAAAAAAAGTTTAAATAGTCTAAAATGGTTGTTGTAATTTCTGTCCATGTCCATCTCTAATCTGTAGTGTATGAAATATTAACTACAGTTGTTTAATTATCTATACATGTATTTATTCATATATTCAGACAGCTGTTTTGATTTAGGAATATGCTTAACAACAAATGAGGCTAGCCTTTGCAAAACAGTCATTAAGAAGTTTATATATAGGCCAATTGTTAACAGTCTGATGTTAGTCACTGTCATTGTTCAGCAACAAGGAAATAGCCACACCAACCCCAGACCACATCACACCTCAGACACTGACATAACCCCACCTTCATAACACCTCGACAGCAGAAATAAACACTCAGGGTTGTGATGTACCTCTTATAGAGTCAGATGCAGTTCATCTTGGTTGGCTGGCATGCAAACAAAGACTACTATGCATTTTAAAACCACTTCATTAAGCAGTGAGAACACACAGGATATAGTCCATGACACTTGTTGAGATGTGGTTTTCTGCAGTATTTACATGTTTTTGTCTGTGATATTTTTATAGCTTTTTTCGAAGATTCACTGATAAGTCAACTTTGACCTCATAGTACCAAGAGTTTAATGTACAGGCCTAAGATGTTTTCGTGTTCAAGCTGACAAGTAGCTGCACTTCAAACAGTTTTCTCATTTGCTGCTAGCTCTGCCCCTTGGATGATTTCTACCTGTCAGTCTGTGGCTGTCAAGCTGTAACAACAGTGTTGTTTTCTACCACTTTCTATTCCTCATTTTTGGTTTTAGCTCAGCAGCACCATGCAGTTTCAGACAGGACTGTTTAAACCACATGTCTCTTGTGTGCACTTTCGCTGTTTCACCAGCAAAATGTAAAACAGGAAAAGTGCACACAAGAAACACACAGTAGTAGTCATATTTGGTAAATGTGACCTTGTGAAGTCATCGTATTGGGTTTGATTTTATTTATCCAGGGGTATTTGTCACCACCTTTGTGCTGCTATGTCTTCTTTTTAAAGCTCGTAACCTGTAGGAACTGAGAGGCAGACATCCTCTTCAAATGTAAACCATTGTATTTGACTGTATTTGTTATCACAGTGAAACCCAGTGCAGATAACTAAATAAGAATTAAGTCCTTTCACTGAGTAATCTTCATTTACAACCTTTGCATCAGCTAGCTTTAAGGCCCGATTAACGTGTTTCTTTTTTAGCAGTTCAAATCTCACTTGAAGCCTGTTCAACAGCCAAGGGGTCCAGCTGGTGTAATCGTCAGGGCTATTTGTAAGAGTGCAAATAAAATTGTCCCAGAAAGTTGAACAATACGTCTAAAATAAGAATAATTACCCTAATGAGGAGCGAGGCGGGCGGAGAGCATCACAGCTGTGTCTGCAGAGAAAAGAAATATGCCATGTGTAAGAGTCACCTGAGCTCCCAGTGAGGCGTTAATAGATGTGAAGTCATGTGTGCTGAAAATTAACCGATTTATCCACCCCTATCCTTAAACTGGCTGTACTTGTTTACTCTTTTTTACCATCCCTTTTGAATGAAACAAAATTTGAAAAAGCAAGCTGAGTTTCCTCAAGGGACATAGTTCTATGGATCTAATCCCGAAATCCTATTATTCCGGCTGTCCACAGTACAATCTAATTGAAGCTTGGCCTTTCTGGACACTTACTAATCAACTTATCATTCACCAAACACACAGAATAGGTGCCTTTCAAAACTTGGGCCTCACAAGTTTTGAAGTTTTGTTCATGCATTGACATAGAAATGTGCTCATGTGCAGTATCTATAATCAGGATGTAAGGTACTGCAAATTATCTTCAAATGCTTGAACCTTTCGATGCAAAAGAAATGATCGACCTACATGAAAGGAAAAATAACACTTAGCTAGTGCATAGTGAAGTGACTGCTGTGAATGCAGACTCTGATTATGTTTACACACATAGTTAAGTTGAGCTCTGGTTGTAACTTGATTTGGCAGTTTAATTGGACTACTATCCTTCAGCATAAAAGCACCTAACCACCTTCACTTCGGTTTGTTTGGCCTCTGATTTGGTGGATGAAGGTATGCCCCCTTTTTAACTATTTACTATCAGACCTCTTCCTGTACGACTATGCAGTCCATACCTTCATAAGTGGTAAGGGTGTAACAACAGGTTTTAACCACAATATGATACCTACGGCAGTATTTGGTTTATGAGTTGATACAAGGACGACACCGGTTTATTTAGAAGGAGAAGAAATGACTAGAAATGGATGCATCAGTACTTCATTTTAGACAACATTATAATATCTTGAGATAAATACTAGCGTAAGGTTATTTTCGTTACAGTGCCTATGTTTATACTTTTATGTTATTCATTCAAGAAAACTTTTCATAATCCATTTTGGATCAATACAACAAGAAGTAGTAGTCACATACCCCTGTATCAAACATGAAATCCATTTATCGGTTGTGGTTACCATTCAGCTTGAGAAAGAGACGTTATTATGTCCACACTGTATGGTCACATCTTTACAGATAAATCTGGCAATGGATGACTCGATAGCTTTAGCCCTCAGTGAGTTAAAGTAAAACCATTAATGATGCCTGAGACCTTTTCTGGTGCTGATGGCTCTACTGTGCCGCTGTACCACGCTGCCGTGATAGATGAGCAGTAAGATTGGTTATGTTGCCAGAGTATTTAACTTCACCTTTGGATATTCTGCAAACGGCAACAAATTCGTCAAAGACTGCTCCTGTTTTACAAAAGCTCAAATGTGTCCACAGGTCAGCCTGGAAACCAGAAAGTTTAATAATCTACTTTTCATCTCGCTCCTTTCTGCTGACAGCCATCGCAGAACTGCTGCCACATGTGCAGAGTGTCACCACATGGGAGAATGACCCTGTTGGATTTAATAGATTTCCTTGTCATTAAAAATGCAATGCATCCACACAACAATCATTTGTCATGCTAGATATACATGCAAAGTCTACATATGGATCCAATCTATGATTTGCTTTGTATGACAGTATGAATCAATATTAGCTATAGGAGAGTGTCACGCGGCCATTTATGTATCAATACAGATGGATCGTTGGAATTCAAATCAAGGCATCAATGCACTGAATGAATTGTTACACTCCTAATGGGTAGTCAATCATGTTAATACAATTTACTTTTGGTACAAACAAGGTGCATGCTATCCCTCGGGCTCATGGCTATTCCTGCAGGCGGACAACAACACCACCTTATCACATATATGCTGTGATGAAAATGCTGTTCCCTGTATGCAAACTGTGTACCATGCATGTGACACCAAAGCCAGAGGCGTTTGTCTGCAGGAGAAAATCAAGTATAGTACTTTGCCCCAGTGTGACTTTAGTGTACTGCTTTAGTCTGGGGACTGTTTGGTGGCAGCTGTCAGTCATATAATGAGCTGTTGTAGTTTTAACAGTGATATATCATACTTTGAAAGTGGAAGCCGAGCCTAGTTTCTGCTGAGTTTGGCTTGTGACCCGTTACCTGTACTTCAATGTTTTTATCATGGAACAAAAGCCCTTACTTTCAACAGTGTTAAACGGCTGCAAGTTTCTTTTTGCACAAGAAGTAGGTGATGGATTTTGTGATTTTCTTTGCTGGCTCTGAAATGGGAGACTGCTTTGATAAGCTCAGTGTGTCCAGTGTTTGCTGGTGTTAGAGTTGAGCTGATTTAGCAATAGCAGCTCATGCTATGTCTGGATGGTGGTGAGTGAGGTGAGCCTTCAAGTACATTGAATTCCCATAGTGCTTTATTGCCTCTCCTTGCTAAAAAAGAAAGTCCAATCATTTTGATGTAAACAAAGAAAAGTTTTCTCCATGTTGAGTTTCATCAACCTCATCTTTGTGATGGTCACCTCTGCTAATGTGTAGCAGAGAAAAACCTCAACTAGGGCTCGACAGTACGACTGTTTCACTCACATTTGTGACTAAAAATAGATGTGTGCGAATTGTAAAATGTATTTAGGCGAACGTGGGCATAAAAAAAAAACCCAAGGCAACAAATGTTTTTTCATGCAAATACCGCGGTGAAGTTAGTTTTAGGTTGGATATTTGACGGACATTCAATGCGAATCTACCGGTGTCTTCTCGCTCTCCATAACCGGGAGTAGCAACAGCAGTGTGGTTAAATCTACTCCGCACCCTCGCTGTCAACATCGGGTGTTGAATAAGGGACCATCGATAAATTATTGGTTTCTGTTCTCAAAAAAGGCTGTTTTCCTTCAGTTACGTGACCAATTGACCTAAAATTGATTTCAAATAATAGTTCTTATGTCAACCGATATGACACACTCCTTTATTTCCCATATTTGTCCTATAAAAAAATTTGTGTTAAATTTAAAGGCAAATTTTGAACATTTTCTTCAATAGCTGCCATGTCATGCGACCAAAAAAACCTAAAATTGATTTTAAATATTAGCACTTAAGTCGACCAATAAGACACACATTATTTGATCAGTTTTCATTGTGCCCCTAAAGTTCCTTGTGTGCTCCTAACTTTTTCAACTTATGAGCACATGTGCTCCTTGTGAAAAAAGTGAGTGTTAAGCCCTGTCAACAGTACCACTAAGTGAATCTGATTTTTTTCTCTCCAAAACTTTAGACTAAAAATACTCACCAACCAGAAACAAGTGCAATATTTCCATGCAAAATATGACGGATACATTGCTGTAATTCTGTATTTGCTCATCCTTAGAGGATTTTCTTTCACTAGAAAGTGATCAGTTGAAAACTACCACTTTTTTTGTTTGTCAGGCAACCCCTATGGAGAAAGTGTGAATTCACGTCTTTGCTGAACTTGCCCTGTACAAGTAAATAAAAAGAGTGTCATGACAACAACAACAACAAAAAAATCCCTGTCAGTCATCCTGCTAATGATCTGTTGTGTTCTTTTAGATTTGAAGAAGCACCAGTATCAGTTTCAGTTTGATTCACGAACAATGTAAAACCCCTTTCCTGTTATTATTTTAGAGCGGAGAAGATATCACAGTCGCAGTTTTAACCAATAACACACAGCCCGGTTCAAAACGCCGACCTCTGCACATTTATAATGAGCTGATTAACAGCATGTATCTAGTGCTGAAGGGCCTTTGCTGTCTTTTTTAATAATAACTCCTGTTACATAAAAGGAAAAAAACTACTCTCAGTAAGTGCAGTACCATACTCCCATAATCTCCTCAAGATCTTCTTTAAACTAAGTGCTTCTGTATGCTCGCTTCAGACGAGAGACAATTGCACCTGTTGCTGATGTTACTATTGTCCTTCAGAACTGAAAGCCTAAACAGTTTATATTCGGATAGATGGCTGCATAATACCTCTCAAGTTCTGAGGCTGTGATTTCACCCTGCTATGTTGCATGCTTTGAGAAAATGAAGAAAATATTCAACATGGACCCCAGTCTTGTTAGGTATGACTTGCAGCTGGTTTGGATTTCTTTTCCCAAAGGTCTTCCAGAAATCCTCTGCTGCAGGGCTCTCTGCTGACCCTTACTGTGTTGTTTTAACATCACAGAGGAAAAACAAACGCGTATACTCTTTGCGTCAATCTCCTCAGCCCATTTCGTCTTCGATCTTTTATCAACAGCTACAAAAGCAGAGGAAAAATCCCTCGGCAGGAAGGAAACACACTGGAGCAGCAATAAAGGACAGTATACTTTGTTCAGATGGAGGCAGAAAGGTCACTGTTGATCACAAATTGCATTCTTGTTCCTGAGCGATGTAACCCATTATATGCATAATTGAATACGAGTGGAGGAGGATAAATATCATTCCTAGATCCAGTGGCTTCTTCATGTCTACTCTGAGCTAACCAAAAGATGCCAAGAGGTCAAAGTTTTCATTTTTTTCTCAGTTTAAGACACTTAAGAGGTTGAGAGCGTGATGTTTCTAGCAGGTCAATCTGGAATATCCACGTCTTTCAGAGGCAGTATTCGCAAAGAGTGGTCATTGTGGCCTGGTGACCCGGCCCTTAATGGTCAAGTCATGCATGCAACTGGCTTGACGGAAGACGGTATTGGAATTGTGTTATTGAAAACCTAGTCTGTCAGCGAACAAGGCCGTCTTATGGCACTTTGGGCCGCGGTCCAGTCCTCAACAGTCCGGGATTGTATTTTGTTTTTAAATGTTCCATTCATCTATCTCACCCATGTTCTACAGGCTTTCAGTGCACAGAATTCAGACGAAGCGGTTCGATGCTAGAATATGAATTAGGTCTGTGGTGGATGAAACTATAGCTGTCTATCTGTTTGCTGCGTTGACACAGAAGTGGTGACATCATTAGCGGCTGTGTGTAAGAGAACAAGGTCACTTTCTTAATCACTTTGTAAAGGCTCCAGGCCAAGTCATGGCAAGACATGTAACCTCTTTGGTGAAACACAGTTAGGGAGAATAGGGTGTCGTATTTGGGTGGGCTTCTGTTATTGTTTGAAGTTGGTGCAACCTACATGTCGAGTCAGGTATACTAAAACCCATTGTAACATGACGAATCTGTGAAGATGATGCCTGCTGAGAGTGTTTTTCAGTCACTAAGTAAAGGCCAGTATTGGACAAATAAGCTCAGGTCAAAGCTACATGATGCAGTATTGTCCCGGTGTCCTGTTTCCACAGTGAACTACATGTTACCCCTCCCCTCCCAGACACCCTGTAGTCATTTCTGTGCAGCTCAATGAATGAAAGAGGCGGGGGAGATCTGGCTTTTTTCACCGCTTCAGCATCACAATGAAAACTGTGAATTCCTGCGTGACATGCACACCAGAATGAAAAATGATTTGGAGCACTGGGTCTTTTTTTTATTCAAGGGCTGTTGTCTCCCTCAGTGCTTGGAAGAACTGAAACAGTGTTCGCTGCAAGCAGGCGGAGAGGGGCTGACTTTGGGTGCAGGGCCGGATATTTCCCCAGATGAGGAGTACGTCCTTACTCATCTCAAAAACTGCTTTGAGTAGATAAGCCTCTCTCACTGCGGAGCGGCATCTCCCTAAAAAATCTACACGTTTTAATACGGGGGGTTCTCAAAGGCAATCAACTTTCTCCTTTTCCCTCTGAGTAACTTTGTTAAACAGCATGTGGAAGAACCTGTGGAGTTGTCATCTGCTGTAACAGATGTGACTGCTGTCTGTTTACGACACTTCAAACATACCACACAGCAGACACAGTAGTATAGTAGGGCCGGGACCATATGCTTTTCTCCCGATTCCATTCGTCTACGATTTTTTGGATGCTGATTGATTTAAATTGCGATTCTACGATATTTTTAATTTTCTGGATTTTTAGTCTGCCTTTTTTAAAACCAGTGAAACAGTTGAGTGCTTATGATTACCTACCGACTATTCTGGGAGCCATATTTTCCCCAAAAATACACATCACATGTAAGTCAGTTTTTAAGAATAAAGGTCCTTACACACCAGGACAAACGCAAATATATGACACGAAATTACGAAATATTCTGAGGCTAATTTTGACGCGCCTGACTATACACATCAAGACCGATGTGATTTCTGTTTTTGAACAAAAGAAAATCGGTTTAAAAATTGTAAAACAAAAAATTGGGATACTTAAGTGAATTGATTTTTTCTCCCACCCCTACAGTATATGTAAGCTGTTCGTGTGTCAACTCTTTTGTCTGATAATTATATTGACAAAAATGTTCATATCTGCTGATAATAATACATAGCTTTTATGTCAATCATACTGTGCATCTGTAGTTCTGACAAACATGAACTTTGTTCGCTTTGTGCAAATCTGAAGATTCAACTTGATGAAGAGTCCCCTTTGTGCTACACTGGCAAAGTCATCGTCCTCGGCTGACTAAACCCTCACACTCATTTTGAGTTATTTTCGATTCAGAGTGATACAAGTACGTGTCAAATGAACTTCAGTATCAGCCGATCATTGCACCAGAAAGAAATATCAGGCCATCGACTAATAATTTGCACCGATATCAGCATCTGCAGTTTGTTGTGACTCGTGCGTGTTTCTTTTCTACAGTCGTGACACACTGACAGACTCTACCTGCACAGTGGTTAGTGTCTCTAAGAGTTGAAATGAGGGGGCTGCATTAGAGCGATTTTAGACATTTATCAGAGGATGTCCAGGAAGTGGTAACAGCATGATGCGCATCAGGTCATGTGACTGATTACAACATTGAAACAGTATATCATTCAGCCCTTTTAAAGTTTCTCTTGGTTTTTGGATCTCAAACTCTCAGTCTCTGTCAGGTTCGCTGGCTCTGACAACAACAGCACAAATGCAGCTGCCTGCAAGATATAACATGTTCCAGAGGCAAATCATCAATATTCACAGCGTATGACTGAACTCTAAAAAATGAGGATCTGGTTTTTCAGAGTGAAAGACTTTTTCTCCTTCAGGAGGATGACCCTGAGCTCCTTCTATGAAACTTTAAATAAAAGAAAAAGAAGCTCCAGAGTGCGGAGTTTTGAACACCAGGAACTGTTAAAGGTAGTGAAACAGCTTTGCGGTTGAGGTTGTTAGTCATGTTCTGGACTGTATGTTGTAACGTGTCCTGTGAACTGTCGTCCAGTCTTTGTGGACTGAGGTCGTCCTCCAGCTGTTCTATCTTTGTAAGCATTGTGGTTTTCCTGAGTGTGGACTGGAGCATCCGTCATGACTTGTGTGAGAGTGGTTGTTTGCCACTTCTCACCCTCTGTGTACCATAGCTGTGTCTGTCCTTCTCTCATGGACTATTTTAAACACAACCACCACTCAATAATGCAGCTCGTAGTGAGCCGTAAGCTTAACCATATAACATTTCAAAACACAGCCTGACCACAGAGATTTTTTTCTGGTTGGTATGGATGAGAGATGTGAAGAGTTCAATATTTGATAAAGGATCCTTTGAATAGATAAAGATGAGATATTTCGTAGCTGAATTCAAACATTTCTGAGGCCAAACTTTCGTGGACTGACACAGTTTATCCAACTTCTACACATCAGTCATGATTCATTGATGCCAGTAAACCTGAGATAACTTTGATAAAGATAAGAAGCTAATGCTGCGTTCAGTTACCTTGGAAGTCGGATGTCGGAGCTGGTAATGACGTTACACCCAAGCTGATGGCGTTCCAGTTAACAAGTCAGAAAACCAAGGTGGACGCCTACAGTTAGCCGTTGTTAGCTGTTGTTTACAAACGTCAGCTGTCGTTAGCCGTTGTTAGCTATACAGTATTTTACTCTACAAACACTATAGCACCGTGTTCACAGTTAGATGTTGGGCAGCACAATATATACCACTTATTTAATTTCACAAAAACAAAACAAAAGTGCTGATAAATAAAACATTACAAGAGCATCTACTGTTACTCTCTACTGTTGATGCACTGTGCTGCCATCTTAGATTATGACATTGTGGTCAAGTCAGGGTTGGTGAGGATCGTCCGACTTTCCGAGTCGGAAACCCGACTTCGGGGGTGCGTTCCAGATGAATTTGCGACTCTGAGCTCGGAAATTCCGACTTCTGAGTACAACTGTAACGTAGCATAAGTTTTGGATAGGGATGTCACAGATCATAGCTGCTGGTCTGTGATCCTTTAAATCAAATCAAATCAAAATAAGGTAAATATTGCAATAAAATCTTTAAACAGTCTTTGAATGCACATTAAAATCAAATATTCATGCTTATTTTAGCTGGTAACATGTTTTAAATAGATCAAATAGATTTTTAATGAATTTAGGGAAAAAGAACAACGGAGATGTGATGCTGATGACTAGAAAAAAAAGCTGTTAATCAGCCCAGTTAATCATCCAACTGATTACTTGGTCTGCCTCTAGTTATGAGTCATTATTAAGATTCATGGGGATGTGATTTTGATGAGTAGTTTTGTACAAATGCACAGTTTGAGTCATTGCTGGCTAATGAGTAAAAAGTTACACTTGATGTCACATCCACTCTTTTGAGCGTCAGAGGACTACGGTAAACTGAACCTCTCTGAAAACGAGACTGCACCTTCATTAACATGATGAGAGCCGTTATGACAGGAAGCATGTTAGAGGAAAATCATTTGAGGGGAGGGGTCTTTGCTTTTTCTACTTTCACCATCTTCTGTCAACTATAGTGGAGGAGGCCGGCGGTATGACCTATAAAACAGACACCGGTTCTGCCTGCATCTGTCTGCTGTCACCTCTGGATTATTAAAAATTAAGTATTGTTTTTTTTACTGCATATGGTGCATTCAGCCACTCAGCATTTTCTGTTTTTAACCATAAAAAAAAGAGGATTTAAGTGCACTTAGCTGCAAAAAGCAATATGCTGTATCTGTCAATGAATGTCTTAATCACTGAGTTATCTTCTATATTGTTGCACAAGGATGTTATTTATCACTCGAGTGTGGGGCATTGCATTGTGGGATTATAAGGGTTGAAAATGCCGTTAGCTCTGTAGTGAAGTCTTCATGGTGAGGGTCACAGGAAATCAGTTCCGGTGACTCTGAATCTGTGTCTCGAGCTCACAAGTTGGGTTAAATGAATGCTGCAGCTGGTTGATGCCCACAGTAGATATTTTGGTGATTTTGAGACACCGGTGAAGTTTGTTGGAGTTAAAATACAGACTGAGAGCAGCTGTGGTGCCTCTTTCTCAGATGAAACAGTGGCAAGATAAACCTCATTTGATCGTTGTTATTGTTTCTGTTTCTTATTCCAGCCTGCAGCCCTGAGAGTCTGACAGGAAACAGACAGGTCGGGATCAGGGTCAAACCCGCACCTCCCAACCGAAAGCAGACTGACAATGCCAGCCTTGTCTTTTTACCCCGAAAAAGAGCCGGCTTTACAAGGCTGCATGGCAAGTCTTTGTGGCGTCAAGGCCTCGGATAATTGATATGGAAGCAATTTGGTGTTCAGATGCAGCAGCGGTCTAATAACTACATGCCTTAGAGCGTGTGTGAGATGACTTTATTCCTTAATTTAAAGTTAATATCAAACGTCGTCTTGTCTCATGAGAAGAGAAGACAGGAAATCTGAATTTGTTACCGAGTTAAAAAGAGCTGAATGAGGGGCTTTTTCAACAGCAACCCTCAGCTGAGGACGTCACCTGCTCTTTATTTTGTCTAGTCCGTCTCAGAAACATCAAACTCTCCAGCTTGTGTAGGTCAAGAGGCGTCGATATTTCTACAGTTAGTCATTTGAATTAACACTTTAAGATAGTAAATATGGTTGCTGAATTAGGAAAGTTCCTTTTTGGATTATCTCACACCCTGAGTTGGCAATATTTGCGGCTTTATTTCGCCTATTGTTGTAATATTTCTGTTTGTCTGTCTGAGTGAGGCTTCAGGACAGGATGTTGATTGGTTTTCACGAAGTATTTCCCCATCAGTGTGTTGTACTACATGACTTATACACATCTTTTTTGAAACAGCTTTACTATAAATGTGGGAAACAGTTTGTGAAAATCAAGTAAAGAGTCTAACACAAAAAAGACAACATTAAATGAAAACCTTCAACAAAGTTTGCGACTTTGAAATAAGTTTTCTAAAGCTTTTTGATTCTCCTCTCCAGACTCTGGGTGATTCAGTAAACGTATAGGACTTCAGCAGTGTTACCAGCACAGACCCCGTCCTCTGCAGACAAATTCCAGTGCACCATGAGCAGTATGGATCACATTTGCCCTATTGATTTTCATCATCGATCCCTTGCTTCTCCAGAACTGATTTTATGCAGCAAAATTTGCAATTCTTATTTCACCATCGAATTGTTTCTCTCCCTTTTCGTGGCTGCTTTTCTAGTAATTATGAGGCCCGGTGATCCTGGAGGAGGTGCAGAATATGTTTGCCTTTGTGCATAACGGCAACATTTTCCTTTTGCTAGCAGGCGGCAGGAATTGGTGATTGGAAATGTTTTCAATTTGTCCTGGATGCTGTTTGTGTTCCTGTGTTTTGATCCAAAGTGTTAATAGATTTATGAGTTCGAGTTAACCATATACACTGTGTTTCACTGAGTGTAGAGGTCAATATGCTACCATGTAAATTACGGCGATGTTCCTCCTATAGACTGTATGTGGAATAGATGTCGTCTGCCTCCTCGCTGGGTGAAGCCACTCCGAGAACAGCACCCCCTGGTGACGGGCTGCAGTATAGGTCATAATTCCCACCTCCTCCAGCAATCCTTATGGAGCTGTGGACAAACTGTAAAAATGTATTACACAGAATAGAAATTTTTCTCCCCCCTGCTTGTGATGTTGACATGTAGTTTCTGTAAGACTGGTTTGTGCTCAAGCCTTTTTTCTCTGTGCAGCTCCATTTTTAAAAGTTATTAGGGGGTTCATGTTTTCTATGATTGACACTTGATACAGCCTATGGGCGTACGAAGATTGAGTAGCTCACCCGGGGGATATGCTGTTTGAGCCGAGCGTCACCACATTGACTCACGGCGTACAATGTTACCGCACAATGTTGGTTTCAGGAAATGGAGAAAAATCACAGAAATACTGAGAGCTTTTCGGCTTCAAATCCATAAAGTGGCAGAAGGCGGGACCAAGTTGTCCATAGTATATACAGTCTATGGTTCCTCCTTAACCCAAAGAAAATCCAAAGAAGCTTTTTAAAATTTTTGTTATTACCCATAAATCAGCGCAGTTATAGTGCGCATGTATCGACATAGTTGACTATAACTTCATCTGACTATCAAAATGCAAAAGCCTGGTTATTATACCCCAGCAGCATCCATCCTGTTGGTAAAATGTTCACATGCCAAGTGAGAAAGCAGTCCTCATTTACTGAATCATTTTTTTCTCATTCACTGAGATGAATTCAGACTTTGGCAATTTATTCTGCAGCCATGACACAATTATCAACACCAACCAGCCATGACATTATGAACAACTGGATAATCTGGCACAATGCAATACACCCGAATTCTGCTTCAAATAAGCTTCTTTATTTCAATATTTTTGTGGTTTCAGATTTATTATTTAAGACACAGTAGGTGGTTGTTGTTTTCAATACTCACTAACGCTTCAACAAGTGATATAGAGTGCGATTATTACATTTTAACAAAAATTAGAAATGTAGACGCTTAATGTTATGGTTGGTTGGTGTAGCATACTTTATGAATGAACACTAGCTGCTGTGGTGCCTCATATTAAATCTGCTCCACTCTACATGTTAGTTTGGTTGTGTTGACCCTTTTTGCTTGTTTCCTCTGACGGAGAATATCGGTCTCTTGCGCTACACACACAAACTCAAAAGTGGTTATGATTGCCACAACCAACATGAGACCATTAAAGTGCAGCATCTGAAATGATTGACTGAAATTACAGTGGCAGACTTGTACCACTTTCTCATATTTTTCACAGCATGGAGGTTTAAAAGATAGATAGGAAACTGTTCAACCATGATGGAGTCTAATCTGAAACTGGTTTCTATGTCAGCATTGGAGTTCAATTGGGAAGACACTTACGATCCAAAAATGACAGGATTTCGACCAGCAGATTCAAAAGGTTGACGTTTATGCACGGTGTTTGAAGCGCAGAAGTTTTTGGGTCTATTCTGACTCCATATTTCTATTCAAAACTGGTGATGAACTTCAACACACTCCTTTTGTTTGGATACCTTTACTCTAGAATGACTTCTACCAATCTGATGCCACTGTTGTATTGAAACTCGTTTTTCTGTGCCCTGAGATCACCCTTCATGCATTGGTACAATATAAGCATTGCTTTTTTTAAACTGAAGCTTCCTCTGTGTAGGTGGGTTGTTACTTCTTTAGTCCTGTGAGATAAAGGGCCAGAGCTATTCCTGCTTGAGTTGATGTTAACGAATGAATAACAAAGATCAGCCGTATTGTAGCCCAGCCCAGTAAGCATCTTAAGGTGAATAGATGAATTTTCTGAGGTTTTGTAAATAAGTAACTTTCATTTTTGAGAAGGATAAGACATGTAGCTGGTGTTCTCAAGTTCAGTGGATATAAAAAGTCTACACACCCTTGTTCAACTGCCAGGATTTTGTCATGTAAAAAATTAAATCAAGATAAATAATTGCACAACTTCTTCCACCCTTAATGTGACCTATAACCTGTACAACACAATTGAAAAACAAACCGAAATCTTTCAGGGAGGTGAAGTAAAAACAAACAACTGAGATCATGTGGTTGCATAAGTGTGCACACCCTTTAATAACTGGGTATGTGGCTGTGTTCAGATTTAACCAAAAACATTCAAACTCAGGTTAATTTGGAGTCAGCACACACCTGTCACCAATTAAAGTGCCTCTGATCATACCAAATAAAGTTCTTCAATAAATCTTCCAGCACAAGCCATGGTCTACAGAGAGCTTCCAAAGCATTAGAGGGATCTCATTATTCAAAGATATCAGTCAGGTGAGGGCTACAAAAGAATTTCCAAGGAATTAAATATACCATGGAACACAGTAAAGACCGTCATCATCAAGTGGAGAAAATATGGCACAAAGGTGACGTTACCAAGAACAGGAAGTTTTTCCAAAATTGATGATAAGATAAGAAGAAAACTGGTTAGGGAGGCTACCAAGAGGCCGACAGCAACACTGAAGGAGCTGCTGGAATTTCTGAAAAGTACTGGCTGTGTAGTACATGTGACAGCGATCTCCCGCTGTCTTCATATGTCTGGGCTATGGGCTAGGGTGGCAAGACAGAAGCCTTATCTTGCAAAGAAAAACATCAAAGTCCGGCTTAATTTTGCAAAAATACATCTAAAATCTCCCAAACGCACGTGTGTTATGTGTTATGGTTTGATGAAGCCAAAGTTGCAAAAGGTATATTTGGTGCAAAATCAGCACTGCTTATCACCAAAAGAACGCCATACCCACAGTGAAGCATGGTGGTGGCAGCATCATGCTTTGGGGCTGTTTTTCTTCAGGTGGAACTGGTGCCTTAGTCAGGGTGGAGGGAATTATAAACAGTTCCAAATACCAGTCAGTGTTGGAACAAAACCTTCGGCCTTCTGCTGGAAAGCTGAAGATGAAGATGAACTTCATCTGTCATCAACTTGACAATGACTCAAAGCACACATCTAAATCAACAAAAGAATGGCTTCACCGGAATAAGATTGAGAGTTTGGAATGGCCCAGTCAGAGCCCAGACCTGAATCCCATCAAACATTTGTGGTGTGATCTGAAGAGGGCTGTGCATAGGAGACGCCCTGGCAATCTGTCAGATTTGGAGCGGTTTGGCAAAGAAGGGTGGGCAAATATTGTCACATCAAGATGTGCCACGCTGATAGACTCCTACCCAAAAAGACTGAGTGCTATAATGAAAGCCAAAGGTGCTGCAACAAAGTATCAGTTTAAGGGTGTGCATATTTATGCAACCAGGTTATTTTAACTTTTCTATTTTTTATTTTTCCCCTTAAAGGTTTCAGTTTGTTTTTCAATTGCATTGTACAGGTTATAGGTCACATTAAAGGTGGAAAAAGTTGTGAAAATATTTATCTTGCTGTCATTTTCTTATGTCACTAAAACCTGGCAGTTGAACAGGGGTGTGTAGACTTTTTATATCCACTGTACAGTATCAGAAAAGGTTCTTTAAGTGCGCAACAGTCTTATCTTATGTATCAAAACAAGGTCCTGTGACTGCAACCCTGCAGTATCTCGCCTGAAAAAGCATGACAGAGAGTAAAACTACTGCAGGACGGAAATCAAAGCAGCCTATAAAAACTCATGTTAATAATAGTGTAATGTAACTGATGTGTTGACTTGAGTATTTCAAAGCAGTTTTTGTCAACTGCTTAAAAGTAGTTTTAACCTCCATTTTTAATAGAAAAGTACATAACGCACATTGTTCCCGGCAGCTAATGAGTGTGATGTCTGAGTGAAGACAGTTGTTATGGAAACAGTATTTTGGTTTAGCAGCAAGAACACTGAGCTTTTGTCTTAAGTGTTATACAGAGGATGATATTCAAATGTTTTTTTTTTGTTTGTTTGTCTATTTTATGACACTAGAAACGTTATGTACTCACGTTTCCCTCTCTCTCTTCTCCTTAGGGCGTACTCCCTAGTTGACTCCAGCCAGGTGTCCACCTTCCTCATTTCCATCCTTCTCATCGTTTATGGCAGCTTCAGGTGAGTACCACTGATGACTCCTGCTGCACACTTGTTCTTACGAGGTCTGTCTTCTCAATTGAGCAAAGAATAATTAAAGAGTGGTGTAATATTTTCCCATGTGGATTCCTAGGATGCAAGAATTCAGTTGTTTTTGTTGTGAAAATGATAAATGTGATTGTTTTTTTTTAATCTAAGGAGCCATCTTTTTTTCTGGTTTCCATCTTGCACAAAAAAGACTTATTTAGTGGAATGGGAGTGACAAACACTTGTTTTAGCACTGATTGTGCAATAGAGGAATGCTAATGCTGTATATATGGCTCTTTTTTGTTACAAACAAAAAATAAATCTGGTCAGAGGAGCTCTACAGTAAACGTCATCTTAGAGTTTTGATCGTCTGGCTGAATAGAGAGGCAGGTATTTCAGCTTGTGGATTAAGATACAGAATCAATCAGCTTTCTGTCTCTTTGATAAAATATATGTCTCAATAAATATGTGAACTTATAGATGCAAGCTGTTTCATCCTCAGAGGAGTGCCAAAATAGTGCTCCATAATACAAATCCACTGGATGTCATTACATCAGTGCATCACTGTCACAAGTGGCAGAAAAAAAAACTGACTTTGCAAAAAAAATAATGTGACAACAGCAGCAACATTTTTTTATTCCTGGCACACTTTTTGGTTTTATTTTTGGTTGAGTTCCTTATTTTAGTTGAGATAATAAAAAGAGGAACCATATTTAATGAAGCAGTTTGATGGTTAAAAAAAAAGGAAAAGAAAAAACTGTATCTAAAGTTTTCCAGAGCACATAGAAACACACAGCATGTCTGGAGGGGCTGAGAGCTGAACTGTAGCTACAGTTAGCTTGTGTCTAAGTCCTCAGCCTGTTATTTCCCTCTAGTCACGCTCTGATGATCACTATCAAATCACATCTGAGTTTTTAAAATGCTTTTATTTTGGTAAAGAGCAAATGAATGGGCACCAAGCTGAGCTGAAGTGAAGGTTGGTCATATTTTGTAGGAACTCAATCTTTCAAGGATAGTATCTCTATCACACATCAAGCAAGGCTGTCTGTTAGTTGTTGAAATCATGTGAAATTCACACAGTATGAAGTGTAACAAATGACAAGAAAATAGACCTTTCTATTAGGAGTGGGAGAAAAAGTCGATACAGCATAATATCCTGATATTTTGTCTGATGATATATTGTATTGTTTCATATACCAAGTATCGATTTTTTTCAAATGAATTGCTAATATGAAGTCAAATCTATGATGATGAAAAAATAAAATCAACTGTTTGTCCAGTGAGGTTGGCAGAGGTGACGCCATAGGAAAAAGTTAGTTAAACAAATATATATCAGCACCCTGGGAATGAGGTTAGGAATGCAAACAGGGCACAAATGAGGTGGATGTGACACGTAAGGTTTGCAAGATGTGCTACATGCAGTGTTGTCATTGTCAACGAAAACAACACTGCAGAATATATGTTTAGCGTTCGACTGACGAAATGCTCATGAACTTTGAAACTCTGTTTGTCGTCCACCACTAACGTTTTCGTCTAGTCTCGTCTCGTCAACGTAAACGCACATTCGTCTCGTCACATTTTAGTCATCTAAGACTTACATTTAGCTCGTCAACGTCACGTCTTCGTCGTGGAAAAAAAGAAAACAACACTGGCTACATGAAAATAAAATACTGTATAAATAAGACAAACATAAAGGAAAGACAAATGCTAAATTAGCTAAACAGTTGAAAAAAACTGTAAATCGCGATATATTGTATCGCAATACTCACTGTGTCATAAGATGTTAAAAATGGCAATAATATCGTATCGTGGCCCAAGTATCGTGATAATATTGTATCGTTGGGCCACTGGGGATTCCCACCCCTGTTATCTATATGTCATGAGAAACGATGTGTAGTATGAAGCTCAGGGCCTTTCATGGATACTCTTGGTCTCAGCGGTTTAATTGAAACGCGGTTTGTTTTGTTTCTCGTGTGAAAACATTTTTTAGATGCTTTGGACTTTGAGCAGTCCCAGAAAGTTCAAGTTCGGTCCAATAACTGAAACATGAAAATAAATAAATGAATAAACAGCATGAGCCACACATGGAGAGAGCCGCAGTAGAAAAATTGACATTTGGCCCAAAGACTTGATCATGGGAAAGAAACAAGCCGTCCATTAGGCCCAAACATGTCGGATATTTTCTGAGCGGGGATCAGGAAAAGACAACGGTGTACACTGTTGTGTGGCAGAAGCTGTGTACAAATGAATCAAAGGGAGAGGCAGACGTTTGTGATGACAGCACAGTTGGTTAGTCAGACATAGAAGGTGGGGCGCTTGGTTAATTATAGCTGGAAATCATTACGGGGTAAGTAAAACATGACTTTGATTTGGACTTGACCCTTAAATGTCAATCAAGCTCCTTTTATCATCTTGTGGCTTTGTGCTTTGGTTTAGGAGCCCCCAGCTGGTAAATTAGTGCCCCAAGCTGTTAATCTATGAATAATGTTTGAAAGATGTGTCCAATACACTTAAAATTGAGAAAAGAGAGAAATTCAGTGTGTGCGGTAAATCTATCAACAGGAAAATGTGACTCCAGTGATCTTCCTGCTCTTTACAGTCTAATTGAAATGTTTCCAGTAATTTCTTTTTAGCAGAAAACATTTAAGGGGATAAAAAAAAGTCCATTAAAAGTGGCCGTATTAGCCTTTTTTAATACGTCAAAGATTCACAGATTTTTGGCAGAGATATTTTAAGAATTAGAATCAGCATTTTTTAGGAGAAGTCATGGTCTGTAACTTGTTCAAGGTAGAGTGAGTCTCCCACACAACAGTTCACATACTTGTGAGATTTTGACGGCAGATTTCTGAGTGTCTCCTCCTCTTTTTCTTCCTCATTTCCTCCTGCAGGTCATTAAACATGGACTGTGAGAACCAGGAGAAGGATAAAGACGGTAACCCTACGACAACGGGGGGTTTTAATAACAGCAACACAAACAACAGTGAGCGTAACACACTTGTCTAGAGCTAAAAAAAACAACATGTTTTTAATTCTCCTACCGTGTGTGTAAATATTCCTCACTCTGGTGTGTTTGCTTGCAGGTATTCAGACTATAGACTCCACACAGGCCCTATTCCTTCCCATAGGAGCCTCTGTGTCTCTGCTAGTCATGTTCTTCTTCTTTGACTCGGTACAGGTGGTCTTCACCATCTGCACTGCAGGTAAGTGAAGGCAACACAATGACTCTGCTGCTGTAGATGTACTAAAGTAAGGTCATCTCATTTCTGTGCAGTAATAACACACTGGGGGAAGGCCTCCTATCTGCTTTAATTACTGAAACTGCTCCATTAAACTGACAGAATTCGCCTGGAACATGATGTCTAGGTGGTTCAGGACTTTGGCCTCACCGCTGCGTGTGTGTGTGTGTGTTTTTTTCTCCCTCTTCTCCACAGTACTTGCAACAATTGCATTTGCATTCCTCTTGTTGCCAATGTGCCAGTATCTGACCAGACCCTGCTCCCCACAGAACAAGTAAGGGAACCATGTGGACTCTTCGTGTCTGTAAATAGTGCAAGTTGTTGCTCAAGCTGCTCCATGTGGCTCTGTGTGTGTCTTTTCCAAACATTTGAAAGAGCTCCGTGAGTCAGCATATTTTCATAAATCCACTTCTCCTCGAGTCGAAACGGAAACTGTCTGCGAGGCTTAAACTGGCTCGGAGCAGCAGAGAAATAAATTCTGTTTATGAGATGGAACAGCCCTTTCCCTTGTTGTATAGAAATGATTGTAATAGAGTCTGAGCTCATGTGTCAACGTCCTGTTACGAACCCAAAGCCCACAAGATCACGAAGAATAAAGGCCACCTACTCAGAAACCAGAGTCAGCTGGTTTACTTTTCCAGATAATATAGTAATGTATTCTAATGAAGATTACACTAAAACCACTAAACAGATTGACAGTATCCTCTCCTGTTTTCATGTTCAACATATCTCTTATCTGAGAACGTTTCCATGATGCAGATCAGTCTAAGACAGGTTTGAGTGAAGTCACTCGATAGTTTCCCCATCAAATCTTGTTCAGGTTCCTCCTATTTTTCTTTTCTTGCATACAAATCAGGGTCGATGCTGCTTCAGGCCAGTCAGAGAAGATAAACTCTGTAAAGCTGTGACCACATGAGCTCAAGAAGAAAGAAGCGGTTTTTGTAGTTTCCTTGTTAAACTTCTTCTATTTCTGTTAAGCCAGTATTAGTTACTAGATCTCCAACCACCCGGACACTTGTGAATGAAACATGAGCGTTTGGTTTTCCGCCTCTTCTGGACTGTACGCATCAACGCTAATTTACCTCACTGTCATGTGCTCATAAAAACCTGAATTTATCAGACGATGTTACTCAGCGCGATGACACATCTCTTGTGTTTTTGCAGGATTTCCTTTGGCTGCTGTGGGCGCTTCACTCTGGCTGAACTCCTCTCCTTCTCCCTATCTGTCATGTTGGTGCTCATCTGGGTGCTGACTGGACACTGGCTTCTCATGGACGGTAAGATGATCTGTCATTGCTCTTGTTTTTTTACTTTTTGACTCTTTACGCGTTGATGACGTCAGATGCTGTGAGTTTACAACTATGAATGCTTTTTGGGATTTTAAAATAGTCATACTTGAGGGTCGGCTCTCTCGTCTCTACCGAATTCAACTTGGACTTTCTCAATCATACAATCTGCCCACGAGGAAAACCTGGTTTGAACAGAAGTGGATGTAAAATTAAAGATCCACACTTGTTCTTTCGATTCCTGGACTGTTATCCATAGAAAAAAAAAAGCAGAACTTCTGATCACAGATTTAGTCCCATCCTCCTCTGATGCTGCAGCTGTGGTTGTGGGTGGTACAGCCAGCCGCTGGCGCTGTTCACCTGCTTCTCCTATAGTGTCTCTTACATCTCCTGGATCCTCAGTGTGTCATGCAGAATGATGGTGTACATCATAATGGTTAAGGGCAAACTACTTTTGAGTGACTTTTTTTAGTGTTTCCCACCCACATAATCAAAACACATCACATATGTCTGATCCCCCTCTCTGGTCCATCTACTTTTGACGTCCTCCTGATACACACACCAGTGCAATTAGTTCCCCATGCTCATCTTTTCCTGATCGTATGGAAACGGGTTCCTTTTATCGCGTTTCCACGAGGTCCTACAACTCTGAAAATATGGTCAAATCCACCAGCAGAAAACACAACTCACTACTGTCTGCTCTGTCCCAGTCTTCTGTGCAGTGCTCCCCCTGTTGGCCACTCCCTGCACTTACACCTGAGGTGGGGGGGAGGTAACACAAATGTTTTAGACATCTGCCTGCAGACTGGTACATCTGCTTATTCTGGGTTGATTCCAGAAGGAGATATTGAAACCCAGACAGGCAATAAATAATCACGGCTTTCATGTAGAAAATCTTACTCAAATTCTAACAGCTACATTCAAGTGTGACCCTACCACCTCTATATGTTGTTTGAATGTTAGATCTTTAGTTAAGGAAACATGTTTTTGTCATGAAACATGGTTTAATATGACAGGTAGCACCTGCTGACATTTGAGTCTTTACAGCATGTTAAAGGGGCCACACATAAACAAAGACACACCCTCTCCCTCTATATAACAATAACACTAACTGACTCTCTGAGTGTCGCAACCACACATAACTTCTGGTCCTGTTTTCATATCAACTGTGCTCCCAGCCAGGATGAAGCATTAGGAGAGTAAACAAGTGCTTTATTGATGAAAATACCTCCTGCATGTTTATTTAGGATTGCATGAAGTGTCATTTTCCCAACATATATTCCAGTGATGAGATGATGGACAACTTAGAGTTTGCTGTCATTGACAGGAAAAACCAGAGATAACAGAAGTGAATGAAAAGCTCTGTAGTGAAATGGAGAAAAAGTAAGGATGCTTAAAAGACCTTGGCAAAAATCTTACCCTCAAATAAATGTAATGAATTTGTCTCCAGCGTGTAAAATAACTCTTAAAAGTCACACAAGGACACTTCTTACTTCTCAGGCCCCTTGAGTCAGGCAACCAGTATTTTACCTGTTAACTTGAGTGTTCTTGAGGAGATTATGAAGCAGCTCAGTTTCTACACCTACTCTCTTGACCCTGTTCCCACGAAACTGTTTGTGTGTCCCCAATTGCCTGATAGGTGATCTCCTAAATGTCATCCATGCCTCTCTTTAGTCTGAGGTTGTCTCTGCTTCTCTAAATCATGCTCTTGTTACCTCATTACTCATGAACAGTCAACTTAACCCCCCCCCCAAAAATAAAAAAAGCTGCCTATCTCAAATCATCCTGTTATCGGTAAAATCATTGAAAGGGTTGAATATATTATCCAACCTAGGGCTGGGCGATAAACCAAAAATTTACCTATACCAAAATATACGACAATAACCAATGTCATTTTGCCCATATCGGTATATTTGGTGTCAATTAAATAAAGAAATCAAAGTTGGTTTTGGATGTGTGTAGGTAGGCTATGGTCTCATGTCCCTTAAAGACACTGTCCTACGTCAGAGACGTGACTCCACCCCATCCAGTCCATAACAAAGAGGGAGATGCAGGTGAGGAGATGGAGGACGGTTCAAAAAATAAAATAAACACAAATTTATATAAGGTTTGCAAGATGTGCTACATGAAAATAAAGTACGGCGTAAATAATACAAACATAAAGCAAATCCAAATGTATTAAACAGATCTGTCGTGTTGCCGGTTTTTGAGGGCACGAGCGCCGACATACCTTACACTTTGGCGTAATTTCTCGACATCACTTTGGAGACACCTGAAGCACCGCCACACAACCGACATTGAATAATTTCATTCTCAACAATAGCATCTTCGGAGGATGACTCTAAGTCACCGTTGACATCCATTTTGCTGCCCTCAGCTCCGCGTTTAGCTTCCCGTTCAGTCATTCTCTTTACTTCTCCGGCAACTTACAGAAGTGAGCAGGATCGACTCTGATTGACTGTTGTGACGCACATTTCCGCCATGTTTGATCAAGGAAATATGTTCACAGATGATCGCCGTGATCGAAATGAAATTTATCACGATCATATAATCGCCCAGTCCTAACTCACTGTATTGCAAAATGTTTAAAATTGCAATAATATTGTATCGTGAAAATATTGTATCGTGGGACCACTAGTGATTCTCACCCCTACTGACTCGAGCCCAGTTAGATCTCACAGCTCATCAGGTGTGGGCCTCCTGAATGTATGTTAAAGAACAGGTGATGGTGCGTTAGTGGGTAATGCTGCTGATGTGAAGTGGAAACTTGACATAATTTCAAATCTTACACTGTTGCCTCTGGTAGTTAGATTGTCTATTTTTTGTGTGTGTGTGTGTGTGCACTTGCGTACAGTCTGGTGTGTGTGAGCTGTGGTAGGAAAAGGTCACGGGTCATAATGTAATAATGGTTTTAATGTGCGTGTGTTGCATGAGTTGGTGAAGAGTCATTTCGTAAATGTGATTTGAATCTGTTCATGATCTGTTGTTTATTGTCGTCACTGAAATTCTGTTTTGTTTTTAATCTCTCGTGATGCACATCGATCGTACGTTTGTATCAATAAAACTGATTACACTCGTCTTTTAAGGCTAGTAACTGTAACACTTGCCTGGTCAGAGTAAAATGCTTCATGTCACATCTGGCCTATTTAGAAAGACATTTTATCACTGATGGTCGTAAAAAAAACCAAAAGATGATGTATGACGTTATTAAACAGGCAGAGTGACACATCAGTGCAGTGTGGTCTTTAATTTTTAAATACTGAATTGAGGTTTATGGTTTATGAAGCGCTGGTAGCATCAGTGTTCAACAGCACAGACAAGATTCCAGACAAAAATCCAGTTTCCATCCATCTTCAGAGAGAAAAAAAAAGACATGACACACTAACTGACACTTTTAGCAGCGTTATTTTCAGGGCCGTCACTGCAATGTGCCACATGCTGATACAGGAAGAATTAGTCAACAGCTTTATAAAACTGAACTGGCATTAAAGCAAACTGATCTTTGCTATTTATGAGGAAAACACTCGACAAAGCGAAGAAAAGTGCGTGGGTGTGTGCGCGCTTCTTTTATGTGACCCGGTCAACTTCAGTCGTTTGAAACGTATTACCAGCGGCCTTTCTTCAACGATGTGAACAAAGCGGAGCTGTGACAAATGTCGACATTTCACTGTCAAAAATATACAAACACTTGCTCAGATGAAACTGTTGGAAATAGACGGTAAATCCAAGAATAAATTGTGTGCAGGTCAAACACTGCTTCAAACGTCTGAAATGAAGCTGCTGTAATAAACACGTTATTTAAGTTTACGTATGGAAACCCTGCCGTGGTTTCATCCTCTCATCCTTGCTGCACATGAATGTATTTTGGTTAGTTTAATGTATTTTTTCAGCCTATCAGCCCAAACTTGTGGGATGTGTTTTCAAGTATTTTCTCTCTCTCTCTCTTTCTGCAGCTTTAGCCATGGGCTTGTGTGTCGCCATGATCGCCTTCGTGCGGCTTCCCAGTCTGAAAGTGTCCTGCCTGCTGCTGTCCGGACTACTCATTTATGATGTGTTCTGGGTGAGATAAGCTCCCATCTAAACTATCTCTTTTGTTAGCTACAAAATTCAACACCTCCTAAAAAGAAAAATGAAACAGATAAATCAAGGTGAGCACACAAGAAAGGACAGGCAGTGTCTCCCTGAGACCAAACTTGGATGAGCATCACGGTCTCCTCTGAGAAAAATAAACACATTCATGTCAAGATGTTGTTCCTGGTGCTGGGCCATTTAGGTCTTATTTATTGGCCGTTTCTGGCATCAGCCCTGCTTTGAGTGAGCACCCACTCTGAACATGAAACACCAAATGTCCCCAAAGTCAGGAGCTAATATCTCATGAATGATGATTTTAATATGAGGGCATGTTTCAGGAAGTTACCACTTAATTTGTTAACTGCTGGGTGTGTTTATTTTTTTATCACTTAACAACACGATCGAGAAATGTTTCCTGAAATAAAACTGCCAGAGTTCCCCTTGGAGTTTTTACGAAAAATAAAATATGTGATCATAAAATGCAGGGAACATTCGTGTACGCAAATGCAGACACTATCACAGAAGTGTGGGATAAATGGGTAATGAGGCCATATATGTACACAGATGAGCAATCAGTGTACCGTATTTTTCGCACTATAAGGCGCACTTAAAATCCTTTTTGCTTGTCGGAGCACTGCAGCTACCGTAGCCTCACGGAGTTATTGAATGAGTTAAATAAAGTTTGACTTATCTGACTGTTTTGTTTGGGTGCGCCTTATAGTGCAAAAAATACAGTAATGGCAATGACATTGAAAGTCATGGCAAAGGCATGAGAGTGATCATGGCCTGAGAACAGCAAACTCTGTGAGCTTACAGCACTCTTAAATGTAGTTGGGAGAACAAACACAGCTCCTCAGATGGAATTGACTTTGACCGCAAGAAAAAATAAAACCTACAAACTTAAAAAGTTAAAAAGGTCATTGTGTGGTCAGAGTTTGTGGTCAGCAGCCCACTTCCTGTTTAGCTGAAACAGTGCGCCTACTTTGGGCTGTTTGATCAAACCAGGGCTTGACTAAACTTTTTTCACAAGGACACATGTGCTCCTAAGTTGAAAAAGTTAGGAGCTCACAAAAAACTTTAAGGGCACAATGAAAATTAATCAAATAATGTGTGTCTTTTTGGTTGACATAGGTACATTATTTGAAATCAATTTTAGGTCTTTTGGTCACATTACATGGAAGCTTTTGAAGAAAATGTTCCAAATTTGTCTTTAAATTTCACACAAAATTTTTTAAAGGACAAACTAGGGAAATAAAGAGGAGTGTCTTATTGTCTGACCTTAGTACTATTATTTGAAATCAATTTTAGGTCAATCGGTCACATGACATGGAAGCTTTTTAAGGAAAACAGCCTTTTTTGAGAACATCAACCGGTAATTCATTGACGGTCCCTTATTCAACACCCAATGTTGACAGCGAGGATGCCGTATAGATTTAACCGCGCTGCTGTTGCTCTTCTCAGTTATGGAGAGTGAGAAGACACCGGTAGATCAGCAGTGAATATACGTCGAATTTTCCAACCTAAAACTAACTTCACTGCGGTATTTACATGAAAAAACATTTGTTGCCTCTGCTGATTTTTACAATACACACACATCTATTTTTAGTCACAAATTCAAGTGAAACAGTCACTCTGCCAGGCCCTGCAAACCATGTCCAAGTCCACGCACAGAGAATCTAAAGGATATGAATGTGAGGAGGTCTAATTTAGGCAGTAATCATGATTCTTTAGTGATGATTTGGTCTGTACCTCGTTCCCTGCAGGTGTTCTTCTCAGCCTACATCTTCAACAGTAATGTGATGGTCAAAGTCGCCACCCAGCCTGCTGAAAATCCAATAGACGTTCTGTCCAGGAAGCTCCACCTGGGGCCTGGGATGGGCCGCGATGTCCCCCGTCTCTCCTTACCTGGAAAACTGGTCTTTCCCAGGTGAGACTGATGCAAACACTGCGGTGCATCAATATTTGAAGTTAAACATATTAACACTTTTACCCCATTGAAGTGAGGAGGTCTCTGCTGTTTCCGTAGTAACCTTTTTCTTCTCACTCCCTTCTCGTCTGTGCAGCTCCACAGGAAGTCATTTCTCCATGCTGGGAATTGGAGACATTGTGATGCCGGGCCTGCTCTTGTGTTTCGTCTTGCGTTATGACAACTACAAGAAGCAAGCAAACGGAGAAGTCCCGGGGCCTGGAAACATGTCCGGACGCATGCAGCGAGTCTCCTATTTCCATTGCACTCTAATCGGATACTTTGTGGGTAAGTGATCAATCTGTGGACGGATGTAAAGAGAAGGAGAAGGTCTTATTTCTCTGGGTGGATGTGTGTTTTGAGACAACGCTTTTATTTGGTTTGGAGATGATTTGAATGTTGAAGTCTAAATTCCCTCTTGATTTATGATGACGTGTTTGTGTTTTTAGGTCTACTGACTGCCACCGTGGCCTCCAGGATCCACCGTGCTGCTCAGCCTGCTCTGCTCTACCTGGTGCCCTTCACCCTGCTGCCTCTGCTCACTATGGCCTATCTGAAGGTACACAAATAGACACGAAAAGAAGGAAACACAAATGACATCAGGTTCATTTAAAGAGAACAGTGTCATGCTATCAAGCAGATCAGTCTGGTGGAGGGTTTTAGTTCTGTAATTTTTGTATAGATGATAGAAGTGGGTCAAACAGTTTCACCGCTTCATGAACCTGTACCAGAAGACTCGTTCCATGTGTCTAAACTGCCTCTGCTCCACAGGGGGATTTGCGGCGCATGTGGTCTGAGCCCTTCCACACCAAGACCAGCAGCTCCCGCTTCCTGGAGGTATGATGCACTGTGGGATACACTTGCAGCGCGGGGAGGACTGCGAATCCTTTACCTTAATTCGAGGGAAGGAGAGAGGGCGCACTCACAGTGAGGCCATGTCGTCATCACTTGTTCATGCTTTCCGCCAATCTTCTGTGAAAAAAAAAAAAAAAAGAAACCCTCAGAAGGACACCAGTGTGTGGATCACAAACGCCCCAGAACACGACTCATCTTTGGTCTCTACATCCTCCCCCGTTTCATCTCCGCTTCCTCTTTTCTGTTTGTTTCCTCTTCATTACAGCATATCCTGCCTCTGCTGTTTTCGTTCGGCCCCCCCCTCCCCTCTTTAGTTTCCATTTTCCTCTCTTCTATAGTCGGTCTCATTTGCCACTTCCCTCCTTCCGTCCCTTAGGCCTCTTCTCTTCCTTCTTCTTCTTCTTCTTCTGCGTCTTTTTCTGTTTTCTGCATCTCTGTTTTGTCACTGACTAAGATGAACTCAAGGGCCAGGCCTGCCCCCCCCCCCTCCTTTTTGTGGACTTAGGGTTGAGAGACGTGGTTGGGGTTTATATATATTTTTTTAGCATTGTTGTGGTCATTATTATTATTAATATTATTATTCTGGAACGATTACAAACAAACGAAGGAGAGGTGGAGTGTTGCGGCTGCACAGGACAGTGCTCGGGAGCAGCGACACAGTCAAGGAGAAGAGTCTTCCCCCTCCACCTGTCTCCGCCCCCTTTTCCTCCCCTCCCCTCCCGCTTTCTTCATCATCCTTCCACAACGGCTCCTCCCCAGCGCTCCCACCCTCTCCTTCTCCTCTCTTCATCTGCTGTCCCCATCCCCCACCCTCACAGATAACTATGTATTTTATTTAGAAAAAGTTTTATTCTTGGCATATACAGAAATGATGCATTATAAATTGTTAAGCTGCCTCCTGCATTTGAGGGGCCGCTTCTATTTGTATATATGTCTATTTGCGGTATCTTGAGTTTGTATTTGTGTTCGGGAGCATGTTGAACAGGGTGGGAAACTGACACCAGCCGACAGTCGAATTCTGGTCGACTTTGGCCGCCAGTTGTTTCAAATCAGCCGGCAACAAAACATCATTCAGAGATTAATTTCTAAAGTTTATTAGATCATGTAAAGAAAAGTAGCTGATGGGTTTTTTTTTGTCGGTGATAAAAAAAAAAACATCTGCATCAGTGGCTGGTAAAAGAAAACGTTGGTTTCCTGCTCTAGTGTTGAAGAGTGTGTGTAAGTGTGTGAGTGTGAATGTGTGTGTGTGTGGGAGAGCAGATGAGTGAATGGTTATTTTACTCGGTTTTTATTTGAAATCATGTACATGTAAAAAAAAACAAAACTGTGGCAGTAGTCAGGTTTCCATTAAGCTGGGCGTGTTTGTTTTTTTTTCTAACTTGTAAAAGTTTTCCATAAAAAAATAACCGACAGTGGTCATTTAAAGACGGAAATGTAAACAGTGTTTTTTTTTTTTTTTTTTTTCAAATAAATGAATGTTGAATTAATTTAGAGGTATGCTGTTACTTGTGCTGGGTTTTTGTACCAAACTTCTCGCCTAAATTCACACATATTAATAGCAGCAGAAACACTAAAAACATCCGATTTCTTTTTTTTTTTTAATGTACAAAGCATGATGATATCAAATATTTTTGTTTGACAAAGTCAGCGGAGCAGCACAACAAGCACATCTCATCTGAACTTTGTAAATGTCAGCGTTGTACCTCAGCCAATGGAGACCTGACTATTGTGAAAGTCTGGACTCAAATCCGATGAAGACGTACTGTGGTTAGATTCATGTCTAGTTACTGACGAAGGGTTCTCTGGGTGGACAGTGATATGTGTGCGTTTATGTGTGTGTATGAGTGTGTGCCTGATGAAATAACGTCATAAAGTCTGTTTGGACCTAAAGGAGGGCAGAGAATCAGTTACACCCTTCAGAGATGGAAATTAGAAATTAAAGCTAACCTTTAGGATGTTTTCGCTGTCACCGTTTGGTCCCTGACAGTCTTTTTTTTTTTTTTCTCGTCCCTCCACTTTTTTGTGGTGCTTGTCAGTTAATATCTAATGTATACTGGAAAAGGAGCGGATGAGTCAGAGTCGTACGGACAACGCAGTTTGCTAGCTTTTCTTTCTCTCTTTTTTTTTTTTTTTTTACTTTTTTTTTTTTTTTTTACTTTTTTTATGCTATCTGGCCGTGCATGTTAAGTGTACAGTGTATCATTTCTCAGAGTGAATCAACAGGGCTACTGCAGTTTTTGAGTCTCTGCGGGCCGACACCGAGGCACTGGACTGGACCTATGAGCTCCCCCTTACGCAAAAACAGCGTCAGTGGGCGGGACAAAGGCTGCAGGTCAGAAAGACTGCGATTGGTCAGCTCTGACTGATGTAAGGACCTGAACGCTGCCAGGCTGCTCACAGTGCAGTCGTCTACACTCGGACATCATTGAACCACCAACCCCCCTCACCTCCTCATGGACATGATGAAAAAAATATATAGATTTATATACATATATATACATATATATGTGTGTATATATACATACATAAATAATTGATGACGATCATGGTGATAACAGAAAAGTTTCTTTTTTTATATAGAAAATGGATTTCTTTTTACCCCCTTTTTTTTCTTTAGTGCTTTAGTTTTTTTATTTTGTCTTTCCACCTCTTTCCCCCTCCAGCAGAGGACTCCAGCTCTGTTGGTGCATTGATATTAAAGCTGAATGGATTCTGTATAGAAAATGGTGAATAAATAAATTAAGAACTGTGTAGTGAAACATGAATCCTGAAGCGCTTGATCTAAAAACACTTTGTCCCCTTTTAACCCCTCCCTCTGCCCTCTCCCTGTCTTTCCCTCCTCGTTCAGGATTCTGCTGTAAATAAACATGACTCTAACTGTAACACCAACATGTCTTTTTCTTTGTTTTGCCTTTTAAATTAATCATGTGTGTATCCTTTCAAAAGGTTCCTTTAACCATATAAATGCAATGTGCTGAAATAAAAACTTTGAATTGCTTCTGCTAGTATATGAAAATTTGAGTTCACAAACATCAGGTATGAGGAGACTACTTCTGCTGGCGTTGAGAGGAACTGTAGCAGATGTCCATTAAAAGTGAACTGATTTAGGCAGGGGTAGATCAGCAGCTCACATCCTCTCCGGTGTAAAATAACTTTAATCAAAAGAGTTTGGAGGCATAAAAAAGCAGCAGTTGATGTTCAAAACATGTTCAATTACAACCCCGATAAAACAACACTACATAATAAGCTTATTGAAGATAATCGACAAGTTTCTTGTGTCATTCTGTTTCAATCCCCTCCAAAACAGAGAGCAGAGTTATGCTTAAATATAATATTCAGGGGACGGTTTGTCTGATGTGACAGAGACCACAGTCTTATTGCAGTCATCACTGCTTTCACTCTCATTCATGACCCTTTGCCGCACGTCTTCCTCATCTCCCTACTTCCCACGTCCCCTGTCTGTCCTCAGCTGCCCTGACTAATAAAACCAAAAAACCCAACCCCCTAAATAACATTCAAATAAAGTTATTTTAATTTAGTAAGTCAACCTCTACTCCTGTTTCTCTCAATAAAATCATCTCATGACTTTGCAGACTTAGACTGTGAACTTCCTCAGACGGTTCCCCATAAGTGTGTACTGAGCTTTTACAGATGTGGTGGTTCTATCTTTAGTGGACTCTTGCTGTAAAATTACACATGCTCATGTTTGTATCTGATGACTGATGTATCTTAAAATGTTAATGTCTATTAGTGGTCTGGACTTTTGATAAGCTGGGCAGATGAAGTGAAATGGTGGATGAAGTCTGATTTACCTGTGCTGCCAGAATAGAAAACAGATGAGATTTTCTTTGCCATTGTTAATTGTATTTAACTACTACTAAGAAGAAAGTGTAATGCAAAGAAAACCCACATTTTGACTTGTTTTCCACTTTGCCAGTGATAGTTTTCACATTTGATGGTCAGAGTAGGATTGTGTAGATTCAGAACAAATTACATGGTCTTGTTTGATTGCTTCTGGGGACAGTAATAAAGGTCTTGGAGGAATTTTTGAAGGACATACAATACAGACCCTTTCCAAAAATTCAATTTTTTTGAATTCCTGTTTTCATGGGTTTGATGAGCTGGAAGCCCAAATTATGTAAAAAAAAAAAAAAAAAAAAGATAATTGATGGCGTTTGAATTGTAAATCTATAATCTATGAAAGTTTAACTTTTTGAATGGAATTATGGAAATAAATAAAATTTTCATGATATTCTAATTTTTTGGAAAGGGTCTGTGTGATGCCACCAACATTTGACAGTTTGCAAAATGATATGCAATTTCAGGCTTGTCCAGCAGATGGCGACACAGTACAAAACACCACCATAGAAGACAGAAATATGGAAGGCCTGTTGTATTTCTTTGCTCGAACAAAAATACTCAAAAATTAAAACACCTGGGACATTTTATTGTCTCATTTGCTGGAGTAACTTTTATTAAGCAACACTGTTAAGTCTTTACAGCCTAAACACACAAACATGGGGACAGACGACAAGAGTACAAAGCTCACATTTTTTTACGCCCTGTCCTCGTTGTGACACACACAGCCATAAATGAAGCTCTTCGTGTATTTTGGGCGGTAAGTAAAGTAATAAATTGAAAAAAAATCAGGTTTAAACGGGGGTAAAGGTGGTCTCAGAGTGGATCAGACTGGAGTTAGCCTTCATGGGAAAATGGCGGCCTCAATGACGGAGCAAAGACGCTGAGTCAAGGGTTTACAGAGAGGCTGCTGCTGCTGCTGCAGTCATGCTGAATGTCTCTCTTTTAATCACATTTCTGTTTAAATTAAAGGTTAGTTTTAAGTCTTTTCTGTTTCTGAGTAACTCTAGATGCTCAAATACGACGGGTCTGCGGTTATAGGTGTAATATTGATAAACGTAGGACAACGGCTCGCATATCGGCAGACTTTCCGGATCATTTTAACCCTGTTTGTATATTTACAGGATATATGCTTGGTTATTAATAATGTTATTTTTCTTTAGGTTACTGTCATGGAGTAGTAATCTCTCAGGTGTTAATAATGTGACTCTAATTTCTGTATGAAGTGTTGAAACAGGCGGACAGACGGACAGCCTGACCTACTGACTGCTGCTTCAGTAGATTGATATTGATGAAGAGGAGGGTGAGTGTAGGGAATAGATGAGGAGCTGGACATTGTGGGTGGGTGTGGGGGATGTGCGGGGTTGGGGGGAGGTCGGTGGGGTCAAGGCAGGCAGGGTCCTCCCCTCTTCACCTATTGGTCGGGGCGGTGGACGGGTCCCGCAGCTTTGAAGCCCTAAGGTGAACAGGATTCCAGCACGGCCATGGGGATTGTAGCAGGTCGTTTGTGAAACATTTTTGGCGAGATGGTCCTAAAAATGGAGAGGCCCGGTATGCAGGGTTTGATACTTCGAGAAGCACTCCTGTCCTGTTAATGGTGGAGATTACAGACAGGCAGGTGACAGGGCAGCCTCAATTAGACAGGAGGTGGTGCAGAAATTAGCCTCGGGTTAGATTCAGAGGAGATGGAAGACCTTTTTTTTTTAGTTTGACAAGCGAGTAGATGAACTAAGAGAAGATTTCTACAAACTAAAAGAAAAGAGAGGCGTCAAGAGGAAATACACTCTTTTCACAGCACAAAGAAATAATGTGCAGCTAAACACTTTTTTCTCTTAGGATGTTTAGTATATTTAGTCTGTATTGCACATACTTCTTGTATTAAATTTTATTTTGTGTTTTTATTGCTGCTGTAACATGGGAATTTCCCCGTTTGGGATCAATAAAGTCTATCTATCTATCTATCTATCTATCTATCTATCTATCTATCTATCTATCTATCTATCTATCTATCTCTTTCAAAACTCGAGAAAAGTTCACAGTGATTGGTTGCCTACAAAAAAATGTTTACATACTACTAACTACTACTGAATCGTTTGTGTTCAGACGAGCTGAGGCATTTTTTAAACACTCAAAACTTTCTTTGAAATTCAAGTGGATGAAAAAAAATTCCGGAAATAACAGTGTCTGTAAAATTGAGCTGAGAATATGAAAAATTTACTAATTTTAGAAATGAAAAGTGCTTTTTGTTGGCCTACATTTTTATTTAAATTATCCAGACAGTGTTCAATAAGGGGAACTTTACTTGTATGATTGACAGTCAAATTTTTACAATGAGCTAAAATTTAAGTTTTTAAATGAACCAAAGTGTCTCAAGTTTTGATTAAGATTTTGAGTTACTTACATAAATCATTTCATGTATCTGTCTGCTTTGAAAATTATCATGTGTGACTACACATTTCATAGTTAAAGACAAAAACTGGCTTTTTTCTGCGTATTGACAGAATTTGAACAGAGAAAATCTGTGTTTTAAATCTTCACTTTGCTTGTCGTATCTTCATTCCTGTTCAAAGGCTGAAATACAGATGAAATTATGACATTTACACACCTTTTTCCATTACACTTGTAATCAATTTTCAGCTAAACTCATTTTGTTCTGCATGAGCATTTACACTTGTGTTTTTTGCACCAAAATGTTCATATACAGTGAAGGTTTAACATTTCTTGTGTATAAATGATGTCTGTATAATGTCTATAACTTGAGTATTTTATGTTGGTGATAAATGGGCAGCCATGAAAAGCACTCTCAACAGAAAGCTGAAGTATAACAGTGAAGTGGAGTATACATTGTAGCCAGACAGAGGGCAATGAGCTGCATTATGGGGAGAAGGAAAAGATGTACGTCCAAGGTGTTTACTGCACTTAAAGAATCCATAAACCATTAAACACGTGGAGTGATTTCAGCTTTTATCACATGGGCAGACAAATATTTCAAGACTAATCTGTTATTTATAACCCAGGAGAACCTCATAATACTTTTAAGAGTCAGAAGCACATGAAGACAGCCAGTGCTGGTGTTTATTGTCGTGGCCCCTGCTCATGTTAATGTCTTCTTCTTCTTCCTCTTCTTCTTCTTTTTTCCTCCATTAGGCATTCCAGGCTTGTTTGAATAAGGCCTGCCTGCCTGCCTGCTTGCCTGGGCGCGGGTGGATTCCCCTCTGGCCCTTTGACCTTTGACCTAAAGTGCATTCCGTATGTAAAGTGAGGAATTCCTCTGAAGTTCAGTTAATGGGGTTGAGTTTTTTCATCCTTTGGACTCTGCTCGTGCTCTCGCCCACTGAAGGTGGAAAAACAAGCGCCATGTGCACATGTGAGTTATGATGAGGTTTGTTGTTTATCGGTGGCGGTTAAAGATCAATTCACCCCCACCCAGCCCCCACCACTTCTTTTAAAGCTAGTGTATTAATCCTGTGGGATCATGACTAATTGATTTAATGGAGCATACTGTGAGGTGGAAGTGTTTGAGGAAGTGGAGTTCTTCTGACACTGTGTGTGCAGGGTTTTGAGACGGTTTCAGTGATCACTGTCACATTTACCAACAAAAAGAGTTTGATTGTTTTTCTCTGAATCAAAGGCGTCATAATAGACTTTATATCCTTTTTAGATTAATTTTATATCTTTGACTTTGAGGCTTTGTACGTAAAGCACACCTAAACCAACAGTTGAACACATGTTTGAGCGTGGAAAACTAAGATCAGAGTTTTATAGTTTGAAGTTTTCACCCTTTTATTGAAAATTTTGTACCCTTTTTCTTATGTTGACATATCTGAATTTCTTCTTTGATCATCAGGAATAACAGAAAAGTTCTGATAATGGACAGCACTTCAGTTTAACATGAGGTTTGTAAAAATAAACACATTGTTAAAAGCTGAATTTTTTTCTGATGTCAAACAGGATACCAATCTGTTTTCAGTTTTTTTCAACAGGTCTACAAATCAGTCTTGGTTTTATCCAATAAAAAGATCGAGTATTGATCTTTTCTGAGCAAGCGCTCATAAACAGTAGGGAGGAAAGACTTCCTTGTGACTCAGTCAGACTCACAGGTGATTAGTCACTTACCAGTTTTACAACTTAGCTTGACAAAAAAATGTTAAAAAGTTTCTGTATTCTACTCTCACCGCTGTTATTTAAGGAATAGTAAAAATAATTGCAAAGACACCTCTAATTCAAACACTTATTTATAAGATATTTCTCTGTTCTTCCCACATCATTATACCCCAGCTTACAGAAAACATTCAGACAGCTGCACATTTGCAAAAGTAGACCCACTCACTTATGAAACGAGGCAAAACAAGTCGAGTTAATTTTTCTATCACACATTTAAACAGTTAAAAGCACAAAGACCAAAATAATTAACAAATAGGAAAATGTGAAAGTTTTTTTTTGCTGTGTGTAGAAGTTAAATAAAATCAAAAGGCAAAAATCAACTACACCATGTTATCTAACAGTGGAAATATCAGAGTTTTTGTTTATTTTTAATGAAAAACTGTTGAAGTCAGACAGGGTGTCCATAAGTTATTTCTAAAAAAATTTAATAAGTTTCTCCTGCGTGAACTCTAAATTTCTGGATCTCAGTGCGTTTTTTTCTAAATTTTTTTGTCACACTTTATGTCTTTATAGTTTCAGAAAATTCTCTCACAGAGTTTGTAAAAGTCACGAGCTGTCGACCTTTTAAAAACCATCTTTAAATAACTCTCTGAGCTGTTAAAGACAGCCTGCAGTCTCGGGGCTGAAGGCAAACACAAGGAGAAATGTGTTGTTCAGTGACTCATTGAGCTCTATATATTTAAGACCAGTTTCCCAGGTTGTAGTGCAGATACCAGCCGGGCTCCTGGGTGAAGTCATGGATCTGAGGATGGATGCTGGATGGAGGTTCCTCTGCTGTTGTGCTGGAGCAGCTCTGTGTACTGTTGGAGACGCTGTAAAAAGGCTGTGCCACCCACACAGCTGGAATGTCATGCATGCAGTCCATAGAGTCTGTTTCAAGAGGGAGGCAGAGGGAGGAGGAGGAGGAGGGGGAGGGGGCACAGGGGCTCCGTGCTCGAGGTGGGGTCTACTACTTCTACTACTACTACTACTACTTCTTCGTTTAAAAAAAAAAGACAAAACTCACCTTCCTGCCCCCCTCAAACTTCTCCATTAAGCTTTTTTAGGTGGGAAATTATCAATGAATATCTGTTAGGGTTGTTTGGGCAAAAGAGGAGAGGGGAAACGTGGGAGGAAGGGGGGAGGCGTGAGATGGAGGGATGGGGGTTGGGAAAGGTTAAAGGGCAGAGGAAGAAAGGAGGTACATTTTCGGAGGATGGGAGGTTGGAAAAAAAGCGAGGGAACAATAACTCCCATGTTTAAAAGGCTTTTCTCGGCCCCCATGACACCTCACACAGGCAGCAGTTTGCAGTTAGGCCGAGCCCAGAGCTGCTCTGTGGCCTCTTTTCCCCTCAGGCGTGTTTTAAGGAGAAACTTTTCCAAAACATCAAACTCATTTTTCTCTTCTCTTTGCTCTTTTTTTTTCCTGCCCCACACAAGGTATCCCTCTTCGTACTTTTATACCTGTATTTTCCTTTAGGTTAAGCCTGATTGGAAACATCTGGACTTTTTGTTCTGTGGACACAAAACAAGAGCTGAAAATCTTTTTTAAAGACAGAAAAAATGAGGTCTTTATGAGAAAATGCAGCTCAGACAGTTGTTTGATTTCTTCACAAGATTACAATAAAATCTATCTAATCGATTTAAATGATTACAAATACTTGAATTGGGTTTATTCGGATAAAATGTAGTAAAAATGATTAAAAACAAACACCACAAAGATTGTTTTCCTACTTTTGTTAATTAATGTTTAGATTTTACACCTTTTCAAAATAAAGGGATAATTTTCAATGACGGAAAAATTCATGTAGTTCATGAAAGTTTCAAAAAAGAACAAGCAAATTGTTTGATTTTTAGAAAATGTTTCAGCGAGGAAGTGTGTTTGAAAATGAAAACCATACAAAATAAAACAAAAGGTTATTTTAAATCAGTAAAAAGGTTTTAAATAAACAACATTTGGTGTTTTTGCAGAGCTGTTGTCTGTTTATTTTCTAGTAAAATGTATCTTACTTGAACAGTTTCTGTTTTATTTCCTTTCATTAATTTTTCTCTTTCGTTAGCTGCAGCTTCATCCGGCTTGTTTCTAAAAGTGAACAAAAGAAAATTCTGATTTTAAACTGGATCTCATCAGGATCAAAGTTCAACACAAGCAGATTAAAACTGAGAAACAGGATTTAAAGATATTTCTTAAATTGAAATATTAGTCAACTGTTTTATCTGCTCTTTCAACTGGATGAGGTCTACTCCAAAAATGTAAACTTGTGAATCATTTGAGAGTGTTTTTGTATCTGGTGTGAGTTTCTTAAATTTCTCTTCATGGGTTCATTTTCATCAAACAGAAAAAAATCACATTTTAAATACATTTTTTGTCACTTTGAGCTGTTTTTAAGCTGCAAAACACACTGACTCTGCTGCTCAATGAATCAACCTAATCATGGATATATTTTACATGCATGTACTTTTTATACTGAAATTATTTAAACAAGCAAAACTGCTAAAATGAAGATCAGCTGAGCTTTATATATCTGCTAAAACACTCTAAACACGTTTTAACTCAATGAGTGAAATTAGGGGAATGAATTGGATTAGATTATATGTAATGAGTGTTTTCTAGACAAAACCAATCAGTCAACATCAGCACTTGGTTAATTAAAATTATTTTATGAACACGTTTGATCTGTAAAGAAAAAACTATAAACTTTCACTTTCATTCACTCATTTAACTTTGCTCTCTGCCTTTGTCGTCTCAGGCCGATTATACGAGACCCTTCAAAAGTTGATGGTATGTAGAGGCTATTTCAGGTTTATTTGGAGTAATAATTTGTTCACTGAGACCATTAAGCGTGGATCGCCCTCCTGTCTGTTTTTATTAGCACTCCAAGGAAGGAAAGAAGGAAGGAAGGAAGGAAACTAATCCAGGTTTAGCAGCTGTTGTAAAAACATTTGGGATAATTTGATCACAATTGTCACAGAAAAAAAAGTCGACATCTCGTGGGTTTACTTGTCTTTTTAGTGTCCCACATTTTGACAGCACACTTCCACTTCAGTCCGAGCAGAGTCAGTGGGAATAAGTGCGCATCCCCGCGCTCCAAACCTGCACCGGATCCGTCCCGCCCCGCCCTCCATCAAACATTTTTCTGCCGACTGGCTGCACAATCAGATCTCTTCTGAGTGGGCTGCGGTCTGATGGGTGTGAGGGGAGTGAAGAGTGGGCCCTCTCCCACTTGGATAATGCCATTATTTCAGCTCCTCTGGCCAGGAATGCCAAATTTCACAGCCCGCTACTCCTCTCTATGCGTCAATCAAAGCGTCGCGAGGGGCCGAGGCGCCCACCGGGTCCGCCTCCAACCCCGGAGAGATCCGATCCCCGAGCATTGATCCCCCCACGAACCGGATCACGCAGACTCACTCACTCCACGTGTAGATTTGAAGAATAATTTCGTTTCTTTTTGGGGGGATTACTTTGATTTTTGGCTCATTATTTTGCGCAATGTGGGGGCAAATCTGCGCAAATGTCTTAATTTAGATAAAAATCGAATATGATTAATTTGATCAATATTCTGGGCCTGACACCCGCTGCTTACGAGGGGAGATAATCCGGGTTAAGTCTGTGCTTTGAGCTAATTTACAGCATGACTGTCCCTCAGAGGCCAATTACAGGCCGATTATAATCCGGTTAGTTTTCGCACAATAAAGTAAATAAAAATAATTAGTGATCAAGTTTCCAGATACAGTGAGGAGGAGGAGGAGGAGGAGAGGGAGGAGGGGGTTGATGAGGAAATTTGTGAATGGGACACAGTTAATCAGGTATTCGTTGTACGCTGTGACGCTGCCCCGCGCGCAGCCAATCGCGCGCGCCTCGGAAATGTTGAACACGCCGAAAGCGGTCCAATGGCGCGTCTCCTAGCAAAGACTAGCGCAGGAAGGAGCCAATGGGCGCGAGGCATGCAAACGAGGAATTTGCTCCGGCAGGCTCTGAATGTCAAGTAGTCAAAGATGGAGTCCGGATCTGCGAGGCCGTGTGCTCGTGCAGAGAAGACTTGCGATTCCTCCCCCTCCTCCTCCTCACTCTTCAAGCTCCGCACATTTTTCGCTCTCCCTTCGCTTCCGGTCTTCGCGAGGACGACGGCGCGAGGCTCAAGAAGCAGCGGCGCGTGAAGTGTGGTGTTTGGAGAGGGTTGCTTTTCTTTGTTTTATGGACAACTTTTCTTCCTTCTCTTTTTTTCTCCCCCCCTTTGCCTATAACGGATTGTCCCTCCCTTGGCTAGATACTATTCATGCTTTCGGAGGAGGAGGAGGTTGTGCAGAGAGAGGAGGAGGAGGAGGAGGAAGAGGAGGGGAGAAGAGAAGGGGAGGTTGTCCACTGTGAGTTGTAGCCGATTTTTTTTGGCGTAAATTGTCAGTGCAAACTTGGAAGTTGCAAAAGGTCGAGACGCGGAGATTGTGTGTTTTTATTTACGCGACTTGAAGGGAGGAAGAGGAGGGAGTACGAGTTGAGTGAATCGCGCGCGCTGCGCATCTGGAAGCTCGTTTCACAAACTTGACCAGGACGCGATTTTGACGCCTGGTGGGCTGATAAACGCGTCCTGCACCGTGTTGGGCTGTTATCTTACTGTAATGGCTCTCATAGGGGGACGTTTATGTGTGTGAGAGTGAGTGTGCGTGTGTGTGAGTGTGTGTGTGTTCTCTCTCTCTACATATGTGCGCGTGTGTGGATCCTATAGGCTGTTGTGCAATCTAACAAGTCGTCAGTATTGTACCGTGGGCTCGTGAGCTGGCAGGAATGGCTTGCAGAGCAGATCCACGGCGTTTCAGGAGGCGTATAGGCCGCTCACAGATGTATGGCGGAGCAAACGTAAAGCTTTCAAGAACAGGTAAAAAAAAGACCAATAATCCTCATAATAAGAGAAACACGTTGATATATATTTGCAGGAATAATCCGAGCGGTCAGGTTAAAGGAAGCTCCGCTGTGCCCTGCTCAATTCCTGCCTCCTGTTTCCTTTTAATGCTATAGATTGTGTATGTTGTGTAACAAGGCGTTGATTGTGCAAACTTGCAGGGACTACTTTTCCTTCCATCTGGGCCTTGTTGCGGTTTATCTTGGAGTCATTTCTCTCTTATACTTAGAGGAAAACTTCTACTAAAGTTTTTTTTTTCGATCACTTAATTTCGTTGCAGCGTGCTCGTGAATATTAACCACTCCGAGGAAGAGACATCCTCTCTTCTAGATAAAACAAAACAACAAATAAATAAATGTGTAATGATAGTGAAGGCGTTGAGGGTGGCTGTACCCCACTAACCTCCTCCTCCTCCTCCACCAGCAGCAGCAGCAGGACTAGCTGCAGTCTAAAACCTCCCATTTCTCCCCCCAAAATTAGAATGCATGTCATTCACTGCAGAGAATAGTATGGGCCCACATGCTGGGAAATTCCCATTCTCCCAGGGTGAGAGTAACCAATGCTGTTTAATTTAGGAAGTTCATTTAACTCCAACACTGAAAGCTTGTATTGTAAGAATGTAATATGCTGACTTCTGTCTCGCAAAAAGGCATCATTGGAGTTTTAAAAAAAGAGAAAAGAGTCAGCAGTTTGCAAACTTAAATTCCAGTTTGACTTTTGGGGAATTTTTGTGATCTAACTTTAACTTTAAAATGTTTGGCCGGCTGCTGTATGAAGTATCTAAGAGCAGGAGTTTGTACTCTACTGCAGTTGATTTGAAAGGTGGATAGTTGAGTCAGTATGTGCAGAGGAGTCTGATGGTGTCCATGTTGTTGTCCACTGCCCTTTTTCTGTTGCACTACTGGATATTGAGGTGAGCAGTGCAATATTAAAAGGGCATTGGCTGATGAAACAGAGGCCCCCACCTCCCTTTACTGCCTTAACTTTAAACCTGTACATGGATCCAAGATGATGTCCTAAAATGTGATCATGCTTTTTTTAAATTTTTGCATCTGTGCCTCAGTTAAAAAAGATTCTCATGTTTTATCTTGACTTAGAAGCAAAACAAGACCTCCACATTGAAACCCTCTTGTACAATTGGAGCTTTTAAAATCTCCCTCGAACAGCCATCAAACAGCATTGTTTCTGACTGAAATGTAATGTGAGTTTGGCAGAGAGGAATGGCTGTCCTCATGTCCACGTGCTGACACATGCTGAGGTCAGCTGCTTTGACAATGTTGCACTACTGTACCATCCATTCTAGCAGTGCAATAGTATTGTCATAGCATTTGGCCTAAGCTCACACTAAACTAAACGGCTTTTAAAGGAGCTCTCTCTATCTCTCTCTCTCTCTTTTTTTTTTTTTAAACGGGTTTGTGGAGAAGTGAAGGAGCTGATGACTGATAGCAGGTGGCGGTGCGTTCACAGCAAAGCCTCCTAAACTGTTTACCCAGGAGTGTATTTACAGAGGAGAGTTTACACACGTTTGTAGGCTGACAGAAGCCCCTTTGACCTGAATTCAAACAATATGATGTATGTTTCCAAAAGACCTTTAAAAGGGGAAACAAACTGCATTAAACCCTTTTTTTTAAAGCTGCCATACAGAATTTTCTCCACCTTTCAGAGATGCATTTCCTGGAAGTCCCAATTAATCCAAAACTCATCAAAATTAAGTGCAATGTAAAATAAAACGTGCAAATTTGTGAACAAAAGTTGAAATCAAATGATAAATGTGTAGAAAATGCAGTCAGATTTGAAATCCTTCTTGTAAAGTGAGTTGGATTTTTTAAGATTTTGAAGCCTATGACCAGCTCATGAAAAAAACAGGTTAATGTAAGTGAACATTAACAGAAAAGATAAATCAATGGGATTGGAAATATATAAAGTAGGCCGAAATCATAACAAAAATACACTTAAAAAGCTGAAACCTTTTGCAAGAATCCAAACTGGATTTTCAAGTTTTAAAAACTGAATTCCTCGTACATTCGCAGTTTTGTCAATGAGGTTTGGTCCCCCTGTGTTTTTTCTTTACCTGATTTGTCGTCACACCAAACAACGGGCCGGGGTGCTGTTGGTAAAATAAGCAGATGGAAAAAAAAAATGAAGAGAAAAAGAGGAAGGGGGGTGATGTGTGTTTTTGAGCATCCTCAGTGGCAGCAGCAGCAGGTCAATGGGGGGAGGGGACGTTTGGGAGGAATGTAGAGAGCAAAGGCCCCCCCACCCCCCACCCTTTGCATTTTGCCTTCCCTTCTTCTTCTTCTTTTTCTTCTGTTTTCTTTCTTTCTGCCTTCCTTTCTTTTCTGCGTGGAGATTAGGTGTTGTCGCTCCTGTGTGTGTGCCTCACACTGGAGCCATAAAGTAAGAGAGTAAAGAGGTTTGTTTGTTTTGATGGCTGTCAGCGGGTGGAAATGTTTAACCACAGTCCAGTTGCTGTTACAAGCTGCAGCACAGGGACACCAGTAATTATTAAAAACAGAAAGGAAGCATGCTTTTTGGCCACAGAATGTCACACCGGAGTAGAAAGTTTCAGGTGAAAATGATTGTGAAGACTGAGTTTTCATACCACTTTAAAAAAGTCCAGTAAAATATAGTTTTGAGTGTAGAAGTGGATTTATGAGAGTGCACCAAAAGGAAGGCAAAAAGAGACCTCAGTCACTCGACTGTGTGAAATTCTCCCCGAGTAAAGAACGTGACTTGTTTAGGCTTGCTTGCAATGCTTGCTGGGAAATCCTGGAATGTGTGGAATGGGGGACGGTGGTGCTTCTGCAGTTATCTGACTGCATGGAGCAGCAGAGTATCCTGTAATGAAAGCCAACATGTCAGCGGTGCCTTCTGAGCAGCTTTTCATGTGTAGATTAAAGCGCAGAGAAAACGGCTAATAAGATAATGACATCTGCATTTCATTAAAAACAGAAAACACAACAAAGTCTTAACTGCTGAGGATTAAACAAGAACTTTGTCTGTCTGGGATGTGTCTGTTCTCTGTTTGTACTGAACTAATAGAGCTTTTTAAAAAACAGAGAAGTGGTCATTAGGTGGTTTATTGGAAAGAAAGGTGTTTTTATCTTGTCAGAATTTGGAAAAACAGACTCAAAATTGTATCAGTTTTTAATTATGTATACTTTAAAGTTAATGAACACTGTGATTTTCTGTGTGACTGTCTCAATAAAGATGATAAACATGAATGTTCTCAATTTTCTTTTTATAAAAACACTTTTAAAAACAGTAAAGCATGATAAAGAAAAGACATCAGTCCTGTTGTCTGAAGGATGAAAAAAGTGAAAGAAAGCCGTGGAGTAAAAAAATATTCCTATTACATCTCAGGCCTTTTGGCGCCCTGTTTGCTTCGATAACTGCAGAAACTAAGGTGAAAAGAAACATCAGTGTGTGAAAAGGTTTTCCAGAGTTTATCTTAAATGTTCACAGATCAATTCTGATTTCACCAAAACTGATCTCATTTTCTAACAGCCTGTTTTCTTATTTCAAAACTAACCCAGGAAGCTTGATTCAAAACTTAAGTCTGAGGTTGCTAAAAAAAGTTTCCGTAGACACCAAATTCACCAAATTTTCTCTTGGGAGAAAAAATGTTAAAATAAAATGAAAAAAGTCTTAAAGAATGTAGAAATCATGTTGTGGCACAAACCACAGAAAGAAAATCATCACGGCATAGGTTATAGAATTTAGTTTGTAACATGAATTTGCAGGAAAAATTTGCTGTCACACTGCATTTAAAAGTTTTTCTAAAATCCAGCTATATTTCAGGAAGAAAGTCAGAAAATGAAAAGATAAATCATTAAAAATAAATGTAGTATTAAGAGTGGAAATAAAGTCCATTGTCGTGCCTTTATAGCGTGTTAAAGGGTCAGTGTGTTGTTTTAAGTGACCTTTAGCAGAACAAACTTGGTTGAAATATTATATTAAATCCATTTGCATATTTAAATAGTGTATAATCATTGATTATTAAAGACATTTATTTTTGGTTGATGGTAAATGAACCTTTTATATTAATATAAGTCATGGTCCCCTCCAACTTGGCTGTCATCTTGCACAGCTTTGTTTCCACTGCAGCACAGAACGGAAAAACTCATAGTATCCATGTCTGTATCTGTGGCTGCACAAAATGCTCAGAAAAGGAGGAGGAAGAGAGTGGTGGTTGTTGTGATGGATGTTTTTTAGAGTAAAAAACTTGGCAAATACAGGATCAGTCTCCATGGTCACCATGGTTTCTCTAACAGGAGGGGTGAGCGAGACAGCATTTCAATCCAGTTTGATTTCTACACTCTATACCTTTAAAGGCAAGAACATTAGATATTAAAGCTGCTTTATTTTGGTGTTATAGGGTCATTTATATTTTAAGTTTTAGGTTGAACGCTTAATTTTTCTCACATATTCACATATTCAGGTCTAGTTTTCCCATTTTGCACGAACACAGTTAATATTATCTAGAGTTTAGCGTTTCTTCTAAGGAGGGACACTTCGGCCTTCATGAGGGTATTGGATCCTTCCTGAATATTTCTAATCAGTAAAGTCCTTCTGAGCATTTTTGGTCTAAAGAGGTCTAATAGACGTCTAAATGTAGCCTAGACGGCTGGTCTAAAATCAGGCTACCACAGGTCTAAAAATGAAAGTTTTTTTAGACGTCTAAATTTAGACCAAGTTTGGACCAAGTCTAAATCTGGGCTATATCTTTACTACACTGTTTATTGCTCAACGGCTATCGTAATTACTTTAATTATTTGGAGATCAGTTATACAACTCACAGTTGCTTTTTGAAATACATAGTTATCGAATTATGGGTTAAAGTGCAACGTCTAAATTCCGTCTAAAATATACAGAATCTAGATGGTTGAAATTAGGTCTAAACAAAAAAACTAGACATCTAATAGCCGTCTATTGCTCAGTTGGGGTTAGAGGTCGATCACCGCTGAATTCACCTCTCAGGTCTGTATGATTCTGTCCCAGTCACTGAGCATTATTTTTGACGTTAATTCGTTTGTGCGCAAATTAAAATAAATTGACAATAAGAAAAATTTATTATGTGACGTTGATCTGTTTTATTATTTCAAGCTATACAAATTTCTGTTTTCTGCATGTGGTTGATGCTATAAAACAACACAGGTACACAGATATGAGGAGGCATTGCTTGTATGATACATCTCAGTAAGGGGATGGTTGAGTTTGTGTTTATCAGAGTAGAAAAAATCAATTTAACCTCCTTTTTAGAACAATTTTCTTCAATTCGACAGAAAATGTGCTCTTATTCTAGGACCATCATTGAAAGGAGTGTTGTTTTGAGGAGGATTTTAATGAACCAGAAGTGAAACTTTGTTTGCAGTCTGAATATTTCTAGCAATTCTCTTGAGATATACTTCTTTTCATTTCTACAGTTTTGTATGGATAAAGATACAGAGCTCCAGTTTACTGTTATGTCTGCTGTCTGTCTCTACAATGACAGGATAAGCGCTTCGGCTTCATGCTGTTCGAATTATAAAATGCAGTGAGTTAGAACTGGTGCGATAAACTTCGAATTACACAATTTAATTTGTTGCGTTAAACTTAAAATACCCGATTTTGAGATGACAGAATGGAAGGAGAAGTGATGAGAGAATAGTTTAATGTTAGCATGAAAGGAAAAAAAAGTTTTGGCCTAGTGCAGCTGAGAAAATAAACCCTGAGAATTTCAATAAAATCAGACAAAAAAAGGCACCAAACAACAATAAATCCAGGTGACAAGCAGACAATAAGGAAGGAAATCCGAAGAAACGGAAATAGCCCTGATAGAGGAAATTGAATCATCTAGGAAACACTTGTGTGTGTATTTAGGTGTCCGAGTGTGCAGGGAGGGTGTGTTACAAAGTGAACCTGTCCACAGCTTTTAAAGTGGAGGAGCAAGAATAAAACGAAACAGCTGAAAGGAAGTTAAGTGGAAACAAAACTACAGAGAGAAAACACAAAGTTGAACTCAGTTTGAGGCGACTCTTGTGAAGACCCTCAACAGATAAGGAACAGCTCGCCTGTCGACAGTATTTCCCTAAAGCAAATGTGCAGAATTGGTAACATTCAAGTTGACACGGTGAGTAAAACATAGCTCTAAATCTGCGTGATAATATTTAGTTTTATCGCCTGTTGGTTTGGGCCAAAGTTTCACCTGCCTCTTGACATCTGTCGACACTGTGTTATGTCATCTGCTCCACCTCTGTGAATATTAAGATGAGACTCACAATATCAGAGCAGTGATGGTGCTCCATAAAGTGATGGTAGACAAAAGCAGCGGGAAACCTGTGATAGTCTGAGCACTCCGAGATCTCCACAGTAGTTTCCTGAGAGAGAAAAAACAGTCATACATAATCACAAGTGAGCAGTGATATCAAACCCTGAGAGAGAGAGAAAGAGAGAGAGAGAGAGAGAGAGAGAGAGAGAGAGAGAGAGAGAGAGAGAGAGAGTGTGTGTGTGTGTGAGGCAGAGAGACAACACATTCCTGTCAGCTCTCTCTGAAGTGTGACAGCGCTCAGAGAAAAGCTTCAGGTCTAACTGGAGACAGACTGTCAGAACCAAACAGTTTAGAGGAGCATGAGAACATTTTTGAAGCACCTGTACTCTGTTTAGGCGTTTTCATTTGATGTTACTTTACACATCTGCTCTGCTCCTCCTCACTCCACCTGACAGCTTCAGCTCCACTTTTCAAATTCTAACAACCAATAAATCCACAAATCAATCACATCAGATTAAGCTTCAGAAAGTAGCTCCACTAACACTTTGACCGGCCTGAACAAGTGAAGTTACACAATGTGGGGTTTCTTCTTTCTTTTTCTTTCTGTCTGTCTGTCTATCCGTCCGTATTTCTTTCTTTCTTTCTTTCTTTCTTTGTTTCTTTTTGTGTCTGAAAGGCCCAAATAATTTATCCACTTCTGATGTTTGTGCCTAGGGTCAGGGTTAGGGATTCATTAGAGCAAAAATGATCACAGATATCACAGATTTATGACAGTCAGTGTGATTATAGTGTTTGTTTGTTTGATTGTTTGTGAGTGAATGCACTGCTGATGTTCACTGAAGAAGAAGCTTGTTTGCGTTGAATTGAAAGAAAATAGGATTAAAATCTCAATCTTTGAACTCTAGACTCTTTCTGTCTCCTGATACTGACATAGCGATGTCTGTGTTGCAGATTCACTGCCATCCAGTGGTCAACTGAGGTAATACAATGAGGTTCATCCAAATGAAAAATCATTATTTCCTCTGTACTTAAAATTTCATGAAGTCAAAGTTGAGGCTCGATGAGTCCAGGATTAAACCACTTTCTCTAAAATTCTTGCCACTGCTTGTTTAGATGACAGATTTTCTGTTTACATCAGTGAATTAAAAAAAAAGGAAATGATAGAAAATACAGTGTTCGGGCTCTTGTGCTGTGTACACTTTTGTGTGAATGAAATTCAACAAACTACAGTCTAAACTCTGTAGAAATCACCTTTAAAAATGCAGCCTCCTTTTCACACCTCCAAACAATCATAACCTCACCAGAGAGTCCTTTAACAATTACACTGATGACGTCATAGGCATGTTTATTCAAATCAATGTGCTTTAATAAAACAATAAACACATATACAATAACTTTTAACTTAAAAGAACTAAATGGAAAGACAAAGTAAGAAGTTACTCTTGAAAAACCATTACATTACACAAACCTGACATTAAAAGTGCTCATTCACCAGCAGGTACAAACACCTGAAGACAATTTAGTGAAGTTTAATAACTCAATATAATTTAAGGGTTAATTAAATAAACATCGCACTGCAAAGCACTTCATCACCACTAGATGGAGCAATAAGTTAGTTTAAGTAAAGGAGGCGCATCGTGGCAGCATGTAAACAAGGACAAGTGCAAAGATGCAACACGTCTGAGTTTTCTGGAGCGTCTCCATCTGCTGCAAGAGGGAGACATGATCAGAGGAAAGAGTGAAGAAAATCAAATAATTATGGATTAAGATATCACTGAGCTGAAGGACAATGAGGATTACCTTAGCTTATGATGATCTTGACAATATCAGAGAGCTCTGGAGTCACAAACTCAGCTGCTGGGTGAGGCGGTACTTCATGTGGCATCTGAAAGAGGAAGGAAAAGGTGATAACCAATAAAAGAGAAGCTCAGACAGGTTTTCTGTACAGGTGTGTGAGTAAGGCTGAGTACAGACCAGCACTGGAGGGGCAATGAAGAGATAATTCAGGGGGTAGTACAGCAGGTTGGTGCAAGTGGAAGAGTAGAGATCTGCGTAACGCACAAGCTGGCTGGCAAACAGCGTCTGTCTGGCTCCGCTGCGCAGGAGGCTTCCCATCTGACCGTAGGACATGTCCATCCTGTAGGTCAACACCTGCAAACACAACCCCATAGTAAAGAGCTCATGATAAAGACAAAGACCAATAAACAGAGCTGCTTAAGTTGATGGTGGTGGAGAAGTTTTTTTCTTTACAGCTTCAACATGTGGTGAATTTATAGTAGTCATGTGTGCCGCTCACCTTCATCCTTGTCTGGATGGCTCCAATGTCGTAGGACTTTACACTGCTACGATCCAGGTGCCTTCAGATGTAAAATACAGAAAGGGATAAGTTACTTAAAGGGATATTCCAGCAAAAAATTAATTAGAGTCAAAACACACCGTAACACCTAGTTAGACACCCCCTCGAGAGATGAATGTTGCCGACTGCTTGTTTTATATTTATGATCATTTCTTTATCATTTCCTTGAAGTAATAATATTAATCATTTTGCACTGCAGACGCGATAGTTCTTCTGCCTTTATGTCTTGGTCTGATTGCATTTCCATGAGAAAATTATCATAAATGTACTTCCTTGAGCTGCGTCAACCCACAGCAGAGGACTGGCCTGAAGTCTTGCTACACACAAGCGGCTGCTGGAGGAGAGTAGGTGAGTTGTGTTAAGTCTCTTTGGTGACTAGTACTATGGCTAGGACCCTATATGTACTGTTGATGAAGTTAGGTGCTGTTCTGAACACTATTTGTAGCTATAGAGTGGCGTTTTGGTTAAGGTTTGTTTATGGCTCCTCAGACCGCTGTGTGTTGCTATCCTGCAGTCGTTCCTAAAGTTGGTAAAAAAAGAGAAGCAAGCAGTCGGCAACATTCATCTCTCGAGGGGGTGTCTAACTCGGTGTTATGGTGTGTTTGATCCTAAATTAATTTTACGCCGGAATATCCCTTTAAAGCTCCCTTGACAATTTTTTTACCTTCATAAATTAGACTTAAATTCAGAAGGATGCTTTATCATGATATCCAAAAGCAAACAAGAGGCAAGATTGGCCATTTTTGTATCCTTATTAACAATGCTTCAGAGTCAGCCAAATAGTGAAAAAAATTTGCTGTTTTTACAATTTCCACTTAAAATAATCAATAAATGATCAATTTGCAAACATATGTTGTCATTATCTCTGAAAATAGATGTAAACTGCTCAAAACGGGAATCTGTGCGAAGACGCGAGGCCCACTGAACGCCTACAAGGCATTATGGGCTCTCCTTACCAGTTCATCTGAGAACTTCTGCAAAGCGGAACAGCCTGCCTCCAACAGCGTGTGAGGTGACACCCACAGCGGAGCGGGGTAACACTGCTCCGCTGCTCTACTGATTGAACACAATAGAGGAAGGCGAGGCCAAAACACGGAGCTCTGCCCTCTGCCGGCTACCAGAAAGCATCTGGAGAGGCGGCCAATCAGAAGACAGTAGGCTTGTGGAGGGGGAGGGTTCAAAGAGACAGCAGCTAAAATGCAGCATTTTAGATGGATGCTTAAATACTGATATTTTAACACACCAGAGAGAGAAATCGGAGACATTTTTGATCTGAAAATTATGTAACGCTTTTGAGAGGTATCAGAAAAGAAGTATAGAGTCTAAAAACTTCCAAAAAGCAGTTAAAGACTTTTTTATTTAGACAAGCTTTTAATTAACAGGGTTTCGTTTGTCTCTTTTACTTACCTTTTATATCTGCATTTATTTCCATATTTACTGTACTGTATTCGTATGTATATGTACTTATTTATTCATTTTTCGGTACCATTTTATCTTCATCTAATTGCACTTTTTATCTACAGTGCTTTGTGATTTTTATCTGTGAAAAGTGCTCTATAAATCAACTTTACTTACATTATTACTTACTTACTTAAAAATGCATGATACCCCCTCTTTGAGCATTTAGAGGACAAGATAAGCAAAGACTGCTTTGTTCACAGGAGGTACAAAAACTACCACAAACCAAAAAATTCCTCATTCAGGTAACTCCATCTTCACGGGAAAATAACAAAAATATGCAGCAGTCATGACAACAACGTTACTAAAATTAAATGTACATTTGGACACAGACTTACTTGTAAATCCCAGCTAAGATGATGTCAAGACTGTTCAGTTCTTCAAACAATTCTGCAAAAACAAGAAAGTGGTCAGGACTCTCAAAACCCCCAAATGATCATGACTCGGATCTTTGAATCATCGTATTCAGAAACCAGATGCTGTAAACTTGTTCTTACTTTTCCTTTCCTCCCACACCTTCAGCTCCTTGCCGAGTTCAGGTACGACCAGAAAAGTCTTCCAGCCCTGACGCTTCTTGGATTTAAGGATGTCGCCGAAGATATGGTCGCCGACGTAGAGGATGTCTTTACCTTTGACGTTCAGCAGATCACAAATGATGTCTGAAGATCCTGCAACAGAAAGACAGAAGTTTGTTCAAAATGAGTTCAAAGTTTCAGTCAAAAGCCCGACATGGAATAAAGAAGAACCACATAATGATCCTACCTCCAGAGTAAACTGTCCCGTGTTCAAGCTCACCTACGTACGTGCCAATCCGCAGCTTTCCTGTGTCCTGTGAAACCAACACATCTTTAGAACCTGCATTTTACTTAAATATGTAAATCTTTAAGTATGAAGAGGCTCTCATACTGTGTCCACTTGTCTCAGCACGGTTCCCTCTGCAAAGAACAGCGGCTTCCTGGTGTCGACCACGATAAGGTCAAAGTAGGAGCGCCATGACCCCAGAGGCTTCCCAGACTTGGATGAAAAGAAATGTTAGTGATTAATTAATAAAACAGACATTTTCCAAATATTCCAGCTGAAGTTTAAGGGCCCTTACCTTTACATTACGTTCGAGCAGGTATTTCATGATGGCCTTGACAGAAAGAAGACAAAAAGTTGTAATAATGAGTCCATTTAAAGGCTGATTTGTCCTGTAATTTGTTAAGTGGCTGATTGTTTGTAATCTTACATCAGTGTAGTTAAAGTCGCTGTTGGTGGCAAGGAAAACTTTGGCCACTTCTTTAATCCGACCCAGAAGAACAGGGAGATTTGGCTGCAGGAAGAAACAAAACAATCATTTCTCTCTTTTGAATCTTTTTTTATTTTTTAAGTCAGTCTTAAAGGTGGGATAGGCAGGAGTTTTTTTTTTGTGGTGTATATACAAAAAAGCTTTTAATATCAGTCAATAGCTATTAGTTATTGATGACATTTGGTGATATAACAATATCGCTGTGTTTTGTTCTGTCTGTGTAGTCAACATTTTAAACATTTTGAGCGGCCCACTCTTTCTGACTGTAAACAAAGCCATTCTCCGCCTCCCTCGACCTGATTGGTTGTGAGGCAGACGCTGCTCCCCCGTGTCGTTCATGAGCCCAAACAAAGTTAGCGTGCTACAATATCGGACAGTAGAAACCAACCAGAAAGTACAGAAAATTTTCTTAATCCTCCTTTAGCCATGACTGCCAACACAAGCAAGACAATGAGGTAAATACCGGAGACTCTGGCAGAAAGACAAGCGCTTAAAAAGGAGGTAGACTGGACAACAGCTAAAAAAAGTGGGGTAAACGATGATGGGGGGCGCTTCGGGATCTTACTCTCTTGTAACCTTTATGCTGGACAGGTAAACCGCTTTAACAAAGTAAGCCAAGTGTCTGTAACAGAAGTCTTTCTTGTCAAACGGGACCTGCTGTGTGTTGTAGCGCCGCTAAACTGTTTACCTCTGGTCCTGGACTATGTCACTTTATCCTAGTTGTAGAAGTCCTGTAAACATTGTGTTTGCTGGTAGTCTGTTGGCATCTACAGTGGCACCAATGCTTTTTACTTTCATGTTGACTGGGCCCCATTTGTAATTATCAGAAGTATTTATTTACATTATATCTGAATTTACAGTAATTGGAATGATATGAGTGAGCAGGAGCGTCTATTTGTGGGCGGGGCTTGCTAAAGCAGAGAGGGAGGGGAGACGAGGATTTCTCCCAGAAAACGGCACTTCCTCAGATCCTGCCTACCCCACCTTTATATACATCTTGACACATAATTCTGGGGGTTTACTCACATCATAGACGACATATTTCTCCAAATTCTTGATGGTTTGACTTTTCAGGGCTCCCTGTACAACAAACAGTAAGTTCAACAGTCTGATATCCTACGCTGCCAACACAGCACCATTCTGTATCCTTTGAACAGAGATTAATAAACATACCGTATCATGAATAAAGTCCATTGCATCTCGAACATCCTGATACATACTTCTGTAGGACATATACAAGTCTCCGTGCTGGAAACCTTTCTCGAGGCTGTGAGAGATACAACAGAGCAGAGACAGTGCAGGGAAGTTTGTTTGATATTCTCTTGAATGTCAAAGTTTAGAGTTTGGGGAAAATAGTCACTCACTTTGTGTATCTGGAATTTCTGGTGAAGAAGTCCACGAGACAGCTGTACAGATATGTCTCTGCAGGGCGCATGAAAACAGATACGAGTGGGCAAACACATATCAAAAATGATCAACTCAGACATTGTTATTATCATGCAGAAATTTTAGCATTTGAATGTAGTTTATTAAAATAAAAAATCTGGCACAAACTGTTAAATTTAACATTATTAATGGCTCTTTAAGTCAGTTTAATACCTGAGAGATTGAAGAGGGTGTTAAGAATGCAGAATCGGTCAGTGTCGCCTCTTTGGATGAACTTGTTGGGGTAGTAACTGAGAATTTCTTCCCTGTGGATAACAAACATATGACAGGTCAGTATCACCAAACTAAAATAACACAAATCTGTCTATACATCAGTATAATCTTATATTTAAGTTTACCAACAAATGAGTCATTGTGATTTATAACAAAGAAAAACAACACGCTTCTTGTTTATAAGAGAAGGTATGAGATGTCAGTTCATTTCATATGACAGTAATGACAGGATTAATAATGCAAATTACGACAAAACCAATGCAACATGTTGACAAAGCGCTGCCTTACTGCTGTACAAAATCAGAATCAAAACATAGCTGGCTTTAAGGTACTTCGCTAGGTTTCAGTTAACATACAGACCTCATTCTTTATGATGGATTGTTGGGGAAACATTAAAATTATTACGTTTTTAAAGCTCCAGCAAGGAGCGTTTTTTTCATTCATTGAATTGTTTAAAATTGATATTGATGTTTTTGTGTGATTTATTGAAGAAAACAAGACCATCAGTGAACATCAAGTTTAACATTTTTTTATATTGTTACTAAAACCAGAGTGAGGGGGTAGATATAAGCTAAGCCCCTGAAGAGAAAAACCCCTTTTTACAATGTCCACATACAATAATAATAATAATAATAGATATGACTGTTAAAGTCAGAAAGATGCAATTTTTTGTTAGAAGACACTAAAACATGTAGATGACAAGATAAAAGAAGACTGCTTTAACCACAGGAGGCGCCAAAACTGACATAAACCAAAAGTTCCTTACGGGAGTTTGACGATTTCGGGTTTTTTTTTCCTTGAAGATTTAAACATTTTCAAGCAAGACTTTAAAAAAAAATTCACTGTCTCTAAAGGACAAAGTCACAGTAAAATCATTTTCTCATGAACATTAAGATGTAGGAAAATCATGTTCTCACAAGAATAAACATAAGAAAATAAGAAAATCAAGTTGTAATGTTTTCTGATGAAATCTGAGTCATATTGTTACAAAAATAAAGTTGTAATGGAGTCAAATGTGTACAAACCTGATTCCACAAACCTGCAGTGGACAACATAGTAAAAGCAGTTACCTCAGTGTGCTGAGAAAACCTGCACCTACCCCGAGGCTTCAATCACAGGCAAAGATAATATCAGTATTATTGCTGATGGTCAAGTCTGCTTTTATAGGTCGTAAAAAGAGTCTCAGTAAGTAACTCCTTCTAAAAGTTTTAATTCAACTGTATAAAGCTGGTTTGATTCTTAGCGATAACTTTTGCATTTTTAGTTCTGTGTGTCTCTGGAGCTCAAGAGTTCAAATAAGTTTTACAGAGTATAGTCAAAGTTGAAACTTTACCCGTGAAGGAAGCGAAAGCCATGGCTGCACACTAAAATGTTCCCGTTTGCATCCACTTTAAGGAGGTTCCCGTACGTGGAGTCAATCACTAAACCGCTGAGGGTGGGGAGAAAAAAGATAAGGCAGTGAAACATGGTTACCAAGACATGATATGAACGGAGAGGCAAGGCACATATATGACATGTAACCCAGAACAGATAACTATTTGGTTCATTCAGGGGATTTATCCTGACCAAACAGAAAGCTTTGGGAAACTCTGTTACAGGGGCAGATGTAAAACCTACCGTGTGGGGAAGCTGGGGTCATATGTGTAGCGTAGAATCTCATGAGGGTACCCTTTCGAGACCATTCTGTCTCTTATCATCTCAAAGCCGAGGCTCTCATAGTCTGGAGATTGGTACACTGCAACCAAACACACACACAGCACAACACTTGAGGCTGACACTTCTCGTATTCACAGTTCAGTAAAAAACACCAAACAAAACAGATAGATCATGTAATTATGGTACTACACCAATCTTTTTACATACATGCCATAGTGTAGTCCATGTCAAATCCATAGCACTTGATATTTTCCAGGGTCAAACTTCTGTTGACGAACACCCTGTAATTAAATAGAACAACTCAGCTGATTTACAGATCTGTGACAACACACCGGCTCCCCTTTGAACCGAGAAAATAATTTAAAAACTCTTTTTTCTTCTCATCTAAGAAAAGTTTAAATAGTCAACCACCATCACATCTCACAATGTGCCCCTCTTCTCCCACTGCAGACTCATGCATCTGACTCCAGTTGCATGAAGGAGCGTTCAGTAAATTCTTAAAAGGCAGAAGTACAGCTTTTTTAACGTTTATTTAACCCCCCTCGTCCTGTGTTAGGGTCTGCACCGACCCGCTTTTGATTTTAAATGCTTAAAAGAACAACTTAAATTAGCTTTTTTGCATCAAGACTTTATGACTTTGTCAGGAACCTCCATTTCAATAAAATAAAAATAAAAAATTTAAATTGACTAAATTATAAAATGCTCTAAAATTATGGCACTTGTCGTGTTAGGGTCGCTGTTGATCTGGTTAGATCAATATCTACTGATTAGCGCAAAAACTGAAATCATAAGTGAACTGTCAGGCACCACACTGACAGTCAGATCTTCTTCTAATCATGTGAGATTTAGTAAATTCTCATTTTGCCGTGTTTTTCCCTGCACAAAAACAACTTCAGACATGTCCAGACATGTGAGATCAATTCAGTATAGATGTCTGTATGAGGGTAATATTTTCATGGATAATGAAGCCTCACAAGTTAACCTAGAGATGAGAACCAAATTGGCTGATAGAGAATTGTTTTTAGTGTAATTTACAGCTGATTTAAGACACGGGTCAAAACCGACCCTTAACATAGTGGGTACGTAGTAAAAGCTAACACAGGAAAAGGACATAACATTTCTCCTGTTTCTACTCCCATCGTTATGATTACCTTTGTATCCTATTACCTAGGCCAGCCCGATCAGGCTGTCCAACATGTGTCCAGTTCTCCATGAGTCTTCTGCCTGTTACTGTTACAGGATGTTTTCTCACCACTGTTGTTAAGTGCTTTCACACTGGTGCATGAAGTTGGCTCTCTGTGAAAAGTGCTATTTAACAGTTTTATAAGAGTTCAATCTAGACCTTCTTGTTATATGAAGTTTAATTTGAATGTGACTCCAGCGTAAATTCAGTCAGGAAGACTACAGGGTATTCCCATAGAGTCCGAAGAACACCAAGGTTTTTCTTCTAATTTGATAATCATTGTTATAAATAACCCTAATCCTAACTTTCATTTTGAGATGGGTTAATTCCACATCAGATTAGACTAAACATGGTTACTTGGTGTTTATGTTTCAGGTCTTTGCTTGTCAGCTTGTTTGTAGTCATCTAAGGGAACCGCTGCTCTTTAAGAACAGATTTGTGGCTCTGATTGTGATGTTATGAAGTACATTCAAGGTCGCTAATGACTCTTTTTCATCACTGAAAGTCTTTACAAAAATAAATCAAAAATTCAATCTACATATTAATCATAGATCCCTTTGAGTTTTAGACCCCACTCCCCATTTACTCCCCTTCATTGGAGGTTGAGATGGGTGGAGGGTATACAGAGATGCTATCATGGCACACAACCTCAGTACTCTTCTGAAAGCCAAGTCAAACAAGGTAAAACAAGAACAGAGAAACCATGATGTGTTTCGGCCTGCTCTTCTGAACACGGTTTCCTGTGTCACCATCTACCAGACGCTCCTGTTTATCAGTGACACCCTGACAGAGACAGAGAGGCCTATCTGCAGCCCCTCCAGTCTCAACCCTCTCTGAGACTTCATACTAATAGGGTTGCTGTAAATAATTTAGCTGAAACTCTTGTTTTGCAAGTCTATTACTGCTGAGCATTGAGAATCTATCTTTTTAGATGGATCCAGCACAGAAAGGTGTCAGGAAGCGGGTGTATTTCTGATGTGGGCTGCTGCCAGTTTTAGGAGCTGCTGGTTAAAAAACTTGGTGACAAAAGGATTCTTGAATATTTTGGCACATCTAAGGGTATAATAAATTATTCAAATGGGTTATTACACGTGTAGATAATGTAGAAATAAAGACATTAAAGTCACCTGACCTTAAATTGTGACCACCAGACTTTTGATTTTGACCAGTTGAGTTGCCTGTAAACTTAAGACGGTGTCATTAAACTGCAGTAAAGTTATGATGAATGGACTCACTTTGTCTCAAATCCTTTCTGCACCTTGACCTCCTCAGGGCTGACGGGGGTGTCTGTGCTCGCTGCGTCCATCATCCACGCAGCTCCACGTGCAACTCTGCAGCGAGTGGAGATGACAGCTATTAAATCCCCGAACTCATCGTCCCTCTGCAGACCCGGACTTGTTTGTCTTTACATTGTGCAGGCTTTAACTCCTCCCTGCAACTTTGTGCTCGAGGTGACGTTGGACACTACACGCGCACTGGCAGTACCTCGCTGTTCTGGCCTGTTAGACGCGCACGGTGAAACACTCGGGTTTGACTGGAGAGATTGTGTTATCAGAGGGACACACATTGGCAGCACGCCTACGTAATTACGAGGAGTTCCCACATATATTAGCTCTAGTCCCGCTGTGACGCAGATAAACAGAAGTTATCAAAACAAATTGTGTAACATATATTTTGAATGCTAGATTGATGCTGAACAGGCACAAAAGTTTTGCTGAATTTTAGACACTGAAGTATTTTCAGAAATATATATATATATATATATATATATACATATATATACATACATATAAATATACGTATAAATATACGTATATATATATATATGTGTGTGTGTGTGTATATATACGTATATATATATATATATATACACACACAAAGTCATAGATACGTTTTATTAGACTAATCAGATTCCCTCAGTACCACATGATGTAAACTGGCAAAAAAAAGTGGTCTCCTATGATCAACTTACCCCGTGTATGGGGTAAGTTGACCATAGGAGCGGGGTAAGTTGAGCCGTATCCCTACTACCCCCCCCCCCCCCCCACACACACACACACACACTCTCCACCCCAGCCCTCCCTCACCTTCTCTCTCCCTAAATAACAGTCACTTCTTCACATTCATGTATTTTAATCTATAATATGCTATTTGACAGGTACAATCATTCTTTTCATTATTATTGCTTATAACTGCTAAAAAGCTGTTTTGTATAAAAGCCATTTTAACATGAGATTGTCTTTAAGTGATTCAGAACATTCACAGCTGTATTCTTGAAAAGAAAAAGTAAAACATTTCAACAATCTGAACTGAAACTCTGATCCTCTCATCAGACTCTTTTACTTTCTCAGTTCAGCCACTGGCTCAACTTACCACAAAACTACTATTATGACTTTATTAGTCCTCTAAGCTAAAATGGTGGACTTTTATGCTGGTTTTTGACCTCATGTTGTAGCTCATAAATACCACAATTGATGTATAAAACAAATTTAAAATGATCTTTTTTGGTCTGAACACAATTCTAATAAAACTGATGACAGACTGAATTCACTTTCAAGAGTGAAAATGTCTAACCCCTTCACCCATGTGCTTCTAATATTTAAAGATTCCATGAATTGATGCCCATCTTCTAAATATTTGGTCACATGATCAATTTCTGTTACCATTTCCAAGCAACAGGGGGTGGCTCAACTGACCCCACTCTCCCCTAAATACACACAGAGTCATAGATACGTTTTATTAGACTGATCAGATTCCAGGGAACAGAACTAAAAAGAAAAAAAAATGCAAACAAAATAATCATTTATTTTGATATTAGAAGTCAATCCCTTTAAAGAGTATATTTCTGTTTAAACTACACCCCATCTACTATCTTTTAGATTTCCTGTCAATCTTAAACTAAGGTGTGCAGTCAGTAAATAGTATTTCAATTTTCGAGATGGTCAAAGAAGAACTTTGACCTATAAGTTAAAGTATTGTGTTGTAACTGTATGAATGATAAAACGGTGTTGTAAAAACAAGCTTATATATCCTAAATGCAAAAAAAGAAGGTATGAGAGCCACAAAAGGAAATAAATGGTTGAGTGAGTAACACAAAATGCAAATGCAACACCCCCAACCAATTACTCACACACATACACTCGAGGCTATTTGTCCTGCACACAACATGAAGTTTGTGCAGCCAGAGACTGTGGATATCTTTAAGCCTATCTGTGTCAGCCAAGCATGCAGCGCCCACTGATGACCTCTGAGGCCAAACCTTGTACACAGCTTAAAAAACAAGACAAATACAAAAGTGGACACACACAAAGTTTATGTCACCTGAGAGGTTTTTGGTTTAAGAAACACAGGAGACGCCTTAAAAAAGATAAATCCTCTTTTGTTACTGTCTTGCTGCAGTGTGCACAAGACTAAACTAACAGATGGTCTATGTGAGTTCTGCTTGAATTGCTCCTTGAGTTACATTTGACAATTAAACCCTCGTCAATGGGATGAAATTGATATCTTGAAGTTATTTATCAGCTGTACGACCTCAGAGTTTGGTGTCATAGAGGTTTTCGTCGGTGGATTTGTTCATCTGTGATCCTCCAGATTTGCTGTGCATCCTCTTAAACTCTGCAGCTATCTCCAGCGCTGTCAGATTCTTGGTCTCAGGGACGTTGAACCACACAAACAGCCCGCAGACGGTGCAGAAAAAGAGAAATATCAGGAAACAAAAGTAGTCCAGTTTCTCCTGTGAGGAAAGCATAATGGAGGACATGTGTTACTTGGTTTAAGTGATGTGATGATCTGGTTTTGCTTTAATTATTCCTATGTTTTCATGAGTCTCTAGTCGATAATAAAAGAAGAAAATGTTGTGTATACCACTAAGATAGGGAAGAGCATCCCAAGGATGAACATGCCTGACCAGTTAAGAGAGCAGCCGATAGTGTATCCAGCTGATTTATATGACTGTGTTAAAATTTCCCCTGGAAGAGGAGCTGATACTCCAGCTAGAAAGGCAGAAAAAATACATATGTTATATATTTTCAATTCAGAGAGAAAACATACAAACTTCAGACACCAAAACATTTATCTTGGCCCGTAAGTTTACCTGGTCCACTGGAAAAAAAGAAAATAAAAGTAAAAATGAGGACCATGCTGCAGTACGGCATCCAAGACACATGTGTCTGAAGAAAAAACAACAGAATGAACCTTTAAATTATTCAAATATATTAAAAAATGTGATCCAGTCAGTGTATGAGTTTGCTATGACTCACTTGCAGGTACAGAGTGATGGTGAGGAGGATCAGTGTTACCGCCATTCCAATGTATCCTCTGGACATGAGGACTTTTTTTCCAGTCTTCTCAATAATCATGAACTGAAACATTAAAACACATCTCTATCAGTGAACCACAAGGGGGAGCTCTATCTTTACAGTTTGGATGTCATACAGGTGTCATAGATTAATCATAATGATGTTGGGGAAAGATTACGCTGAAAAAGCTCATGTTTGACTACAAGTAATGATAAATTTATAATAAATAATCAGTTGAATGAACTGGGACTTACACAGGCTACAGAGGTGCACAGCTCACACAGACCTGTTCCCAAGGCTGCATAACGTAACTGGCTTGGTTGGATTCCTGCCGTAGCGAACACATCAAAAGAATAAAAGTACACCTGGACAAAAGTTTGTGGATTAGAGTAAAAAAGCACAACTGGCCCATTTGTATAACATCTAAATAAAAAAATAAACATTAACATTTGCTCTGTTGGTCCACCATGCATGGTTGGTTTGAGAGTATCTTTGCAGAGAGAAGTGGATGAAGGAGTCTTATTTCACTCTTTCATTTTAAAAGTTCAATTCCCATTTCAGTTAACAGTCTGGTTCATTTTTATTTGAAGAAGGAGGAGGCTTTTTGGGAATATGACACATAAATGCCAAAGCCATTGAATTTAGCTTTGTTGTGTATTTGAAGGCTGAGCACCAATCATTTTTTCCTCCCAAATGCATCTTCAAAAATGTCTCCTCAAAGGAACAGCCTGACATTTTGGGCTTATTTGCTTTCTGTCAGAAAGTTAGGTTTGACGATTGATATCATATCATATCTGAGCAGCATGAAAATCTGTTCGCTCAGCTTAGCACAAAACTGTTTGTCAGACTTTGTTTGAATAGGAGCTGATACTAACCCACTACCTACCCCAACCTACTCAAAAACCACCTCTGAAAACTAAATGAACAGTGTTTTACATCGATTATGCCAGACTGGGACGAGTGAGGGGTCCGTTTGATCCCTCACAACTTCTCAAAACCTGTGAAGTTTGGCACTAAATTACCCATAAAACAGAAAATTATCATTTTAATTTCATTTTCTAATTTTATTTAGTTTTAATCAAAAGTAGAATTAAACCAGTCATTTTGTATTAAATTTGGTCTATCATTCATTTGACCATTTGGGTGGACCACAAGGCTCTGCTCTGGGGCCCCTGCTCTTTGCCTGTAAATTAATGACAGCTGTAAAGTTGTTTGTTGTGAGAGGCATGTCAATGATGCAATTAATGATGAAAAATCATAGACCAGAAAAATGTCTGCAGAGCCTTTAAATAGGCAGTTAGTTATAGTCTAACACTGGCTAAAAAATAGAAAGATAAACACTGTTTTTAAGTGCATTATTTTGAGGCTAAAACATGAAATATACCACACTGTCTGCAAGCTGATTACTTATTGACAATCAGAAGCAGCTACTCATCTAAGATGTTTCCAAACCAACTCAGTTTTTAGATTTATGTGGTGAACTTAGAGGCGCAACAACAGACTCAAATTCACTAACCACAACTTGGACATTCAGTGTTGTATGTAGGGGAGACCGGGGCTTATTGTCACATGGGTAAGTTGTCACATTGAAATTATCTTTGCCACCAGAGGGCGCAACTAAAAAGTGGAATACTAGTTTTATTCCTTTACATGGTCAGGGGTTGTGTCCTGTCTGAGAGGAGAAGAGCACATTGTGAGCTGAGATGAGCGCCAATTAACCATTTTGCACAACCCAAAGTAAAAAATTCTAACTTTTTTAAAGTAAGCTTCTTCCAGATAAAAACCCTAGCAGTGATACATGTGGACTTATTAGAGGAGAGATTAAGACATCCTGTCATACTTCAGTCATTGTTCAGTTTTTAGCTAACGTTAAGCTAGAGCTAAAATAAGCAAACATGGTAGTTTGGGGCGACATGTCTCAGTCATTTTTGGGGTTAGTTGTCACATTTAAAAGGGGTCAAAATTAACATAGAGAGTCTGCTTATCAGCAGTTGTAATATTGAAGTTTTGACTTAATCTTTACAGAGAACAAAGTGGTTAAAAGGAGAGGAGACAGTGAGAAGACATGGTCAGGAATTTTAAAGATAGAAAATGACATAAATATGAAATATATACCTGAGACTTTAGTCTTTCATCTGGTACAAATTTTGTTTATATGTGATGTAATGATACCAAGATATATATAAGAGTGTAAAAAGTGTGACAACAAGCCCCGGTCTCCCCTACATTTTGAAGTCTGTCCTGATAACACTTAAATGAAGCAAGTAGATCAGCTAAAATGGTTAAAACAATGACAACACTTTAGATATTCTTTATCAAAGGGCCATTCAGGCTTAATGCTAGTCATTAGACTGCACACAACCTTTTATAGTCGACAGGTCACTACACGGTGCAACAGGGTGTTCAGTGTATCACATTTGACTCACAGCATTGATGCCACAAAGCTGCAGTGTGGTGAAGGTAACAAAGATGGTGATGAGCTGCCATCGCAGGGTTTTTTCCTGGATCAGCTCCAACACTGAGTGGTTACGAACGCTCTGCAAAGCAGCTTTCTCCTGCAACAGCTCCTCCACCCTCTTGCTGTGGTCTTTGTTACCCCATAGTCTCCTTAAAGCTGGAGGGGTTTCATAAAGCAGTAGGTTAATGTCACAATAACATCATAGAATGTTAATTTAATAAGCACTGATCTGCACAAGGATCCAAATGTCACACCTTTCTCACAAGCTTGGTGGTCCCCTTTGTCCAGCAGCAGGAAGCTGGGAGACTCTGGCAGGAAGGGCAGGCTGGAGAGCTGGAGTAACGCAGCGAAACCGTTAAAGCCAAGCAGCCATGGCCATCTCTCAGGCGTACCAAGAAGCTCACTGCAAGGGCATTCCAGGTTCAGCTTTGTACAAGAGTGACGCTTTACAGTGTGTTATGGATTCTCAACAGAGTTTCCCCACAGTAGCCCTTCAGAAAAGAGCACCTTACAACCCCAGCTCGTTTAATGTTCTGACACGAACTAAGAAATCTGAGAACATCACTGTTGTTCTTCAAACTTTACAATGGCCTCCGGGATCCCCAGAGGACACACTTGAAGTGCTACTGCTGGTTTATGAAGCCCTGACTTATCTGGGACCAAATCTTTTCTTATCTCCTCACAGATAATCCGTTCTGGACCCTTATGAAGCTGTTGTTTTTAGTATTTTGAGTGAAAAACAAACACAAATAAATCTGTTCATACTCTACTTAACTTTGATACTGACAGATGGACTAACCATCTTTTTTTTGTTCACTTTGTTGGACTTGCAAGAACTTTCAACAAATGACTGCAATGCAGTCTGTTCATTGGTTGTATTTTATTCACCTTATTCATAAAAATGACTTTTTATTAGATTATAAATGACCTTATCAAGAGCCTATTGTTTGGCAGTCTACGCACATGCCCAATATATTACACAAATACAGGAGAGGATTAGGGCCAAAAAAAGAGAAAATTATTAATTACAGGAAGGACATTAAAGTCAAAATTTCTACATTTAAATTGAAATTTTGAGATTAAAATTATTGAAATTATGTCAATAAGGTCAAAATTCCAGGATTAAAGTTGGAATTTTGAGATTTAAAAAATCGAAATGATGTCCATAAAGTCAAAATTTCAGGATTAAAAATTAAAATTTCGAGATTGAAAAATTCAAAATTATGTCAATAAAGTCAAATTTTCGGGATTAAAAATTTAAATTTCAAGATTAAGGTTGACATTTCAAGATTACGACATTTCGTGAATAATGTTGACATTTTAAGGTTAAAAAAAATTTAAATTTTGAGAGTCAAAATTTCAAGGTTAAAGTGGACATGAATAAAGTTGAAATTCCAACTTTTAAGAATTTCGTTTTTAATCTTGAAATGGAAATAAAAAAAATCTCCCTCCTGTAATTATTTTTTTCTCTTCTTGTGGCCCTAATCAAACTAATTCGATTATCGAACTAATTGAACTTTTTCTTATCTATCTATCTATCTATCTATCTATACACATACAGTATATGTTCTAAAAATTGATATCAACTTTTGGCTGAGCTAGCAACCAGTAAAGAGTTGGCGTTGAGGCCACAGCTGTGTTGCAAAGAGCTGCAACATGACCGCCTGCTTAGTCATTCAAAAATATCCTCTGTGCAGTTGTCTGATATAAGGAAATGAGGAACAGGAAGAAGCCAGCTTTCATGTTGAAGAAGAAGCGTACTTGCGAGATTCTGGATTGAAATTAGCAAGAAGATAAGGGGTGACACTTTGACGAGAGGGGGCGCTGAGACCTGCACAAACCAAACGTTCCCCACCGGAGCGTACAGCCCTCAACAGAGAGGACACTGTGGATCTTTAACAGCATTCTGACGTCATGCGAGCTGTCATCTGAACCCACCACCATCTGACCCGCACTTGACTCCTCACAGTATCCATGACAAAGATCACCTCACCTGATCCCCAGCAGCTGACCACCAAACTTCCCCAGGGAGATGAAGGTACCAACTGTCACTCCCACCATCCCTCGCAGCCTCTTGGGGGCACACTCAACCAGGTACAAGGGGTGAGCAGAGAGGCTGACTCCTACGAGCGCACACAGGGGAATCATACATTTCAAGACAAGTCAATACTGATCAATAACTGTATGAAAATGGCTGAGAGGACCATTTCGGTGTCGGTGACAAGTATAGATAGACATTGATTGTATGGTAGGGTTAAATGGAGTGCCAAGAGTGATGGAGCAGCGTCTGTGAAGAAACTGAAGAAAAAACAAATGTGTATTTTTTCTCTTTGCAGTGGATCCACCTGAAGTAATGCCGTAGAGAAGTCGTCCCACCATGATCATCTCAAAAGACACTGCTGCTTGGCTAAAGATCATCAACACAGCTCCGAGTATAGTCCCAAAATTGTTAAACAGAAGGCATTTCTTTCTGTGGAAGACAGACACGGTTGTGTTACAAAGGAAACACGTTAAAGTTTGATTTTGTTTGTCTGAGACACGTGAACATTTATTAAGTTGCACTTTTTGTTCAAGAACACTGACCTCCCAAATCTTGAAACCAATGGACCAGCCATCACCCCCCCAATGACACCCCCGATACAGTAAATGGACACCATGAAGGACCAGATGAGAGAGAGCTGCCACTGCTCCAGGGAGACATCGTACCTCTGCAGACATGTAATGTTCACCAGATCCTTTATAAACTGGAAACAACACGTGTACAGTGAGACTGACTTTTATTCCAGCTGTGGCAGTTTAATCAATTTAAATTTTTTTTATGACATGCAGTTTTTATTTTATTTTATGATAGAATTACAGTTACAAAACCAAACATATCGCACCCACCTCTAACCATAACAAAGAGAATGGCTCAAGCTAAAAACAGTAATATACTATATATATACTTTGTGGACTAGTAAATCTTTAAACTGGCCTTGTTCTGTCTTTATTTGTGTCACTTTGTTCCAGTATAATAAAACCTTTTTTTTCACGTTTTTACTTCTCTTTAGAATAACACGCAGTCTTTTAAAGCTGGTGTGCAAACAATCAATGCATCTCAAAACATAAAAAGGCTGCACTTCTTCTTATCATTGCAGGATGATTCTTTAAAATTTCTACTCACAGCAGATGGAGAGGTCATCACAGATATACTGAATCCATATTGAAAAGTCCCACCGATGCCAGCAGCAAAAATGGCAGCAATTATAACGGGACAGTCGAGCTGCAGGAATAAAGTATGTGAACAGTTGTGTTGTCAAATGTGGGAACCATTTATTAGATATTTCATCAAACTCTCCCCTTCAATCACAGAGCTTACATTTGTCAGTGTCTATGTTGAATTTCTTTTCAACGGATTTGTTGTTTTGTCAAAGCATAGCAATCACACAGGGCATTTAGTTTTTTTCTGTGTTGTCTTAAGCTTATTTCAAGCATTCCTTATCAGAAGACAAATATATACATAAGGTAAACACACACGCACACAATATATATATATTCATTATTACCTACCAGAAGTGATAAGAACTGTGGCATAGTTGGAGTCTGGTCGTTGTCATGTCTGCAGTCTGTCTGAATCATTCACACATTAAACCGGTAGACTTACTTAACTCTGCTCAGAAATCATTAACTTTCTACTCAGGTTAAAGGGGAAATTTTAAAAAGTACTAAAGATAAGCACCGTTTTTAGATATCAGTGAGCGTTTTTAGTCTGGACAGACAGATGAGGCGTTGCCTGTGAAACACTGAAGGTTACGGGACTTCTTAAAACCACAAAGAAAATGAGGAAAATGAGTTTCTTTCATGATTTTTTTAGTATGCAAAGCAGACATAGTCAAGAAGTGTCTAAATTATAATATTCATCAGCAGTTCCTCAGAAATTTCACCCTTTGACCCTCCCTTAAAGTCTAACAGCCTTTTTACTTGTTAACTGTTATCTCTCTGGTATGCAGTGTTGAGTGGGGAGTTGTATAGCATTACGTTATCAGAGTAGTTTTGTGGGGCCTCCTGGGGCCGCAGCAGACAGGAGATGTAAGCATCATTATCCTTATTTCTTTGGTGAATTATTTGCTTTATTGCTGAAAATGAGATGAACACTACACTCAAATTTACACAGGGAATTTGAAGCTAATTTTAATTTCATTACCATAAAAACTGGATGCAGAAAAACATTTTGGGGCTCAAAACAAGACTATGTCTAAGTGGGATGTAGGTGTTTTGTAGTAGGCCTGTGGAAAGTTTTCTTGGCAACTTACAGTTTCTCCAGGGAGATACGGAAAGTTGTGAAGAAATACACTTTCATAGCCTCCCATTTTAACTCTGCTTTAAGCTAATTAGTCATAATATGCAAGCTGATGTGCTTTAGACATGTTGCCAGGTACTATTGGACGAAGACAGACATGCTTTTCCTCCCTGGGACTTTTCTCTATCCTAAGCTTAGCTAACTGTTTGCTATCAGAGAAAATGATACGGATCTTCAAAATAAACTCGGCCAGAAAGTCACCAAACAAATTTCCCATCAGAGATCGCGTGAAGAGCTCTTATGTTGTTTTTGGTTTTGTTGATACGGTGGCCAAGAACCGCCACTGCTGCAAATAAAAAAGAAGCCACAACAGAAGTTACCAATGCAAATAAAAACAAAACTGAAGTGGTGAACATATGCATTCGATGTGGAAGTGAATTCATGGAAAACAAATATTTTTACAACAGCTTTTCTTTGTTTAAGACGACCTTTTGCAGGGTACTGAGTAAAGAGGTGATTCACTGATATGTAGCTGTACCAAATTGTAATGCAATGAAACATAACTGCAACCAAACTATATAAAATCAGAGTAATTACTATTAGCTGTAAATCTCATGCCCACTAAAAGAAGTGAAGCATTTATAGTGCAGCACTGACACTAAACCCTGTTGAAAGCTGTAGCAGACCCTTTGTTGTAGATCATAACCTGTACTGTTTGTGTTTATGCTAAAGGAACTTCTTCTCAACCTTAGCTGGAGATAGGTCGATTACAAAACCAGACTTCAATGACACCTTGAGCCAGGACAAAAAAAAAAAAAGAAAAAGTTGTGCAGTATCACTTCACGTCAGGCAGACTGTCCTGCAAGGTGCCACACAGCTGACCCCCAGGAGGAAGCTGGTGACGGCTGTCCGGCAGTGTTTCCAGGAGGCATCAGCTTCTGTCTTCAACCCACTCTGACAGTCCACTGAGGGACAGAAACTTCAGGAGAAATGTCTGAGGACTGTTCTCTGAGGACGACCGAAGCCCTTACCGCAGCCAGAGAAGCTGAATAAAACATTATACTCAATTAGGCCTGACGTAGAATACAATCAAAGAAAACTGCATGAAATCAAAATCTACCGCAAAGCTTTGGGCCATTAAATCTACTGAGTAAATCATTATAAGCTCATGGTAATTTCAAGTAAATGAAAAAGAAATTAAAAGTACTCTGCCACATTAAAAGCCCTGTAACTGCATAACCCACAGCACCCGTTAAAGTCGGGGGAACATTTTAGAGCACCTCTTACGTTTAGAGAAATTTCAACCAAAACTGAGGTTGTAGACCTCGAGAGGACAATAGAAAAAAAACCAAGGGAACACGAATTTAATCAGGATTATCACCTGGAAACCATGAGTGATCACTCAGGAGTTTGTGCTCAGTGAATGCCAATGTAACCTAAAACACAGAGCAGCCGGTGGCACAAGATGAAATAGCAGGCAGGAGATTTGACAAGTCATTACCGAGTCATCCTCTGGGTACCATGAATGGCCTAATTAAGTTTCAGGGCAAGTTATTTAGTAGTTTGACATTCTATTCAGGGAATTATCATCTGCAAATCTTAACCATGACTTTCACTGTCAGAATCCAGTATAATACATTACTATATCCTTAACCTGTGCAATACATGTCCATATACATATAAGAAAAAAAAACATATATATGTATATTATTCCTGATATTTATCTTCCTTATTATTGTACATACATGCTAAAAACTCCTGGGTTATTTCTTCAACCCAATTCCTGGGTTATACGTGTTGAGTTAAATTTCTGGGTTATTTTTCAGATCCATCCCCGTTTCTTGGGTCATATGGATTCTATTGTAACCCAATTTTAGGGTTTTTGAATGGGTTAATAATTATGGGTTATTTATCTGAGAGCAACCCAATAATTGGATCAGAGCATTGGGTTCGATTGACTCTACGTGGTTTCTGGGCCTAATGGCAATTAAAGTGACCTGGTGACCTTGTAAACTTTGACCTTGATTTTATATACCATATGATATATACATTTCAGGGATTCTTGAGAGTCGGGACAAAACACTTCCTAAAAAACTTTTTTTGAGAATGCACACTATATTGATTAGAGTTATTTATTACTGTAGAGAAAGGTCTTAGCTATTTAACCCCGTAAAGGAACAGGCTCTAAATAAAAACATTTTTTCTATAAATTAACATGTTTCCCTTAGACAGTGGATTTGTGTCAACTCCATCAGACACACAAAAAAGAATATAATTTTAATAATTCTAGTCCAACAAGAATCTAAAGTTCTGATGTATGTTGTAATAGTGTTTAGTTACTCTGATATGCTATGAAATATAATATATAAACCTAGTGTGTGATTTCACACTGTTTTGAAAACCAAGATTTCTAAATAGTTGCATTTTCAAACTTTGTTTTTAATTTTTATATTATAAAAACAATTTCTGTAAGTAAATAAGACACAAGAGGATGTAGAGCCAATGCTCCTTTGTTACTTAAACAATATAAACTGAAGAAACAATTTTTTTTTCTCCAAAATTGAAGAAAAACATACATCTGACGGTGTTGACGAACACCTGACGGAGTTGACGAGAAACTGACGGAGTTGATGACATTGCATATGTTATTGAACAAATGTGTTTTTAAACCGATTGACAATAGGTCAATAGGTGAAAATAGATTAAGAACTAATAACTCATTATTTTCATACTGAACATACCGTTAATGCAATTAACCACCGCGCCGACAAGGCGTTTCCAAGCACATTTTCGTATTTTGGTGAGTTGTGCAGCCTGGCATAAGTATCCCCCCTCCCCTAACTCAGCTCCTTCCAGCGGCGTAGGTCATTGGGAGGGAGGAGAGAGGGCGTTGAGTGGGTTTAACACAGCCGAGACCTGTATTGACCAATAACATCAGCTTTTCTCGCCTTTGAATCCGCCACTAGCGTGGCGTATTACCATTTTCGTGAAGTAGTCAAAGAGATCAAGAGATGTCTGAAGACAGCAATGCCACACGATGGCGACAGAAGGCAGCACCTCAACAAGTGTCACTGTAAGCGCTGCATTGGGCGTCCTCTGCACTGTCTCATATAAGCACAGATGGATTTGGTGTGTGTAATGTTTGACCCACTGGTAAGACAAACACCCTTTTCCACAAATAAAGACAATCACATTAAATTGCATATATTTAAACCTCACGTGACAAAGGTGGGTTGTGCGCAAAGGTCACAACATAAATTCCAATAATGGCATTAAAATCGGAACCAATCTGTGTGTAAATCGCGCTCCGTGGCCTGGCTCTTTCTTTCATAGATCTTGGCATATAAAATAAATTTGGCTCACAAAACTGATTATTATAATATTTGTATGTAGGCTTAAAGTAAAAAACTCATCTGATCACTGGAACAAATCATCTGTTCAGCTGCCGCAGCAGCAGCTGCAGCAGGACGGGTAGAGGACACGGAGACACGTCCAGGTTGAGCTGCGCGAGAAATAAGAGGAAGAGGAAGCTAGAAATGGGGGCAGACAAATTAAATATCTTGTTAACTTAATCATGTGTGTTTATTTACTAGATATTTGATTCAATTTCATGCGGATTCAGCAGCTGTGTTAATTTGGTCAGGTTGAGTGTCCAAACGCATGCCAAATGCGCTCATCAGATCAGATATAGATCAGAATACATCGATATAGATCTAAATATATGTGCTGACACAGATTATTAGTTGTTATTGATTATTTATTGCACGGAAATGTTCCTGACACTGTGGAAACCTGCTGGTGAGGCCGATATGCCGCCGGTCTCCCAAAATACCACTAGCCCATCCGAATCCACCTGAGCTGAAAGCTGACCAGGTTTGAATCTGCGAGCTTTCAGCGCACTTTACACGCCGGCAACAAGTACGAAAATGTCACTGCACCAGCTGATTCTGTGGACACCTCACCCTGCCACACATCCACGCCCAGCTTGGCGGACCTCGGTGCACCTCAGTCCACGAAAATACCAAACTGGCTGTACGCTGAGCTCCGCCAGACGAAAATGCCACTGCGCGGGGTTCGCCACCCTCCGCCATGTCGCCGGTGGACACAAAAATAGAGCCCAAGGTCTGAGGGTCCAAGTTAACAATGTAAAAATAATAACCTTTTTCTTCTATCTGGTATCCCACCTACACTGGGGTTTAAAAGAGCAACATAGAACTTCTTGCGCACTCTATAAGAAGCCAGTGTGTAGATTTTAGGTAGTGAAAATTACATACTGCACCTTTAGGATTGTACA